TCCGATGCTGCCAAAGACTTCATATCCAAACTTCTCATAATGGACCAGAAGTTTGTTTTGGTTTTTATTCTCTTCTTTTGGAGTCAGAGAATTATTAAAGGTTGCTTTTAAAATAATCTGCAATGTTCTTTATTTATATTCAAATATAACAGGCGAAGGATGCTTCCGGAGGATTGTTTGAATCATCCATGGATTGTTGACAGCCGAACAAAAGCAGCAAATGATCTGTTAATAAATCAACTGAACGGTAGTACTCCGCTATCGAAGGAAGGGTTGAAGTCATATCTCAAAAATAAACGCTTTAGGGTAAGTAACAATTATTTCCTTTTGATATTTTATCGGCCGAGAAAAGATTCAAAAAAGTACTGAAATGAAATGCTGAGTTCATCTAGAAATATTTCATCTTCCACCCGAGATGAAATTTTGTTGTTATGAGAAAGGAACTCGACTTCCATACCTTTCAACTTCATGATATTCTAGAAATTGCTTGAATTAGTCGAAATAACATCCTTCCTTTAAACTTTTTTTCAAGCATCTCTTACTTCATCTGAATGAAATATATATTTTATTCTGTAAGTTCATTTTACTTGATCATAAAGAAACCAAAAGTAGATTTTTTACTTTATTTTTTATTTGACTGTTTATCGGTATTTTAAGCCATTAAATTTGAATAAGAAAATGCAGTCCTCACAGGACATCTAGTTAATCTATTTATTTGCTGCTGTGATCTTTTTAGAAGGCAACTTGGGCGTTGGTTTTTTTGATCCGATTCAAACGACAAACACTGATGAACTTCGGGGGACGAGAAGTTCCTTCTGCCATCTCCGAAATATATGACAGTCTTCCTGTTTCCATAGGAAATATTATGAAAAGCTGCGCGAAAGCAGAAGCTAGCGCCTCCGTATCAGCAGAACCAGCAAAGGATGGTGAAAAATCTGAGAAATTGTTAACTGACATTTCTGCTGCAGTGAGAGAGGCTTATGATACTTCCAGAGTAGAGTCAGTAATTGCAACAAAACATCTAGAGGTAAACTTTTAGTTTTTTCAAAAAAATATATTTTGAGAGCTTCTCAGCAAGTAGTGAAAAAGATTATTTATAGAAAAAGAAGTTAAGCAGCGAGATTCCAAAAAAGAAACCAAAACCAAGTACAACTGATGAGGGAAGGAAAAAGCCAAAACCAAATGATGAGGGAAAGATGAAAAAGGAAGCAAAGAAGCACAAAGAGAAAAATTGTGAGAAATCAGACGAAATATCCTGTAAGCCAAAAATGGTTTCCAAGCACTTAAAAACTGCATCGCGCGGATTACAAGGACAAATGAAAAAGTCCACTGAGACAATTTCTAAATGCAGCGAAGTAAGTGATTCAAAAAAATTTATTTCAACGATGTGCGAAGTATGCATCACGTTGGAAACAACCAAGTCTGCTACTTCTTTTACTGAATTTCCAAAACCTATATATGCTGCGGAAAGTGCTCACATACGTCCTCTAATTTCCGAATTAGTTCATACAATTAAAAATAAGGTAGAAATGGAGGAGAGACCGAAAAAATATTGTGTTTCCTCTGCTAATCGAACAATGCAAGAATCTACACGCCATAACAGTTCAGTAAATAAGCTTAGTGAAATCAATAAAAAAGGCAGTTCTGTATCTGCTATACTATCAATGTTCACTGAAAAAGCTGAACAGGAGAGAAAGCGTTTCGAGCGTCGACCTTCCCGTCCAGTAAGAACGTTTAGAGATGTGGAAAAATCTTCATCCAGAAAATCATCATTTGTTGTAGCTCATGAAAATGATGCCAGCTGTGTAAAACTTTTTCGAGCACCGGAAGAGGAGAAAAAACGAATGGAAAATTTGATTGAACTTCATCGACGTGGTTCTGCAGATCGAAAACAAGTTGACACGAAAGAAATTGCAGCTGTGAAGCAAGAAGAGGATAATAAAGGCCTTCCAGATCAAAGAGTAAATATGGCCGAACAAAATAAAGTAGAAATAGAAGAAATTGGCTTCACAGGAAGAAAAATAGAAATAAATCCTGCATTAGAAAATGAGAAAGGGACAGGATTGGCAAGGAAAAAGATCACCGCCTCAGATTTATCGTCTTCAGAATTAAGCGCCGTCAAAAAACCTAATCAGATCCATGAAGAGCGAAGTACGGACACTATGACAATAGCAAAAACTAGTCGTATGCGAAATGAAACAAAGCAGAAAAAACATATGATAGAATTTACGATTAATCAGGAAACGGCAGGAGGGATTGAAGAACTAGCGGGAAATGTTACTCTGATTGAGGCGGTGCAAATTCAGGCTTTATTGACACCACATCAGAAGGTAGTAACTCAGGATGATTCCAATTTTTCTATAAGTAGAGGAGCAAAAAGCTGGATGAATCTGAATAGATCACAGAACGATTCTTCATTGAATTCCTTAAGTACCACATTAAAAAAGCCGAAAAATACAAAATGTAATAATGATAAACAAATTTTAGTTGTCAATGAAAAGAAAGCTTTATCTTCGCAGCCACATCTTTCAGAAGGAAGATGTACTACGAAGAAAGAAGTTAAAAACCAAAATGTGCTTAAGCGAAGGAAAAACAAGATTGAAATTGTTGACAAGAATCTTGACTTAAAAGAAGCTGTAGAGAACTTGGTACAATCAAAAAGAGCTGAAGAGCTTATTGAACATCGAAATCTTTCGGATGAAAAAAAAATGAAAGAAAGCGTCGGAAAATTGAAGAAAGACACTGCCTTAACGGAATTGATTGTGACATCTGACAGCTCTCACTTGCTACTCAAAGCAAAGCAAATGAAATCGGTCGAAGAAAACAAAAGCAAGGTTCAAGATAGAGCATTGCAATCGATTCAGGATACTGTCTCAAGTATTGGGAAGTCAGTACGAGCTTTTCCCAGCTCCAGAACTCGAACACATGACGCAGCAAAACGAAAAGTTCCTCAAAAAAATAGTTGCTCTGAAAATTTATTGATAAGAATAAAATCAGAAATCAATTTGGCAGAAGATAAAGAGAAAATGAGGTCGATATGTACATGCCGAAAAGCCGTTGATGATCAAGCAGTTTTCGCCAACCAAAAGGATAGATCTCAGCGTAACATTTCGGTTCGTTCAAGATTTTTTATCTTTATATATTAATGATTTATATATTGAACTCTAAATAATCAGTCTATGTTTCTCGATAGTATGCTACTCATCCTTTTGATAATATGAAACTGATTATTTTGTTTGTAATGTGTGTTTTTAATTTTGTGCTTTCATTAACTTCTGGGAATAAAGTACTTATTTGTCAAAATAATAAGGATATATCGGTTTGTTTTATTGCTGTTTCCCACTACAATACCATAAATTAAATACCGTTACAGATAACCGACTTAAAAAACCAGGAGAACTTCAGTTTTGGTTGGCTTAAACTGCAGTTAGAAACACGAGTGAATAAAGAAAAAAAAGTTCAAATGGGATGGCGATATCGTCGTGATTTAGAAATTTCACCAATTCAATCTGGAAATGCTAAAAAGGCTTTAAATATATGGAAAACAATGGAGCAAAGTAATACTGCCAAAATTTAAACATTTTTGTTAGTTATAGGCAATGCTTTTGATAGTATTTTGAAGATCTTCTAAATTAAGTGATTTATGCAGTACTCTCTTTTATTACGGACTGTCTTTTTTTTTTGGTTATGTCTTTTATCCTCACTGTAAATATAAAGATTTTTGGCAATGAAATGTGATCTTGACATACTTTATTATTCCTCCTTGTATTGGAAGCTTTTATACAATTTAGATATACAATATTTTCAAGAATTGTAAACAGTACATATAACGCAGAAGTAAATCCTCAAATGTTGGCCTTACTGAAGAGGGCGATTCATGTTTACAATTCATTACATGTTAATTCAGTGCGATATCTTCATTTTTCTTGTTAACTATAATTGTTAGCACCTAAATCCCACATATCTGTACAGTGCATTTGTTTCAATTGTATATCGATTGTTTGCCTTTTCGCTCAGTAACAGAGCTAATTAATCTGCCATTTATTAGCATATTACTTGCTGCTCTACTAACATATTGTTTTATCAACTACTTCCCTTAGTTCTTCGTTTGGCACTGTTTCTCCATGATTTTTTAAGTCTACTACGTAATCTTATCTGAAATTCTTATTCGTGTTGATGTTCAGAGGAGTTGCTCATGCAGTATAATGTACCTGATTGTTAATCAAGCCTTTTTTCTATAAATAAAAATGATCAGATATTCATCATTATTCTGGATGTTAGTCACAGTATTCAAATATGTCAAACATATATGTGGATCATACCCTATTCATAATCCTGATACCGCACACTAAACTTATTTTGGAAGTGAAACATCAGGGGACATAAGTTGGGGCAGTGATGGTTTCATTAAAAATAATATGATGAAAAGATGCAACAGTTTAATTGATGATTGGTGACTGGCTGTATATGGAAAAGGTATTAGAATTATAATTGTGTACAACTAAATGAATGAAATTTTGCTCCATGATCCACTATGCAGTAAATATCTACCAAATTCTTACGCCATAAATATCATCACAAAGAATATTCCGGAATGTAATAAAAGGCGGTTAGTATTCAACCTGTTAATGTTGTATGATCATCATTGACTCTATCGATTTGTTGTTCATCATTTTTGGTCCAGGTCAAATCTATTAATTTTGTGCTTGTAAGACTTAACCGTTGCTTCGAAACTTTCACAATTTAAAAATTTTTCCAAACTGTTGGTGAACTGCACAGTAAGTTATCTTGTAACTGTCACCAGTGTATATAATTGAGTTTCCATTTTAAAAAAATAGATTTGAGAGAAAAGAAGGAAGATTGCCAGCGCCTGATTCCACTATCATCGCCTTTTTCCTTATATTTTATCATATAATGTTATTCCTATCAGTTTTTAATTGCAGTTGTATTAATTCTGCTTTATGAAAACTTTAGACACGTGAAGAAGAAAAAGAAAAGAAATGTACATTCATAATGTTGCCTTATTTCTTCTGATATTTCCCGCCACGCAACAAGGAGTAAATGGTGAATGAATTTGCTGTTTTGAGTGACCAGTGCAATAATATATACAATGATTGTTTTACCTTCCTAAACAACAATTAGAGTTTGCAGGAGGAAATAAGGATTCTTTAGAAGCATCAGATTCAGAGAAGTATTCAACCAATGATCTTGCAAGAATGCTTGAGTTTCATCAGAATTGCGCAGAAGGTAAAATAAATAAATGTATTTTTTTCAAATACATTCCCGTGCTTTTGCTGTTTTTCTTTGTATCAATTTTGTTTGCTCACTTCAGGCTGTTTGAAACCTTTTCTCCTTACGCTGCGAGCAAACTTTGTTTCTGGAAACAACTACGAACGTTTAGTGAATACATGCGAGTAAGAGTTGTTTATGAGAATTGTAAATGAATGACGACATTTTTTAAAGTTATTGGAAATAATTATTTTAGGAAACTTAGCGAAGTATATGAATGTATGGATCGTATAAAGAAATGTCAGCCGAATTATTTGTTTCGTATATTTATGGATGGCTTTGAGTATATGTGCATCGAACACCCTGCCGGTTCTTTTTTTTCAACATATTTTTTGATTTGTAGGAGTTACCAACGTAGCATTTCTGATAATGTCTTCTATATATATTTCGTCACTCATGTGTTGTATATTTATTTAAAAAATTTATTGAAGCTTTTCGAGACTTGATGGAATGTATGGATCTACATACACAAATTGTTACCAAAGGTTCGATATACCATTTTTGGATTTTCAGGTTGATTTAATAAAGCGGTTAAATTTATAACCAGTTTCTTGAAATGGGTTTCCTTAATTCAGTTACAGCTAAATCAAGATTTTGCAGATTGTGAGCAGAAGTGTAAAGCTCATAAATTGATGGCTGGGTGGTTCATTTATTCGATAATGCAATCCACTACGCTTCTTCATACCGAAGAAAATGGCGTACCGCCACGTGTTAATATTGGCTTCCTTCGTAAAATTACTTCTGAAGCTTGCTCGTCAGTCTTTGTGCATATGCATTCATTTTAAATTATCGGGATTTTTCCAGATGCAAATTAAGTGATTATTCTTACCATGTATCATCTTTTCAATTTAGAAGTTCATAATAGAAATGCATTTTCAATTTTCTTCATATAATTTCCCGGGATTAAAGATAATCATACTGTAGTAGGGTTAAATTGATGTTGTTGTTCGAAGAGAGATTCATATTGAACGATCTTCTAACACACTGAAAGATCCGATGAAAGAGAGCAGTATAATTCCATGTCCGAATCGCTATTCGTCATATTTCAGGATCGTACAGTGTTATTTCCTTTGTTTAAAAACAAAATATAATGCACGCTGTCATGGCATTGGAGGTAACTTGCTCATGGTAAGTTTAATTAACAGATTTCATATTCAAATGGTGTCATGTTTGAATGCATTTGAGCCTTCTGACACATCTAAAACTATTTCTGATAAGATGATATAATGAAATTTAACAACCGAAATTTATTATGCACTTTGATAGATTGAAATAGCGAAAAAAAAAAACACACATAAAATCAGTATATCTTTCTAAATATTGACGAGTACATTGTAACATATGTTGAAGGAAGCAATAGTAAGGCCAATATATCGAATCCATAACTCGATATTGTTAAGTCCGTTTTGGAATATAATGAGACTGATGATGCCTTCTCAGTGTAATTTCATAATGACTGATGCGGGAATCACTTGGCAAAGGTATTCTTTGTTCTGTAGCCTGATAATAAAATTAAAGAAACATTCATTTGCAAATCATTTTATTTAATGCACAGAAGTCTTTGCATTCATTAAAGCTTTAAACCTAAGATTGAAGTGATTTGTTTAGAATTAATTCGAAGTTGGACAAGGACTTAAAACAATTTTATAAGAATCGGACAGAACCATTGATTAGATTTCGTCCTCCGGTATATATTCAAAATTCATCTGATTCTATTTGCATTAAAGTATTTCGAGTATCATCAAGTATATAAGTTTAACTCTGAAGAACTTTTAAATTTGAGAATTTGCTAATACGAGGCATAAATTGGTTTCGTGAACACGGATAATACAGAAAAGTAAGCGATAAAAGAACGGGTTGATTGCTTTTTTCTTGCAAGTCTGGTTTTTATGCCTAACATTGTGGCAAACAAGAAAGGTTTTTTAATCGTAAGCTGAGCTTCTATTGTAGCTTCTGCTAGCGATATTTTATTATAGTTTTTGGACAACAAATTTTATGCCAAGTTTCTTCCGTCAAATTATTGATGAAAGTGTTATTAAACATTAAAGAGATTACCTTAAGCTAGGCAATATCAATGAACTTGGGAAATCTCTATTTCGGGAGCAAATAAAGAGGATTGATGAAGAAACTATCGTGAAGACTTTGATTACGCTAAAGAAAAGGAACGAAACAAACGACATTGAACGAGACAATATTGGCTAGTTTTTTTTTTCTCTTACATTCTCCATAACATTGTAAACAGAATCAGTTATAAATTCCTCCTTAAATTCTTGTATATTAATTTGAGAAATTTTTAAAGAGGCAAGATTCAAGTGAATATACTTTTTTCATTATTTGTATGCTTTTGCAGGAGATTATGTAGAAAACTGTTCCGCTGAATATGATAAAGACTGTAGTGACAGAAAGCGAAGACATGAGATACGTGAAACGGATAATAATTTCAGTAGCTAGAAAAACTATAATAATGTTTGCATCACTTGTTCGTTTATTACCAATATCTCATATTTCTTTGCACTAAATTCCTCATAATACTGCTTTGCTGCGTCATATACTGGACGTTCGGTGATTTCGGAATTTTGAAATTAGCCTTATAAATATTTTGAAGATGCAAACGTTAACAAAAGTAACACTTTAATGAAAAAGAGCTTGCATGCAAACTAGTCAAAACTATTATTATATATGTGTTCAGGTCGTTTTAAGATCGTTACAGTGCGATGATTTTGAAACTGTTTTCTATTTTTTTAATTTTCAGATGCAGGAATATTTTGTACTAAATGTCTGGAATAGTTTCCAATGAAATTATAAAGCATTTCTTAATATCTGAAAATGAAGGAGAACGTATTGCTAGATTTTTTTTTTTTTTTTTTGGAGGTTTACTTTTTCGATGCAAAGCGATATATGTGAAGTATAAATAGCCTTTTTTAACAATTATTGTACGGAATTCCACAGATCCCAGTTTTCGGCATACGTAGAACAATGAAAAACGGAATGACTACTCATACGAAATGACTTTTCAGATTCCTTCACCAGTTTTTCAGTTTTTTCAGTATTTTGTAATATCTTCCTGTATATCATCTTGAGGAAATTTTATTGTTCTCATTCATATATTCGTTTTATTAAACCGTTACACTTTTTCTTGGTTTCATCAGTTTTTAATGTGCATTTACAATGAGTGTTATGCTATGAGACTAAGCATCGAATTATTCATAAACTGCCGTAATATTTCAGTCTATTCTTGCAAAATTCCTCAAATATATAAAATTAAATATGCAACAAAATAAAAGCTTATTTTCTAATATTATCTTTAAAAAAAATATTTCTAGGACAAAAAGCCGCACATAGTAACCGAATAGGTTGTATCAGCACCACAAATTCGTTCTGTTGTAACATCCTCATCATAACTGTATTTCACGGAATAATAGTAATTTACAAAGTCCGCAAGAGAGTACCACTTCTTCTAACGTTTTCTTTATGATAAATAAGTGATTCAAACTAAGACAATATGTTGTTATCTTTTATACAGCAAGATAAAGTCAATCAACACAACTTTTTTAAAGCAAAAAAGTCCTAAAAAAATGACAGCGAACTTAAAACTACTGCCGCCAACTCGTACACCAATGTTTTATCCAAATTTTTCTTGAACATTTTTTAAATTGAAAAATTCATAAAAGTAGATCAGAGTGTTTTACCAGCAAGCAGAAATGTAATTCGAACACAAAATTTAGGTGAGTGGCCTCCAAACGATATTGACCAAGTTTTTTTTCTGTTATTAAACACTTCAAAAATACAGCAATCCATAGTGATTGACAGGTATCAAACTAGTCAATTTATTTTCTAAATTTCAGAACAAAGATATTCCTTATCGCTTAAAGCTTTATTTTTGTAGGTAAAAAAATCAGATATGACATAAAGTATTAAAATAAGATCAAAATTTATGAATGTTTTGGAATCTCAACTAAGTTGTGCATGAAATAAGAAGAATGCTCTTCGAAAGGAAAAACAAGGCTTCAAAAATCTCCGTCCATCAAAATGCCTCAAATCGAATAAAAATACGAAGAAAAATAAATAAAACCAACAAAATGTTTTTTGCTCATTCAGCTACACAATACTGCCACCTTAATAATTGCCGTATTTGAAGATAAACCAAAATGAATATACACTAAAACTGCATTTTTGCCTTTCAACTCAAGTCAGAAATATGAACTAATGATTTGAAGTCCTAAGTATTTTAAAGAACACTTTAAAAAGTTTGGCCTAATGCAGCTCATAAAAATTTGGAGTATAATATTTAAAACCTTCAGCAAAATTTTTAGAAAATATTGTTAGGAATTAGTTAAAATGTGCGGTATATATAATGGAAATATTTTACTCTCAGAAATTAACTACAGATATACTACGACGTATAGATGATTATGAGTACTTCTACCGATATCGCTAAACTGATTTCTTTCATTTGCAGTAGTACATCATGGAGACGATGAATGTGAGTTGGTTTTAGCAATCAAAAGTTCTAAACGTTTCAGATGCGCTGATGTTGTTCGTAATATTGATCGGGAAACAAGATTGAGTATAACCTGAAATACTACATTCTTCAGTGATAAAAGTTGGAAAATTCTTCTCTATAGACGGAGATGAAAAAGATAATAGCTTATATGTCCTTAGTCCACTTTTCATAAGATGAATAGAATGAATATATGCTTACTCGAATTTGATCATTAAAGAAAACTCGAATCAATATGGTCCTTTTACTATTTTTAACTATTAGAAAAATTTACAGATTAGCTTACTTCTTTCTTCATTTCCACTCTTTCCGCACTTTCGAATTTCACTTTCTCTTGTCTTTCTATTTTCTTTATTGATGCCACCTTCTCTAGCTGTTCATGCGTATCACTTGATGAATCCTCTTCTTCAGTCCATTCTTGAACTTCACCATAACTGTTTGAGCTCTCTTTTATCAGTTTACTATTTGCAACATCGTCGAATACTTTTTTACATTCATCCACATTATCCTTAATGACTGGATGTTCACTAATTTGTTTTTCTTTATTTTCATATTTTTGCCAGTTTCTTTGAATTGTCTCAGATCTATGTTCCTTTTGTTCAGCTACTCTGCTTTCATCTTCCGCTTGTCCAGATACATCTCCTTTTCCACTAACTGGTCTTTCAGTTACATTCTCCATTTTTGTACCAACCACTATTCTGTGTGATATACAAGAATAAAGCACAGAAAGTTTTTTTAAATGTGATGTCTTTTCAAGTTTTTGGAAGCACTGTAAAATAACGGCTTAAAAAAAGAACGAAAAAATTAATCGGTAAAGACGATTTAAGGGATGGTTAAACCTTGCAAAACTATCATCACTTTCCCAATCATTAGCATTTGGTCCCGATTTTTCAACTGGAGTCCCAACTTTTGGTGATCCTGTCATTTTTATTGTACATATTGTTGTTCTCTCTGCTTCATCCTCAGCATGAATTTTTATTATTTCTGCTCGCGATTTTTCCTCAGTTTCATTACTTAGTGCTATGAGCTTACTGAAATGCAAAATAAATCATTCACAAGGCAATGATAAAGTTCCACGCCCCTCCACTTATTATAAATAATTAATCCTGAGCATAATAAAAAGTATCAAAATGAAAAAAGACAGATATTCTACGAAATCATCTTAATAATCCCTGTAGAACATATTCCTGTAGAAAACAGATCCTTACTTTTTTTTCCTTAGTCTTTTTCATACACAAACAAATGCCTTTTCACACACAAAAATGCTAAATTAACGTAAGAATTCAAGACAAATGTTCGTGCCTTTCTAAAAGAAAATTTCGAAGTTTTGTCTTACTTGATAGTCCTCATCTGCTTTGTAGGTATTTTGAATTCATGCTTCACTGGCAGTAATTTATGAACGTATACTGGTGAAGTATCTTTCTGTCTGGACCATCCACTTTTAGCATTACAACTGTTTTTTCGCTCTTCTTTCTTTCTCAGTTCACCTTTCAGATGATTAATCAATGCAATAAGTTCTTCACGTTCAAACGTAGATAACACTGCAAAAATTTTTTAAAGAAATTCGAAATAGAGTTCCCAAATGAAGTTTACCAGGCGTCTGAAATTTGTCATGCTCCACTAACTGCTCAATGTTGCTTTTTTGCCATTCTTCTTAATGCAATTTTTCCTTTGGAGTGAAATGAAAAACCAGTTGTTTAGAGACATTGTCTCGTAGAGAACTATCCTCAGGTTATCCCATCCCTGATTTATCGAAAACAAGCATTGAAATGAGTCAAATTCGTTTTTCCTCACTTTAAAGAAAAATTTTGTCAAAATTGAGAAATAAACAAACAAGCAACTTAAATACTAAATTGCGAGTAAACACGGAATAATCAAGCAAAATACGTTCTTGCAGGATCGACGATCCGTAATTAAATAATAATTGGTATCTGCAAAACCTATTACGCTGTACCAAGTGAAGAAAAATGCATTCTACAGGAAATTTAGTAACGCCTTTAGTACTGATAAGACTTTCTTTCGATTAATTCACACACACACACATTCCATATAACACAACTAAGTCTAGCCTCTACTAACATCATGCACGGCCACATTCTTAACTTATCAATTTTGTACTGATATCCATTTAACAGCAGTAAAAGATAATCAGTCTTTCTTCAGTATTCATTCCTCAGCCAAGCATTTTTTACCGTGATGAAAAAATTCAGTGAAACTTGTTAATCGTAAACTAATTACATACACATACTTTACAAGAAAGTAGCTGTTTAGTTCAGAAATTTATTTTTAATAATGCTAATAAAAAGAAGCAAAAAATCTGTAAATTAAATAGTAATAACAAAATCATTATACCTTACCTAGATATGATGTGAGCAATTGCAAAGCGAAGAACAAGGAGACCTCAATAGTCTGCTGTGTCTTTTTGGTAAAAACATGGAGCATACGTAAAGTACTGTGACCATCGAATGTTCAAAAGCTAGGCAGTTAAAGCACAATATTTTAATTGTGTACATCCGTTGTGATGAGAGAAAAGCTGGCGTGATGTTCTGAAGTTGCGAGCTATGCTGGCAGTACGTATGGCTCCAGTATGGCCTTCCATAAACAGATCAGTCCTAACTGAAGTTTCACATAATCTGCCCATGAGTAGCATACGCTCATTGGCTTTAGGGAACAGACGGAATTCGTTATCTTGGAAAGTGGTCTACAAAAACGATATCCCAAATAAATCTACTACCTGCGAATTCCCTGGATTTTAAACGTAAATAATGGGAAAGTTCCGGGCGTGCTGCCATTTAAAAAACTCATTGCGCAAACTCGAAGAATATACCTGCTTTCGCAAAGTTCACTAGCAAAGATGTGGAAACGGCAGATGATAGGTACCACTGGAGCTGAAGTCTAAAACTACATGCAAGAGGTTTTAGACCCGTCGGTCGAGACTGACTTCGAAGATGACAGTTTTTTCTGCAGCATCGTAAAGGACCAATTTCCAAAGAGAATACTGCTTGCTCCATATGGAGATGAGTTTTGGAAAAGGAACCTAACCAAAGCTGATTTCCACGTTCTACCTGATTAGCTAATCGCAATCAACACATGTATTCTGCTATGACTATACACATTTTTTCCTACTTTCAAACGTGTTTTCAGATTGACTCATGTTGAAACATCAAAATCATGTCTGATACCACGGATAGATTCTCCGAGTTAATGCCGCAGAAAAAACAAATTCAATATTAGCTTTCTCCATCTTATCCGAAAGATTCCTGTAGACGATAAAATCATAATCCTTGATGATTTCAATGCCAAAGTAGGAAAGAATTCTAAGGTTTAGAAAGGAATACAAGGCAAACATGGTGTTGGAAACTTCAACGATAATAGACGCATACTGCTACGACACAGACATCATCTTTGAGCAGAAAAACAGCCAAAAAATGATGTGGATGCACTCTCGATCCAAATATTAGCACCTCACCCACTGCGCTTCAACTTGAATGACGCTTAGCGCTGAATGTCAAATAAACAGCTTTGCGATGAAAACTCAATTTTCACTTTCAGGCCAAACCTAAACGAGGAAATATTCTCAGTAAGTAGTTCAAATCTTGAAGTTACTACGATAAGAGACAACTTCCAGACTAACCTTCAAACCAGTCTTGCAGACCAGCCAATACATTCCTCCTCTACACCACTCTGGCAACTCATGAATATATTACCCAGCAGTCCTCCGCAGAATGCTTAGGTTCATATCAAAGAAATCCAAAGATTGGTTAGATGAAAACATCTGCAGATGCAAGAACTGCTTGCTTGCTATTCATGAACAGGCTCCTCACCGAGTGCATCTCACTCACCCATCCTATCTTGCAAGAAAGGTAGCTTTTCGTCTTGCATGCATTAAGCTTCAACGAAACTTCGGGACATCAAAAACAAGTGGTGAGTCAATCCAGTACAAAAGGATTCCAGGAACTCTACGAAGCTGAAATTAGTGCACAGACAACACATCAGATTCACAGTCCTCTTCTCAGTTCAGATTGTCGCTCTTCTCACAGATAAACCTTCCACTTCAAAGCGATGGTTTAAAACTTTCAATCTCTCTTCAGTGCACACCGCTCACTTATCACTCAACAATCGATGAAAACTACTGAATTGAACGTAGCTTCCACTCTGCATGATATTCTCAAGGCAATCCGAAATCTAGAAGCATGGAGGCCATACATTCCACGTTAATTCCACAAACTTATTGTGAGCTGTTGGAACGATAAGAAGAAATCACCTTGCACGACAAAAAGAAAAGTCCGATTATTCAAACTATCGAGATATAACGCTGTTCTCTATTGCTGGTAAAATTGTTGCAAGAATACTTTTGAACAGATTAGTACGCACTACTGCAGAAACACTTTTACCTGAGAACCAATGTGGTTGCCGAGTTAATAGAAGCACTGCAGACATGACATTGTTCTCAGACAACTTCAAGAAAAGTATAGAGAACAAAACAAAGGATTCTATGTGACATCTATTGACTCAAATAAAGCATTTATTACCATGAGCAGAAAAGACTTCTGGAAGAATTTTGCAGCGATAATCATGTTTCTTAAATGAACGAGGATCGGTGTAGTCAAATTAGATACGACACTCTTTGATTGCTTCGCGATAATCAATGGCGTGAAACAAGGTTGCGTCCTCGCATCAATTCTATTCACATTGTTCTTCAACATAATGCTCCAAAGAGTCTCGGCAACCTCGATGGAGAAAACAGTATTTACATTTGATATCATACCGACGAAGGTTTACTCAATGTCAAACAATTGAAATCACATACCAAAAATCACATAATCTTATCCGAGAATTACTCTTCGCAGATCGTTGCTCACACAGAAGCGTCCTTGGGACATATAACTTCCTGCTTTGCAGAAATTACAGAGCTTTTTGGACTAAACACCAGTTTAAAGAAGAAAGAAGTATTGTACCAGCCGTCACCACAGATCGATTATTGTCCTCTTTCTGTCATCATAGGATCATCCAAACTCATATCAGTCAGCAATTTACCTTTCTAGGAAGCACCATTTTATCGGATGCCAAATCGACAAAAAGATTGGCAACAGATCAGCAAACTTCGCCAGATCTCTTCATAAATTTTCGTTTCTCGTTGCCAAACCGACACTTAACGTGAAAGGCGCTTAATGAATACATGCTATACATAAGATGAAGTTACTTATTTTTGAAAGCAAGTCTTCAATGCTTCCTTCTGACTGAAAATGCTTCATGAACCGAAACGGAAAGATGGAAAAAAGTCAGCGAATTTTCTGAAAATTTAAAAATCACTAAAAACAGTTCGGATGCTTTTCTTATCTTTGGTATACTAAACGAGATATTTCTTGGGACAGTATGTATAAGAAATGAGAGAAAAAAGTACTAGACCACATGTTTAAATTATTTCAGCATTATGAAACTTGTAAGCTCATCAAATTTGTGTGTCAAGCTTACCATCAGGAGGACAATTTGAGGAGTTAAAGAAAATTTGTAGTTTTGAACGCATTTTATGATTTTCTTTCTCCAGAAAGCTAACTGTTTCTTTCAATTTTCTATCATTATTGCTTTTTTGTCTCTTCGGCAAACTGCGTACATCAGTCTTCATTTTGCTGAAAATTCATAAATAGATTTTTTTTTAATAGTCTGACACGAGTTACAAATGTTTAGCAAACAAAACATAATAATTGATAAAGATTTATAGAAATGGAAGTAAGAAAAACAATGCTGACTTGATTGGAGGGGTGATGTAGGTGAGATAACGCTTCAACTGGTTACATTCTGATTCGATATACTCCTGATGATTTGGTATTTTCATTGCTTCAAGATCATGTTTCAGTCGACTGAAATCATAGTTACAGTGCATGCTGTTTAATAAGTAATTCCTCAAGTTAAAACTAAACACTAAACACAAAACAATGAAAACCTTATTTCGTTGGTCTTCTCTTTTAAAAGCGATTTCAGCACTACAATTTTCTGCTTCATTGCAAGCATGTTTCCTTGTTGGCCATCGAATGCGCACCCTTTAGACTAAACTATAGCAATACTGAATATCTCAGTTATCCTCGAATTTTGAATATAAAAGTAAAGCAGCAGTTAATTTAACCAAGACAAGTCTATAACAAAACCATAGAATCGATAGGACAGAGTCTTGTAAGTAATGTATGAATAGATAAACAACAGACCTGAATAAACAACAGATTCTGTAACTGACGATCTTTCTTTACTACTTCGTTATTTGAACGTTTTAAACGCGTTTTTAATATAACGTTTTCCTTTAATGCAGCAGCGTAATTCTGAAAGTGGAAAAATGATTGATAAAGATTGGCACAAGTTTCGAGTAACAACGTCATATGTGTATATGTAACCTCATAGTTTAATGCTACAGTTCTCCTGATACAATCGTGATCATTTTGAATTATCCCTTCAAAATGAGTAATTTCGGAATATCATCAACAGTATTAGATCTCTGTATTTTCCTCACACAACTTTTTCTACTTCAACCGAACCATGTATGAATTATTGATTACAACTATTTGCAGCCCAGCTCGCTTACTCGTTTGATTCCATACAGCTCCTCTTGTAAATCATCGATCTGTTCTTGTTGTGACGTTCTACCCTGATAGAATTGCGATGATACTGCAAAGAATTAAGTTATCTATTCCTAAATTGTTTGCCATTTTGGTACCGCTGCACCTCGACAATGTAACCACATTATATCAGTCTTCCATCAATGCTAGAAGTGTGAAAAATTCTAGAGCTTTCTTCCAGCACATTCAGTGAGATGCAATTTAGATAACAGTGAGACAGATTTCGGGAAAAAGTATACCATAGATTGGTCGTTTTTCCAACAGTTTTAGTGGTACGACGGGAAAGGATGACGGCTTAACAGAAAGGCGATAATTAGTGGCTGGAGCTGGACGTTTCGAGGAATATATACTTCTTAGCATTCTACGGCGATCATATATTTCCCCCGATGTACTTGGATGAACTGGAGAATCATGCTTTGCTAAAATTCCAATAATGCGAACATATTTGGAAGTGCAATTGCGAATTTCATACGTTTTATGAAAATTCAAAATAGAGGTTTAGAACTGGCCTCTACTTCTATATTTCGAGTATATCTAACATAATCATTATTTTCTTCACTAATTAGTAATAGCTTAAATCATATGCTAAGTTGAATATACTACTTACCGATATAATATGCAGTATGATCAATCGAATTGATGGAATTATTTGGAACTGAACTGCTACTATCTGCTTCAACAACACTACTTTGTGATTTGTTTTCTTTGGACTGTCTTTGATCGTGTAAGTTGGCAAATTTAGCAGCAGCACTCGTCGCTGACATGAATTAACCCTCAATATAGAAAAAATGAATAGTAGAGTGACACATAACACTAATTTCTACATATAACAATTAAACACTTAATTTCTGTATGAAGAGTAAAGAATGGCAGTGAAACTAAAACTGAAGTAGCACTAAAATGGATATTACTTGACAAAAGGTACGACTTTTTTGCATTATTCTTTTTACGGAACTCCCGCTTCAGAACATTTACAAGATATATATCATTTCTGTTCTTAACCTAAGTATAGAGGTAGGACTAGAGTGATGCATAGGTAATCTGTTAGAACACTGCCGTTCTTTGTCCTATTGGAAGGACTTTACATATTTTGTATTTCGACTATCAAAATTATCTGTAAAAACTGTTGAGAGAAAGGATATATCATGGAGGACGATAACTGCAAAGCTGTTCCACTCAAAAAATCTCATCTGAGCGCATATCTCTCTCAGCTTATTACTGCAATTTTTTTTATCCATTATAAGTTCTGCTAGCTTAAAAAGAGTCATTGCTTTATATGGTCGGGTTCCTCAGCAACAATCAATGAAAATTTAGAAGATGCAGCTGACATAAGAAGGAAGGCGTTAATACTTTTATAAAAAATAAGAGTTACATTTTTAACTGGTATAAAAAGTGGAAAATCTGGGGAAAAATCTAAGAGCAAGTTCATTTAGATAACTCATAACATGTTATCGCCGCACATTTTCTAACATTTGAGGACAGGCAAAACCTTACGGAACATATTCATAGCAATAAAGTGATCTATACTGTAGTTTCAGGTTATTCTAAACTTGGTTTCAGATTATTTTAAACTAAACAGACCGAAAAAGGAGAAACTATTGTGTTTAAATTTGTCATATAGTAAGTTTCAAATTATAATTTCTGCACTAGATATCAATCTGGAAAAAAGTCCTTGATATTGATATGATGTTAAAGTAATTATTGACATAAGGGAACAATAAGTGATTATATTTTGAGCGAAGGATTGAACGAAAATTATGCTAAGAAAAATATTGTCAAAAATATTCCTCTATAATTCCACTGTAAACCGAGTCAAAGATACGGAAATCATTTCGAACATGGCTGTTCAAACTTCTGAAACTTTCAAGCATTCCATGAAAATGTACTAGTCAAAGATCATTGACGACCCAACTAATGAAGAATTGAATTGAATCATTTAACATTATGAACACATTGATAATCGCATCTGACGGAGGAGATGAGTTTCGCTTAATGACCACTCTCGCTTATGGACGAATAAAGAAAGTAGTGAAAGAAGAAAAAGTTCGACAACTTGTGCAATTTTGAGCGTTGCTAAGGGACAGTATAATCCAAACGCGCGATTATCTTAGGAAGTGCAGAAGCAAGCTGGATAGACAGATACTCTCATTCTGGAGACGAGGCACTTTTCACAAGCATTGTATCTTTCACATGGACTGGCTGCACATAAAAATGAGTTGGAAAATCAAGCAGTAGAGAAAGAAACTGTTAGGCTCTGGGCGATAAAATAACTTTGAAATGTTTTCTAATTAATCTGCCTGTTGTACATTCATGAAAGTGTCATTCAATCTTCTGACCCTATTAATATGCATACTCGTAATAAGATATTTTCTACAAAAGCGAATAAATGTTAAATTTTTAATATTTAAATGTAGAGTAGAATACAATTATCCATAACACTCAGGATCAGCTGCATATTGCAACAAATTGGACATGCTACCTTACAACACTTTTGATATTTAATAATTTTTTTGCGCTTTGATGACTTGACAGTTACTTTCTCTACTATTCTAGTATTTCTTCTACTACTGAATGAATTCTGCGGAGTAGCATTTACAGTGAATGTTGTTGAAACATCTCGTAGAATTGCTAAAATTTTATGGCTTTTGATTTATCACCTCTCTTTTCTGTCTCTTCATCTCATTTTTCTGAATTGGCACAAAAAGAATACGCCAGTTATGTTGTGGTGTAATATCACTTCCTAATAAATTTTATTAGAACTTCAAGTAGTCTCGGCAATTTTTTCTTCTTTGGTGTAATGTTTAAAATTATACAAAAAATAGTTAATCGGAAATTGCAAAAATTGTAGCGATCTTTGTAAAAAATGAAATTTGCAGATTTATTCTATTCTATTGTTCAACAACACATCTCAAGAGACCGTTATGTAATTTCTAGTTTTGAATTCTCATCAGGAAATTCAAGATACATTTCGGAAAATTCAGTGTGAATGCTTTATTTCATGATAAGAAATGGAATTTTGATCGGAACAAAATGGAAATTAACGACTACGTTATAAAAATTTTTGTGAAATATCTAACTTCTATTGGAAATATTGAGCTCACATGAGTTGTAAGTAAAGTATAATATACGTCTTTAATTGAAGACTATTCTTATTCTATTTAAGCCATGTTTGTAAGAATATTTTTATCAACCATTTAATCATTTTTCGCGAACTTTAGCCTGTACCACAGTCATGAGCATTTGCTGAAAAATTAGTTGCAAATTATTCACTTTACGAAAAGTGTTTTTGGACGTGCTATTCCCATGCATTCAGGATGGGTATTGTTCTTTGTTGACTGTTTTTTTTTTTTTTTTTTTCTTGCAAATTCATCTGAATGAACCGCGCTTGATATATTTGCTTGTAGGTGTTTCCGGCTGTAGTAGAACTGCAATACAGTCTCTTTCAGAAATTTCCAATTCAGAGCTATTATTTGTGTGGTTACGATGTAATGTCTGAAGTAATGCTTTTTTGATTTTTTCTTCAGTTCATTAGAAATACATAATGACTGTGTATAAGTTACACGGAAAACTGGTAGGTGATTCTTACGAAAAAGTAACTGAAATAAGAATGGCGAAATTGCGCCAAATATTTTTTTTTTTTTTGTGTTTTACACAATCAAATTATGTAAATGAGATTATTCATCTTGGTAAATGCACTTTACTCTTTCGGAAATATATCAGAGCTTCGCTATATAGCTTTGTTCTGAAATATAAAACGATTATAAAGTACTGAAATTGTGGATAGCTAACTCATTATCATGTGGTAAATTGGAATGTCGTGTTACTTCCGGGATGCTATATCCTTGTGTTGGTCGTTGTTGTCGGTGACGTTTGAACAAATGCGCAATTGTCGTAAGGCACATACACTGAAACTCTGAAGAATATTGCATTTTTTAACTAACATCATAATATCAAATTAACAAATGAGTTTCATGAGTTTTTTTTAACTATTTCAAAAATTTTGCTGGGTTTTAGGCAAAAAAGGTTATATTAGTAGAAATACCAATAACCTGATCATTATCGTTCACATAAACAACATATCTATGCCATGCGATATTGAAAGCAAGGGCGAAACCACAAATAACTGAAGTTAAAGCAAATCCGAGAACAACAAAACTTGCAATGATAAGCGCGGTCCATGATACTTGCTTCTGCATAGTTTATAAAGTATTTCATATTAGCGAATCAAATCTATTCGATTCAATTTATATGTAATTATATCGCATCTTTACTGATTTCCATAAATTGAAAAGAAATGTGATTTTGTTTATTAATGAGGGAATTTAAGCTTACGTGGTATACGAAAAATATGGAGATGAAGAGAGCATGAGTAATTGCATAAATCATGGCAATGGTTAGGAACACAGAATTCACGATGATTAAATCCAAACTTTCGAGTTTAATTGATGCTAGTAGTGACATAAGCGAAAGTAGCCATAGAATGCACATTCCTATAAAAAAATTACTATGCTGTATGCTTGTGAATTTCTTTGACTGAAGAATTTAAATTCATGAGAATTTCCTACCGGTATAGACGTCTGTTGATATCTGTATCAATTCAGTAAGGTCTAATTGAGATTCTATTCCACCAGTCCTACCATTTTCATTCATATCTGATGCGTGATTTCCATCCCAAATAATTTTCTCTATTAAGTTCATGTCTTTGCTTACTTCGGCTCTACTCATCTGCAAAAATGAGTTTCAAATATCTTACTTCTCGATTTGTAATTGTAGAAATTGATCAAGTTGAGAGAAGGAAGACGAGAAAGCAAAGCTACTGATTAGTGTGCACTGTATTTAGTTCTGTCTAAAAAGTACGTTAATTGATGAAAAGGTTTTGGAATGAGAGCATCTTCTCCAGAGAGCTTTCGTTTACGGAAAAAAAATGTTAGGATACACAGTGTTATGAGAACTGATTCTGATTTGTTAAGTATGTCACAAACTGCTGTCACATTGATGAGAGTCGTTGTATGCGTTGCTTCAGGTTGCTTTGATTGTTGTTTGATGCTTCTGCTTATAGTTATGCCGTTGAGATGAAATATTTGATGTGTTGTGAGGGCTGCACTCATTATCAGACCAAAAAGTTGTATGCAAAAACTTGCAATACCAGTGTGTCGTGCCGGTATCTGACATAGAAGGGTCATTGCAGAATTGTTTAGCAACACATGATTCTCGATCATGATTCCTGAAGTTTTTCAGTTTCTAGTATTATGTTATTCTGTGCCATACAAAGAGCTTTCAGACATAGCAACGAAAATTCTTCAACGCAAGTCAGTGATAGGGAAAAGTAGCAAGTGCGCGTTATAACCACCCGAATATGATTATTAAAACTTTTAAATGTTATGTTTGCTCTGATTTTAATTTCTGTTCACTTTAGTAAAAAATACGACTGAACTTGTATCATTCTTTGGTGTTTGCGGAATTATGATACCGAAATAACGTACCATTTCTCACTGTCACATAATCTGCATTTGTTGATGACATAATTGACAGAACTATCCATATACATAGATATTAAATTCAGTTATGTTTCATATAGTTTCACCAACAATTTATTTTTTCCAATTTCCTTTCTGAATTTTCGTTTGTTTCTAGTTCTGAAGAGGACTTTACCCAACTTTTAAAGAGTAAACTTGAATTTTTTGCCAGCCAACCAAAATTTTCTGTAATCTATTGGAAGAAGCTCAATGAGTTAGCTTTTCTATTTGGACTTATTTCGTCTTCTTAACTCTTGTAGAACTAATATTATCAGGCATTAAACTGTTATTAGTTATCAAATGGTATACAATTATTACAGAAAATGTTCATAGGTTCTCTAATAAATACGGAAATAAGATTGCATATCCTATAATTAGATGAACTGTGGAAAACTGCTCTGGAAAGCAGCAATGAAATTTGAAAGAAATAATCAGAAATAATGAAAAAATAGGAATAACGCTCTGAATCTAGTTACCCATAGCAACGATTTCTAAGGATGGTTTACCTCTCTCTCTCTATCTTTCTGTCTATTCTTCGACATCAAATATTTTAAGCCTATCTACATTCCTATTTAAGCCTCCACAAATCTATTGTTCATATACGATGATTATCCATAGAATGTTGCCTATTAGTCTACTGAGAGTTTTGAAATGAAAAAAAAAGAAACTTCCGCTGTGATTAATTTTTCTACCTATTATTAAATATATCCTGAATTTATAACATCTTTCATGTTTATTTAATTTACTTCTCCAACTAATGTATCCGTGGATGCTCTATGATTATTACGAGAAAAATTTCCAATATGACTAGGCTGATGTCCCTTCCTACAGTGTGAAAATGATGATCAACGAAAAAGTTGTCTATGGATCGTGCGAGTGTCGCGAATTATAATTTCGCGAAGCTCTAATCAAAATAAGTAAGTAAATTTAAAAGAAAGACTAATAAATAATTTTAAATTGTAAACAATCTTACAGTATCATAAATCATTGAAAACAAATAAATCATTGCAAACAATATCTTGCTTTATCTCATAATATTAAAAATCATTGTCAGAACTTTGATTTCTTATTTAACTCATGATTTTCTATTTATTTCAGAACTTATTGCTTACATTAGTCTCTTACTTATTATACTCACGCGCAAATTCTGTACTTATAAATACAGTCTTGATAAACAAGATTATTATTGTTATTACTCTTTTCCTAGCCAACTAGTAGCAAAGACTTTTCCTCTTCTTATTTTATTTTCATTGCTCAGACCTTTGATACTGTTCGTTAAATTAGAATAAAGATACGGTAATTTTTTATTTATTGTCATAAAATGTACTGATTCAACATCACAATAGTTATGCTTTATATCATGCAAACTTTATATTCTTCCTGCAAATAGTCCTTATGTAAGGTGTTGAAGTTTGATTTGTATAAATTGTGTAATTTTGCATGCAGCTTTCTTGAGAAATCATAGTACGAAAAAAAAAACCCAGTAAAAAAGAAAGAAAAAATAAGCTTGGAATTTTAATTTTCTACTTGCCAGCTTGCTCACTTTACTGTTTTGTTTAAAGAATGAAGCAATTTACTGCAATGTGAAGAATATTTACAATAAAGGACCTTTTAGTCAAAAACTTTGGCTCAATAAAATTATTTGACTAAAATTTCAAAATAAAGAGAAAGCAGTAAAAAAATGTTCAATTGCTGAAACCTCTTGGGGCGAACTTCTCCCTATCCACATTGCTAGGAAATGAAAAGAATAAGGTAATGACTAGGAAAGCTCTTTCAAGCCTATTCGTTCCCAACTCTATCACTTTCTTGAATCGCTAGATATCAAAAGTTTTTTGTTTCCATTTTTTTTTCTTTTGTTCAAATCTTTAGTTTTAGAAACGAGAGATTTTTCCTGGACTGACTTTTTGATTCTTTAAGTTTATGCAAACGATAGCGATTGGATCACTTTTGATCCAGAAATTTTGTTTTGATGTCAACATCGCATCACTTACATTTATTTTCTTGACTGATATTATGTCATGATTATACAATTCCACAGATTCACAATGATTTTTGTAATAAATTACACAAAATGTGCGTAGTTGCCTTAAGAGATGTACTTAAGTAGAAAGAAAGCGCTTTTTAGCAGTTGATTTCCAAGTTTTAAGCGACACACAATGAAGAATTTATTTGAATAAAGCAAACACAAAAATAAGTGTCAAAAGTCAAAATGATCATTAAAAATGTTGAAATAATACTTTAAAAAAGGAAAATAAGCAAATATAAAAAATGGAAGCAAATTAACAAATATATGTAATTGCAAGCAAGAAACAGATGGGGCGTGAAAAATAGGATAAATAAAGATAAGGAGAGCTCATGAAATAGGATGCTGTAAGAGACTGAGATAAGAATATAAGGGAGATTTTATTAAATATAGCTTGGACTTTCAAGAGTTCGGGATAAAAGCTACTTTTGAAGAGTTATTTGTAATTGTTCATTCTGATGCATTACATAGGATTTATTTCGTTTAAAAGATTTAATTGGGAGCAATAATGGTGGAAAATTATTTTGATTCTAAGCTTAGTCCAATATCATTTATTCAGTCAGAATGTTACACTGAAAAATCCAAGCAACGTATTATTTTTGTTTAATTGTTTTTTCATTTCTTGCTTGTTCACATACACTACTACTGTATCACCTTTATTATGCTTTCTTCAATTCTTTTAACTGTTTTTAATTACTACAATTATAGTTTTGAAGGCAGTAATTGCATCATTGATACTACCAAAATCAGAAGATCTTAGTCAGCAAATTAGGCTTATTTCACTCTCCTGAAGTCAGGTAATAAGGAGTGGCCTCTCCATGCAGCCTCATCAAAAAAGTTTATTTCAAGTAAAACCATTTTGCTTTGATACTGATCAACTCGGATCAACTCGATAGTTACTTACAATCAGAATTCCTGGAAGAATGATTGAAAAACAAAAAGTTGCGAAGTTTCCCATCCACTAAGTCAATATAATAACTAAAACCCGACATGTGGTGAAAAATGAAACGTAATGAAACAAAAAATAGGGTGTTCATGACTTCTGTTTGTTCGACTTTATCAGCCATATTTTTGATTTTAATGAAACTGCTAACTCATGTGCCAACAAAAGACTAATTCAAGTAGTACTTTAATAGAAACTAATTCTTAAATAGCAAACTCCCAACTGATGAGATTAGCTGAACAAGACAAGAATATTAAAGTAAGTTCCATGCATTTTGCAAATGCCTGCTTTACATACCATGATGAATCTACTATGCAGCCTATTAATCCAATACAAACTGTTCTGGTATATTACTAGAGAAATTTATAAGGTGCTCGCAGTGCTTCTGATTGAACGATTTCCAAGGCCATACAAATCTAGGACTCTTTTTTGCTAGGTAAAATTATATCAACCTTCAGATGAAACTTCAATTAGTGTTGAAAGTCGTAAGCATAATTCTGCTAGGCCAACTTGCAAGAATATTGTGCAGTTTTCTTCTGTTATTTGGTTGGCAAGCTGCAGAATTTCTTTATTACATTATCTTTTGTGTCAAAAACTAATTTGCAAGTTGCTTTCTTAATCAGTAATTAAAAAGGAAAAGACGAAATCCATTTCTCCAAAATTGGAGACACATCATTAGAAGAGCTAATTTATGATTCTTGTTGATATCAAACACAGAAACATATTAAATTCATCGCAGGCAGCATTAACACTATAGGTAGCAGATAAATGTAGAGATTCAGCAATGTATTATAATGTCCTTTACTAACGGCTACTTATGTACTTGATATATTTTTTCTATCACTTACAATTTGCAACTTTATGGATCTGTGCGCTTTATTTAAACAAGAGTTAGCTTCGGTAATGCAGATTTCCTTCCAGTTTAATCTTTCACATCTTTGGATCAACAGCACTGAATAAAACGAATATTTTGTTGGTTGATAGAATTATTTTCATTTCCTTTTTTAGAATGTTAGCTGTTCCTTTTTTCCTTTCTTGAGATTTAAGGTTTGGACATTCAGAAATTTATTCACAAAGATTCAGTAAAACGATCCATATCATCCAGTAATATTAAACAAAAATGCCGTTCACTATGAATTCGAGGAAGCAGACTGGTTATGTTTGAGATCTTCCCCACAGAACTGTGTTTGGAATCAAAGAGGAAGACATAAAAAAAAACATAACTTTTCAATCGATGGAGTTAAAAAAAATTATTTTTATAGGTCAGTTAATCTTCCACATCTTTGGACCAACAGCATTTAGTAAAACGAATATCCAAAAAGCATCCACGCTCGGTATTGGAAGTCTGAAAAAAATTTCCCTCTCGAACCAAAGTTTATTTTTTATATTAGTGGCTGTTCAAAGCAACAGCAGTTACACCGAATTAATCTAGAATTTTTTTTTTCCATCTAATTAGCACTATATGACATAGATGTATTTTAACAAATAGAAATCTGCCTGACAACATTTTGCTTTATCAATTCTTCTAAAAAATAGCATAGGACTAAACCTATGGAACAAAGTAGAATTTCAAAGATTGAGCCTCACGCTTGAAAATTGATTAAATAAGGTCATGTCTGTGATACAAATATAGTTCCTTAAAGCATTATTTGACAGTGAATAAAGGTATTATTCATATTTCATTTAACGTTATTTCACTTTATTTATATTTCGTTTAACGTCGTCTTATTTAGCAGAATATTTTGTGCAGAGTGATAAAAGATCGTTTGATGGCGAGGATTCCAAAACAGTGGATTTCTGTTCTGGGTCTGAAATTATTTCAGGTTCCGAAAGAGAAACAAAGACAAAGATTTAGATCAATCGAAGAATAAAATGAGTGCGGTTCAGATAAATTAAAGCGGAAGTAGTATTGCATTTTATATGCTTGCTGTAATTAATGTTACATTGCTATCCGAAACAAATCATACTGGAAAAGAATATTTAACATAGGAAGAAACTATGCAATTGCATAGTATAAAGGGAAAAGTTAGCAAAAGATAAAAGAAAACATGGTAGTTTTCCTACTGAAACTTAGTTTTAGAGTTTATAAAAAAGAAACTTATCAAAACAGGAGAGGATTCAGGAACTAGTAGATGTAGATTGTCGCTGTGTTAAAAAAGATAGGCAAGAACAATCTGTCAATTCCAAACTACTGTCATGGAATCTTCTCGATAAACAAAAACTGAAAAAGATGTTAAAGATCCGAGATCTCTGTGGAAGATACCGTGCAGTGAACTGACTCGATAGTTTCTCTACCGAGTGCATGATACTTTGCATTTCTTTTCGCTCTTTGTTTATAATAAATAAAAAGGCCGTACACGTAATAATAAAAGTATTGAAATCTAAAAAAAACTAAGTTTCAAGGTTGGGGAGATTCAGAGGCTTCAGCAGCACTATGATTTAGAAAAAAAATGGAAGGGGAAATAAGTGTCGAATTGAGGAATACGTTTCGTACTTCAGTTCTTCTCTGCCGCTATTACCCATTTATGGTTTCCTTTCAGAAAAATAATTAAAATTGAAATTGAAACAATAAAAAAATTAAAACAATACAAAAAAAGTGTTTGAAAATTAATTCTCATATATATATATATATTTGTTTCAAGATGATTTTAATATATACATTCGTTTCAAAGGGACTTCCTTTTGCAATGACACGGACGAATAGTTTGTGTAAAGATCTCTTTGGTTTTCAAATCTTCAATATATGTAACTTACACTCATATGACCTTTCATTACGTTTTTTAGGAATTATTTAAAGCAAGTTTCTCGGATCTAGGTAGCGGACAAGTGTTTAAACAGTTAATTGTAAAAAAATTATAGAATATATACTGTAGATGTAGAAAAAAGTTGAGTGGTAGAGAACCCACCTTCCTTCAACTGAAATAATATTTTCGTACTTTGGAAAAAATGTAACATGAGAATGAGGCCTTACCAGTAGCCCCTGCGATAATAGGCACTTTAAATGCGTATTAGTCTGGCTGAGGTTACGAATTGAAGCTGAAGTAATTTAGCAAATTCATGGTTAAGCAAAGCCTTTTAAGGGAAACGCAATTTCTAAGAACGGAAAAAAAAAATTTTCTGCTTTCCGCTCAAAATTAAGAATATCGACTTTCTTATGCTGAATAATTACTGCTTCATACGCAGCTATTCATTTTTCAGAAATAATAATGCATTTTCAAACAATTGTTGCACTGTTAGACTGATTCTCAGCTACTTAAATTCTAAAGCTATTCGAGTATAGGGAGATACTAAATAAATTTCAGTGCTCTTGTAATAATTGCTTTCTGCATAATTTCTTCCTTGTAAAGAGCCTAGGTAACAGCATTGTTAGTGATGACATTGTGTGTACTATTTCATATCATAAATTTGCTAAAGTAATAAGTCATTGATCCATCATGAAAGTCATTTATATGGACAACCATCCCTACTACGTTACTTTCTGGGAAAAATTATGGTTGCAAGTATATTTCCTTCAGCCTTATACACAGAGAATGAAAAAAAAAAAAAAAAAATCACATCAAATAATAAAGATCTCTACATCAGGAAATCACTGATTACCAGAAGAACGTATGACTAGTGAAGTAAACTCATCTAAATCTACTAAATCTTCCAACTAATTGTTCTATTTTATTCTACTCTCCCATATAACACTTCAAAATGGTATCAGACCATTCCTATGAAAACATCTTACGCTACTCAGCACCATTTACGTCTCATCCTTATTTGCATCCTCGACGCTAAGTAAAAAATGGAACGGAACGTCTAAAGTAGAAAGAATTGCACATCAGTATACAGTCGTATTTTACATTAAGCCACTCACCAACTTACTTTCTACAAAAGAAACTATAAACAAAATAAGTGTGCAATAAGTGATAATACCGCCGAAGTGCGGAGCGCCGCTCTGTGGTCATTGATATTCTTCAGTGGTTTGTACCTATCACTTTGCCCCTATATACATTAATGGAAATGAAAATAGCACAGTTTCCCATAGCATGAAAATAGATCTTCGTTTGTGTTTTGTACGTCTACAGATTAGAACAATTTGCCAAAATTTAACGGTGGCATTACCAGAAACAGTAGATACATAAAGCTTTATTCAGTTTGAGCAAAGTATTCAGTCACGACATATCACCACTTCGGAGCGCATTTAGACAAATATACAAAAGGACAAATATAATACACACTTGAACATATAGAAAACACCTTAAATTTCTGGAAGCCTATAGCTTGCTTTAATATGTCTTAGCGAGCAAAATGAGATGATCAGTTAAGCAAGATTTATTCTTAGAGTAAACAGAGAACAAACATGCTTCAGGTTCCTCCGCTTTCACTTTAAGTGCTTTGCAAGGTCGCATTTTCAGGCGTCCCTTTTGCTCGCGAGCAACAAATTAATTTGAAAATACAATTTAAAATATCAAACGAAAGGATAAAAAGCCTAACAATCTCTAATCAGAAAATAAGCCAGAGGCCAAAAAAGTGTAATTACTTGGCGTGACTCAATCGTAAAGTAACACACACATATATACAAATACGCACAAAGTATTTGAAGACTACCAACTAGTAAGAACTGGATGGAAATTCATACCACAATCCGCTGAAACAACAAAATAATGAAAAATCTTCAATACCGCTTTATTCTGCCTTTGTTGGACCAATTCCATGGAAGGATGTATAATTATCACTCTAGTTGTTTGGCCGAATGCAGGAGCTTGGAAGAAGATACAGGAGCTAATTCCATTTTGTATTGAAAGTAAAAATATTCCAAAATACATTTTTAAAAAACAACTACCAGAAACCTTTCTTGCATCAAAGCAGAAACTGAATACTGAATAAATAAAATATCACTCCATAGCATTTAGACAAAAACAAGACTCCTGTGCACCGAACCAATTTATAAATATAAAGATATTGTGACACTCATTTAAAAGCAAACAAAAATTATGGAACCAGGAAAGTCATTTTTCTCTCAAAATCATTCGCAACGTAGGATGAGATACCAGTCAAGCAATAACAAACAAAGGTTTATACACAATTTAAACAGACAATCTCAAGGCTATAACATATTCGAGACAGAGTAACATTCATCCAGTGAAAAAATTTAAAAGGAGGCCTGAGTGAATATAAAAATGTTGATGAATAACAATTGACCAGTACGAAAATCTGATGCGGGAATGACACGACAATGAGTGTCTTTAACAATAGATTTTTCGAAATGTTCTCCAACAGAACATTCTAGAACCATATTTTATCCATGTAAAATTTAGCGTAGCACATCATTACCGTTGCTATCATAGGCTTAGTCTAGATAAAATGTAACATTTCATTTCAATACTACAAAATTCTTTTCGCCTATACAAAAATGAATGATTAGCAAACTTGATAGAATAATACTGATCTCTGAAGTCAGCTCCAAAACAATAAAACCAAGCAGAAATTTTTACTAGGTACAAAACACGACTAAATCAGTGAAATTAATGATAGCATGACGAAGAAACGAAAAAACAAAAAAATTAAAGCGAAATCATCGCAACAAAGATGCGATTATAGGACATGAAAAAGGGTGAAATTCATAAATGCCTACTACTGTACAGAACCTGACATAAGTTAAGAAAAAAAAAAAAGACAAACATATTTTATTGAAATATACGAGTGGGATTCAACAGTTATTGAAAAAAATTGCAACTTTGTGATATTTTCAAATTCACAAAAGTTGTTGGATCAGAAACACATATGAAATGAATTACCTCGAAACACTGATAAGTGAATATACCAAACGAACTCTAAATGTGCTACCCGACAATGGTAAAGCGGCAGTCTTTCCAGACTAGCTGAACAGCATCGAAAACACTATTTTCTTTAATTTTTGAATCTGCTTCACACTTTCGTTCAATCATATTCATAACATGACTGCAACGAACTTCGTAAAAAACGTACTGGAAAACTAAGAATATTTCCCTGACAATCACGCTTATGCAATAGAGACAAAATCAGTTTCGACATCCATAATTGGAATTTTCGATTATTTTAATTAATGTATTATGACTGAGAAAAAAAAAAAAAACTTCCTAAAAGGGAAAAAAATCTGCAACGCACCTGTAAATAATTCAGCAGTATGTAAATACATAAAGAAAACATGCCACGGAACTACTCATCAGATTTATATTCTTTAGCCTGTACAACCTCATTATCCGCCCCATTCGCATGATGAACTTCCACAGAAGCGACAGTTTCAACTACATGCGGCTGTAACTGTACCATCAATTCTTGCTTAGACCTACTATCACTGCTACTGATGTTTTCTCTTATTCTTTCGTCTCCAACTGACGATAGAACAGAACTTGAAACATGATTAGTCCCGTTAGGTGAACTAACATGTGTTGCTGAAGAATGCGTAATGATTGTTGAATAAGCTGGTGGTGCAAACACTGGTTCCTTAATTGCTTCGTTATATGTTGGCAGTGGAGCCATACAGGCTTGCAAAAGAGCATTGTAGCTGAAAATCTTAAGCGATTTCGGCAAAAGTAGTAGAGAATTTTATCAATTTAAACACTAGCTTGAACATTCTTTTAAGTTACTATATTTTGGAGTATTCCTAACATTATCCTGCTTCTTGTACTCATCTAGTTTGGGGCAGAATATACGTTACGACTTTCTGGTCTAATTACAAGCATAGTTTTAAAACAAGTAATTTTGAAAATTTTAACACTAACTCACAAGAGTGATTCGGAGAAACGAAAGGAGCTTGGAGATGAATGAACATGTGGCCGAGGATAAGCACTATGTGCAAAAAGTGAAACAGGAAGTCGGAGGGAATGTGACTGATAATGGCCACGACGACAATGCAACGAACCATGGCGAACATTACGATGTCTGCAGATTGTACGCGCACGCAAACAACACAAACCACCAAACAGGAATAAACTGGTAATAATGATTGTCAGAAAGAGGTATGAGTTGCCGGATGTCAGTTCGGTAGGTGTCGAAGTTAAAAACCCAGAGAAAGCTGCAATTATTATAAAATCCAGTAAACTCTGGTAGAAATGACTTTTTCTGAATTCTACAAAAAGTGCTCAAAATAATTTGTAAACAAAGGTAGTGTGATTTGTCTCACTTTGTACAAACCAACGCCAATCGAGAACAAATTCATAGTTTTTATTGACATACGTCCATTAAAAACTTTTAGAGACATTTCTACAGAAAATCTTCGAATATTAATTTAATTCGCCTGTGACTATCCAACTGAATCAGTCCATCACTTTTCTACAATAACCATAGATGCAACTAATAAAATGACTTTTTGGGTACTTCCAATTATGATCATGATGAGAAATACAATGAGAATGTATAATTACCGATGAGAGTAAAGATGAGTAGAAGAAATGCAATACAACACCATTTAACCAAAATGAACCGATGTTTTAATAGTTGAGTATCATTTCGAGAACAAACCATTGGTGCTGCTCGTCTGCATGATACCAGATGTCCACAGTCACAAGCCACCAATGTTCCGAACAAATTTTGTGCAGCATGACTTGATACTGGAACAGTGCGATATAATCTGCTCAAGTGGAGTCGAAATGCAGTAAAGTGATCTAGTAAACTGGAGTGGTATCAATACAGATAATATAAACATTCTGTTGATAATTTTCTCTCGTATTTTACAAATAGATTTGCAACATAGAGATTACTTGAAAGCAAAACCACAATGATAAATATGAAACTTACGCCCAATGGCATCACGATGTTCCTGTTCTTCGTTTGCCGCACGCATCAATCGCGGCAGCCACATCTCTATAAATAAATATGCCAACCAAAGCGTTTGGATTAAACAGAACTGACAGTGAAAAAGTGTCACATCTCTGGATTTTTTGATAAATGATCAAACAGTGGTAGGAGATAAAAAATTACCGGCTTAAGAAGTATTTAAAAATTCAAAATTCTGCTGTAAGAAAAATATTGATCTGTCTTAGTATCCAATTGTGAATAACAATGTGGAGACATTTTTACTAGAAGCAAACAACAATCTGTGCAAAAATTGATGTATTATACATCAATCGCAATAACTTATTGCATGTTCTATAGCGGACATTAAGTACGAAAACTGTGTGATTTACGTCTAAGAAAATGACATCTTTAGAATGGCCAGGCAGAGATATACACATATATATAGGCATGTATACATTTCTGTCCATGTGAAGTCAGAAAATGTAGATGCAGAAAAGTCCCAAAAACAGTAAAAAAATGTGATTGAGAAGTAATAAAATTTGGTGATATTTGTCCTCATTTAAAAATGCAACAATACGTAAACCGCAGAATAACCGGATATACTGTTGTTGATTCCGAAAAGACACAGATGCACAGAAGTGAAGGCTGTAATTTTAATTAAACCGGCTGTCAGTGACCATTTTATCTGACTGCAATTGATGTAACCACCATCCACACGACACTAAGTTTAACATAGAAAATTTGCCACCCTTTTAGAATATATCTACAATACCATCCGTGAAATTGAAAAGCAGTGATAGAATGCGGAACGGTAAAATGAACAAAGACAAACGCGGAACAGAGAATTTCCAGGTTTCATTGTTCAGATAGGTTTAATTTATTGCAGATATGAAAGAAAGGTTGGAATATTCTTGTCTCTTTTTGTCTTCAGAAAATGGTGAGAATAAGTGGGATGTATTTTAAGCGATTCTTGTCTAAATAGTGCAGTGTAAGTTTTTTCTATGCTTATGGTATGTTAAATAAAATTTAAAAGGTCTTACGACTTTTAACTAATTACGTTGTGTAATGAGATGGGATCGTAGGAAAGAGAGGGAAAAAATATGCAAGGAGATGGAGAAAGAAAAGTTACATTCACAATAGGTGACCTTTTTATAGTCTGCTTATAATTAGTTTTTGCTAAATAAAGTCACATTAAATTAATGTGAATTTAATTTCAGTAGATTCAGTTAACTAATTTCGTGACCTGTCTTCTTTCTGCACATAAACATTGATTTTTATCACTTACCCACTTTTTATTTATAAGGATTGCAAAAGACCAACTATATTCTGTAATATTAATATGTGGCAATTAACATCGTAGTATCTGGATACGATATCGCTATTAAGCATGAGAAGTGGATAAAGAATGCGTATTATAGTAAACCATCAGAATGATATGATGACATTTTGCCATCGGTATTTAAATACTGCTGAATGCGCTTTATTTGAACTGAAGATAAAAAATCTTCCTTCTTGCGAACAACAACATCCTTTAGGTCATCCCTTAATGCATACTTGTGAAAAATGAAAAATGATACTCTTCACATAATGAACCATTATGTGAAGAGGCAATATATGCAAATGTACGCCTTTATCTGCTTAGCTGTTCATATCTGCTGATTGTTCTGCTTATAGCAGTTGAGATTAATAAAACAAATGGAATCATCGTGTTGGATGTTTTTTGTCTTCCCTGCAACACCAGTGTAGAAGCTCAATGTATGGAAATGCTTATTAGTTCCACTTTATCATTTACTAGTATCAGATGAATTCATTACTGTAAATCCGTTAATTAGATCTAGATAAATTTTCTTTTTTTTACTGGATGAAAGTGCTTGTGGTATAATATGCTCTTTCAACCGCTTAGTAAGAGGGATCTAGTGATACTCCACAGATTTACTTGATTGCTGGAATTAAATTAACGAGAGAAATGACACGCAGTTGCTAGAGATGCTTTTGAGTTTATTGCTCACCCAAAAAACGTAAAAAGCAATTATTCATTGAATTGTACCAAACGGAAACTTGTTCGCACATAACTTACAAGTCATCAAACTTAATTTACAGAATAGTCTTTGTAATCAGAATTCCTCTAATAAACTGGATGTTGTATTGTTTCATATATGGATCTATCAGAACAAGAGTATCACAATTTATATTTTCATATTCACAGAACGTTTCTACTTTCTACCAGGCCAAAATTTTTTTCTTAATAATATGTGCATTTTCTTTTAGAGCTTCACATGTCAATTGGTTTTTTAACCGTTGAAGATAAACTCTCAAAAATTTGGAACAGATGGAAACTCGACAAATTATGTTAGACATTGTTCATCATATTAGACATTGTAACATTTATTTATATTCATTTTATGTAATGCGAGAAATTTCTATTATGCAAATGCTTTTATTATTTAGACGTATGTAGATTATAAAATATTCCAGTTTCTTCAACAAGAATATTGTACGGTTTTGAATATTTATATCTTTGGTTCTTAACCGTGTAACAGCACTACCACTGGACTAGACTTCGTTCTATCACTGACTGCCGGAATTGTTGAGGGGTTCCTGAATGTAATTACCAAGCATTAAGTCTTTGATAATTATTTGAGCTGCTCAGGAAAAAGAACAGTTAAATGCGAAAGATTCAGATGAATCGTATACTTGTCAACAGTTGGTCGATTAGTCATAAATTTTCCTCCAACCAGTTAATCTGCTCAACGTGAATGATGTTTTAAAATGTATTTTCGTCTAGATTATTTGAGATAACGTGGAGTAGTGGGTCACTTACAAGTTCCTCGAAGTCTCCCATTATTCAGTTCGTCATGCCGATTTTCTTTATTGAAAATAGCTCATCAAAGTGATACAGTGCAGTGAGAAACTGAAATAAGAGAAACTGGAAATACAATGTGGCTTTTGATTGTGTCTTCTGCATGTTTTGTGGGTGTATATGTGTATACCATATGTGTGTGTTTACTTATAATGCTAGATGTATTAAAACCAACAGTGATTTTGAGATAGTTTAGAGAATCCCTTAGTATAGCAGCGACAGTGGAGCATTGGTGATGGCAAGGTATAGTGGCAGTTGGACGGGAACAGAGCGTAGTTGATAAAATTTGATATTTTACTTGTTAATTGGTGCCTAATTTTATTTGCTGCTGTTGTTATCAAAAACGAACATCTGTACTTAAATGTTCAACGCAGCGTAACAGCAGCACATAACTAACCAGCGGTATACGCTGGGATTAGTCATCCCACCTACAACCATGTCCTTGTAACCTAAATAACTGTGTTGCTCCCGGTGTCAACAGTCTGATTCATGATGCTGAAAATGACGAGCACGATGACTCACTGTCATTTTCTTTCATTCATTTCCACACTGTCTACTTCGTCGATTTACAAACAAATATTGGCTGTCAGTAGAAAGCAGTGAAACCAAGTCGTTTTCCAGTGAGAGCAATGGCAGTTCAATGCAGCAATCCATGGCCTTTTCGTTTTGGATCAAGCAAACATGAGATATACTCGAGGTCATTATATACTGCACCTACCACTTTCTCCACAAAGGAGCACTATCACATTTCATTTGATTATTCACTACCAACACCTCATTGCCGTACTTCCTGTTGGCGATTTATGCATTTATTCTATCCTTTTATAAGATATTTGCTTATTGCTGTATGCTTTATTACTATCGATGCATCACTTTATCCACCCGTTATCATTGGAAATAAAGATTTTCAAGAATACAAAGGTCAACCATATACTGAGAAAAAAGATGGCGAAACATTGGAATTGAACTGCTCAACAACGGAAGCCGTTAAATGGATATTGCCTGATAACATTTTCCATACCAACTTCGATCCTAAGGAGGTTCGTTTTTTCATGTGTAGTCTGCCTTTTATAAGTGTTCAATTTCTTTCAGTCTTTCGGGATCTTCCGAGAACTGACTGAGACCTTAATTACTTTGCGTAGTCATGGATTCCCTGAATTTCCAAAATTATTTATCAAAAATGTAAAAAGGAAATGTTATGCTTACGTCTGCGATTGGTAATTTAATATGCAGAGTTGGGCTGTAGAAATTAAAGGAGGAAATACAGACTTGTTATGTTAATGGGAAATCACAAAGCCATCGTTGATTGGTGATGATGTGCACTACATTTGGTTTGGAAAAATAACAAAGGTATCTCTTGATCCGCGAAAAAGTTTGTTCCTAAGGCAAATCTGCGAGCGTTTGTTATTGTTATTAAAATGCAATAGGATTGTATAGTGTACATATTTCATGTTTTGCAATTTTCAGAGCACATCTTATAACTTTAGTAATTTGATTTAAGATTAAGATCAGTATGAGAAGTTACACGAAACTAACCTTTTATTCATTAGTACCACAAGTAAATCTGCATTAAAATCTTGTTTTTGTACCATTTTCATGAAAAATTATGAAGCATTTGATATGGAATGATATAAGTTTTTTTGAGACGCAACATTTTACAATCAAAAATTGATTTGATGACTGTTTCATTTATAGCGAACAGGTAGAGTCATAGAGAGCAGCTTTGATATTGGATTTCGGAGTTTACGAATAGAGCAGCTGAAAAGCTCGGACACGGGTGAATATGTTTGTGTTGCAGAGCATTCCGGATTTAGTTCCTCCGTATATGTATATGTATCCAGTAACAAAAGTTAGTTCTCTTTTCGATTAGAACTCTTTCGAGTATAAGTAAGGAAAATAAAATCCACAGGATTTACCTTTTTTTTTTAAAATAATTCTTGTCGATTGTTTTATGTTAAATAAAAAAGTATAAAAGATGACAAATTTGTGTGAGACTGTGCACTACGCTGTTATAGTTAGTGGCTGTATGAGATATGTTCATCACAGATAGAGTATATTAAAATTAGAAATTTATCAGTAAGATATAATTCAGATGGAAAGTCAGTTAGAACAGGGTCGTTCTTGAATTCTGGTCCCTTAATTATTTCTAAAGAACTTCGAGGACTTAATGTGATCTTGCCATGCAGAACAGATAAATTCATTGAAAGCGGTGTGGAGTTGTTCATTAATCATATAAAGCAGACCGGAGAAATTCAGTTTGATCCGAGGTAATCCGTTCTAAAACATGATTCATGAACTTTGGAAAATTCGTTGTTTAACCAATTGTTTATTTTTAATGGCACTTTTGTTTTCTCTCCTGTTTTCTTTCTCTCCAAATACAAGAATTATCAAAATTATATTTCGTATATATAGCTGTGTTGTGCATAATGCAACCCGATAATTTTTTCAGGATCGGATTCATTGTGGATCGAGGGCTTCTTAACGATCGTGCGGAGGTGCCGGTTCGTTGTGAATATTTGGGCCATACTTCAGAAATGATAATAGTACCGATAAAAAATGATAAAGAAATGGAATACTCGCCAGTTATTGAGGTGTCGAATACATGGCCTTACGTTAGCCAGGAATTAAATATGAACTGTACCTTTCATACAAGAGATGGATTTAGATATATGCTGACCTGGAAATGCCCTCAGTGTGAAAATGAGACGGTATGCTGCTTTTACAAATCATTGTTCTCTGCTGCAATTTATAAGGTTGTTCAAAGTCTTGAAATTGCTAATCTCATTTCTTTTGTCACATGTGAAATGTCATGTATGATATTTCTGTTTTATTAATTAGAAGTTTTGAAGTTATAGAAATTTAAAAAATTTGAGCTTTTCGCACATGTTTGCTTTTTTTTATTTGCATAAGATATGTGGAGACATCAGCATTTTTGTACACTTTAAAGAACCTAATGGAATCCTGAGCACTAGGTTTACTTGTTACAGTCAGCAGTAGTTTGTATCTCTAAAATTCATATCACATTATTGCACTTCCTCGTTTTCATAATATTGCAATGAAAAGAAATGGCAAAGATTTAGACTCAGTATTTTTAACTTTCTTTTAAACTTTACTTCACCATTATGCTAAAAGAAACAAGCAAAATATTTCTAGGATCGCGTCGTTTCAAATCGTTATATGAAAATTGGAGATGGTATCAAGAAACTGTTGTTTATTAGAGATTTGCATGAGAGCGATTCTGGAAATTATGAGTGCATAGTGACAAATAGGGATGATGGTCATGATGTTCGTCGAAGTACGCATCGGTTGCAAGTGTCACCCACAAGAGGACAACTGAAAGTGATAGATTTCTCGGAAAATATTGATTCTGAAGAGGGTAAAACTGTGAGGTTGTTTCATATAGCAAGAGCATTTCCAAGCGATGAATATAGTTCTGAGTGGCGAAAGGTTTGTTTAGTATAAAGTTTCCTCATTTAGGAAAAGAAATATTATTAAAAAATATATTCAGTTTACTGGTATTATTTTCAATATTCGGTTAGACAAATTTTATTCATCTGATTCCACCTAACTTTTGGTCTTCTATGTTCTGTTTTTCAAAGCACCAGACAAAACAAACTCAACATTTTTCTTTTAGACCAGTTTAATCGCTGGCTCTTCCTAATCAGTGTAACACGTTTTTTAATGAACTGTAACTTAACATGAAATATAATCATACTAAGATTTTTTATAGGAGCTATCGTCTTGAAATCATCCCCTTCATTTCATCCAGAAGTCCGAACTTCCTGGTCTCAGTTGTCAGTGTCTTATTTTAATTTCATGAAGCCATAGTTAGGTGATGCAGTAATTGCAACCTTATTTTGCTTTTGTGGTTTAGCAACTTAACCTTTCTGATTCACTTTCTTTGTTCCTTTGCTTTGAAGATGACAGTTTTTAGTATTCGAAAACGATATCATCTGGAGAAGAATTCATGGAGATAATCAAAAAAGATATAAGAAGTGAAGTGAATGCAGATCTTCATGAAGATGAATTATCAATCATTAATGCTACTGTTGATGATTCTGCGATGTTTGTCTTTTTGATATTATCACTGAAAAATAAGACACACTACGGATATTAGGATCATATTATGAAATTTGAGAACTAGGTTTAATGGGAAGCTCCATCACTAAAAGCAAACAACTTGCCGTAAATTTTTATTGCAACTGCAATACCTTAAAAAATATTTATAAGACAAAGTAATTTAATATTTCAGTAAGTTTTTCATTCTTTTTAACGTCAATTCATTTTTATTTTCAGTAACTGCAGATGAGGTTAAGATAACCTTAAATATTTTTTATCCATTTCGTTGCTGTATTTTTTAGAATTACATTTTCAAAATAGCCATTTCATGGGTGTGAATAAATAAAAACCCAAGCAAAGTATAGTGGCAATAGGTGTTACTTATTCTAGCAATATTTACATTAGAAAGTATGTTGCAGTTATCAGTTAGTGATAAGAGTGTCGCAGGATTATATTTACCGGAAAAATTGGACATTATCCATTCGTCCCATCGATATCCAACCACACATTACTATACATGATCAGTTCGGCCAACTTCTGGTATCTGATGTGTTAATCGATTCGAAAATAATTGTTACGTGCTTAGTGAAAGATACAAGATCTCGCAAATTACGTCTGTTATACGTAACGTGAGTTTTCTTATATCCATATACAGATTTTTTTTTCATAATCTTTTGCTCAGGTTTCTTGAATACAAAAGTGATTTCTGTACCTGTAAATTCAGAAGAGGCGGTGAGTGGGAACAACCTGATGATAGCAAAGAATTATCCGGTTTCACTTTCGAATCTGCTATAAAATGGATAACATATGCGAAGGAGCATATGCGAATACGTTGTGAAGATGATGAAACCAATAAGGTATTTTTTGTTATTTTATGATCAGTGTGATCTTGAAAGTAAACAAAGATAGCATACACTTAAAAAGAAGAGATTGTAGAGCAATTCTTGCGCATTTTATTTATTTCCCTTTTTGTTTTTCCAGAATTATAAAAATTTGTTAAAATCTGTGGTTCATTTATCGTTCGTTTTCTCAATTTCTTTTTCTCCACATTTTTGATGTTCTTTCTCTTTCTCGTGAAGTCCAACCCATATTGCGAAATCGACTTCGTAGTGTCGAGGCGTGACGTATTCTTTGCCATTTTTATACATTGTATGGAAGGAGAATGATCAAAAGTCATATGCACATGCATTATTTGCTTTGCTTAAAGCGATACTACCATAATATATTTTGAAGATTTTGTAAAACTTTATTGACCGAATTAGTTTTTTCTGAACCTTATTTTCCTTCTAAAAGTGCATTTTTCTTACCTCCTCTGCTTTTTTAAAATGAGATTATTTAGGTGGATGAAAAGAATTTGGTCGTCTCCGAAGTGGAGACAATTAACGCATCTTTTATTGCCAAAAAGCCGATTGATTTACTCAATGAAGACAACAATATCTATGAAAAAGATCATCTCGAGCTGATTTGCATACTGCCACTAAACGATGATTTGTTGGTATTTTGATTTTTATAGATGAAAAACAAGGAAGTAATATGACAAAAAATTTTTTGATATATTATTTTGTTTCTACCGGCCGGAAAAGTGATCCTATGAACCAATGAAATCGGTATTTCCTCAATATACTTTGCTCTATTCTAGCCCTCGACTGACCTTAAAATTTATTTAATAAAAGGCTTTTTTATATCTTCTTCAGACATTATATTTGAGAATTAGAGTTTGAAAAAGAAATAAAAGCAATTTCTAAAGTTTTCCAAAACTGGCATTGTGAAAGCTACCAAATCTATTGGCATGTTTGGAGAACATTATGTATTTCAGTGATGTTGTTTGGATGCGAGATGATGTTCAGTTGGCATATCCTGAACGGCATGTCACTATATACTCTCAGAAATTCATAACGACACTGGATGACATTAGTTCGAACGAGTCGGGGAATTATGAATGTATTGCTAAATCGAAAAATACACATATTTATCGCAGTTACACATTGCACATCAAAGTAAGCACTGACGAGAACCATTAGGTGACCTAAGTTTTATTTCTCCTTTTTTCTTCGTTTTCTTTCACAGTCTCGGTGTAGGTCTTTAGATTTAATTCATAGGTTTTATCAAAATTAACTAAAAACTTGGTTTGTCTTATAACAGATGTAAAGCCGGACAATACCATATTTTGAATAGTTCATTATGCTTTAAATTGAATTTTCGAAAGACTTCCGAAAAATCTTGTTCTTAACTTTTGTGAAAGTCGTGCCTAACTATCTATGACTACGGCGCCTTTTAGATCTAAAAAACGGTTTGGTTTCCTTCTATACTTCCAAGATTCATATATAATAATTTGACTTTTATTGAAGTTTTATCATTAAAGGCAAGAAAAGACTCTGGTTTCTAGATAAACGTAGTAGTCGCTCCGCACATTGTCGGAACTGAAGAAGAATATGAGCATTTGGCGAAATATGGAGAAAAGGCAGAACTTGTATGTCCTATTGAAGGAGAGCCAGAACCACTTTACAGATGGCTTAAAAATGGTATTGAGTACAATGGCTACGGCAGTTTGACGAAGAAAATTGATTTTCCTCGAGTTTTGGTTGAAGATAAAGCAACTTACACATGTGTTGCAAAAAATCGCGCTGGTTCACAACAGGTTTCTATTAGACTTGAGGCAAGTTCGATGAGGATGTTCTTAAGTTTTGCTTTGTTATCTGTCAAATTGTTATAATTATTTTTTTACAGCTTCTGATATTTTACAACTTTCTGATGTACTTTGTGAAACATAATGCTAGCATGACGTCTTACACGTGCAAACTGATCATATTTTTCCCTAAATATCACCGACCACTTGCCTATCGTGAAGATAATAAAAAATTTGAAAAAATGTTCCCAATATCCATTTTCCTTCTGATCTCTACAAAATTCTCATTGACAAGCCATCAAATGAGTTATGAAACTATTTTAGTTAGTCGATGAGCCTGCGTATATTCGGTCATCAAAATATTGGTGGACTCTTGGTTTTGCAACGGTTAGTGTATTGGTCTTGCTCCTTATGGCGCTTCTTTTCCTATTGAAACAACGTTGTAAAAGTAAGCGACAGGAGGAACGACTGCGTGCACTATATAATCAGTTGATGAGGGAGTCAAATGGAGAATATCATGATGGATCGATTGGTCTCAAGCAACCACTACATGAGCGAGTTGAACAGTTACCCTATGACCGCAGATATGAAATTAACAAAGACAAACTTTTTTTTAAGCAGGTTTTTTTTTACTTTTTTTTGGTTCTGATCGGATTAACACAGGTACTGAAAATTATTGAGAATATTGGACGGTGCTGAAAACTCTGCAAAAATTTTTGAGGAGTGTAAAAATTTTGGAAATAACTGATAGGGGTATTTCATTAAGGATGTTTGGGTTTACTGCAGATTTGTCGATATTATTACGATCTAATCACACCTAAACATACTTCGGGGTAGATTCTATTTATTATCATTGTGTACCTTTTAGGATTATAAAATAAAGGCTCTTAACACGTTTTCTGGGTTAGTATCTCTATCCTGTGGTGGAAAACCTATTGATTTATTGTTAGATTCATTTGCTTAATACATGTTATAGAAGGTTGCATGTTCTAGGAAATTCAAGTGAATATGGCTTTTTTTCTGGGCCATAAAAATTGTTTAACTCCATTGCCCTTGGAATAACTACCGTGCATAATATATTACGTATTTTAGTCACTTGGCGGAGGACATTTCGGACAAGTGTATCTAGGTGAGCTGAGCAAACCTCGAGTCAGTGATTCGTTAGCTGTGTCAGATGTACTAAAAGTAGCTATCAAAGCTCCACGTGATGGACGTAATGTGCATCATCAAAAGGCACTTGCTGATGAATTGAAAATAATGATCGCTATTGGTGTTCATCCGAATGTTCTGTGTTTAATTGGCGCAGTGACAAAACAAATGTCCAGGTAGTTTAAATATTTTCGAGTGGACAGTCTCTTTTATGGTGCTACTCTAGTAAAAACTAGCAAAAGGATATGATTGGACAATAAGTTAAAAGTAGTATATTACAGTGGGCAACTCTATATGATCATGGAATATTGCGAGAATGACAATTTGAAAGATTATTTGTCAAAAAACAGTGCAGGTTTTCTGAATGAAGTTGAAATAAGTAGAGAACCGTTGAGCAGCGATGGATACTTGTCACCAACACGGAACGCACAACATAAACCCCAAATATATTTGGTTTCTTTGGTTTTATTAAAAATGCCTTTCCCTGAAAGTATTTAGGGAATGATGAGTTTCAAAGATTATTTTTAAAAAGAACAATTTGAAATAATATTTGTCAAATTAGGTAAATTAGCAGTAGAATATAAAAACATTTGTACAGCCTTGTTTGTAAAAAATCTGCAATTTGGCTTGTCATAAGGAACATCTTATTATAAATTTATTTACTGAACTATATGTTATAGGCGGAACTAAAGCTCCAATGGGCCATTGAAGTAGATGAAGAACGAATGGCTGATAAAATGATTACCACGAGTGATCTGATATCATTTGGATACCAAGTCGCCAATGGAATGGAATACTTGTCTAGTAAAACGGTATTTTTGACCTCTTCATTCAAAAACTTATCTATGCAGTGATCCGTAATAAATTCAGCAACATTCTAGTGTATTCATCGAGATATTGCTGCTCGAAATATCTTGGTAACAAAGAAACGAGCTATACGTATAGCAGATTTTGGTTTAGCACGTAAGGATTCTACAGTTTATCATATACGAAGCAGCCAAAGTGTACCGTTACCTCTCAAGTGGATGGCATTAGAATCAATTTTATATCACAATTTCACTGAACAAGTAATGTTTTTACATGCTTGTTGTATGTTTTGATAAGGCAGTAGATCATACCAAGCAGTTTTCTTATATTGGCGTGTAATTAGTTTTTAGTCCGATGTTTGGTCCTATGGTGTACTGCTGTGGGAAATATTTTCTCTTGGTAAAGTTCCATATCCACAAATTGACAATAATGATCTTCTAAGTTATTTGCTAGAAGAAAATCGCATGGAACAACCCAAACTTGCTCCAGATGACATGTTCGTTTCAACGGTTATTATAGTTGCAATTTCAATAATGACGTTTTGCTTATTTACTACGGTTTTTTATTTTATCGCCCCTAAACCTTCTCAAACTCTTCAGTGCTTAGATGAGACTTTTGTTTAATAGCTATACATCCATGATATGGCTAGTGAAATATGAAAATGCTTTATCTGCAGATATAACCTGATGAGACAGTGTTGGCTTTCGGATCCTAGTAACCGGCCTATGTTCTCCGAATGTAAAGTTTTAATGAAAACGCATCTTTCACGTGCTTCTCCACCGGTTATTTTTTGATCGTTTAAGTCTTTTTAATTTTGTTTCAGTTTGGTTACACTTGACATACTCTTCGTTGCATTACTCAGTTTGATGCTAATGACAACTTTAAAACAGTACAATAATTTCAATTTGATTCAAAGCAAATTACAGCTGAGTACAAGGCTTGACAAAATCTTGGAAGAAGACCAAATTATGATGGAAAAGTACAGCGAATGGCGTGATTCAGAGGAGATTGAACAAGATCTTAGGAGCCAAGCTACTCGAAATGGGTTTATTGCTATTCCAACGCAAGAACCGCAAACAAATTCCAATATATATATGTAATTCAAGCACTGAAATTGATTGGTGAATTAGAAAGATTTTAAACAATAAAACAGGCAAGGACTTGCGTATAAGGCAAACAAAAACTTTAAAACTTTTTTATTCACCTAAAGATAGCAGGTATCTTCAAAAATTGTGAGAGATAACGCTACGAACGAAACCAGAACCAAGTTTTTCCTGTAAATATGGATAGGAAATCGGCTTCAACTTACTTAAATGACTTATATTAGGATATGTTTGTTTATGCGGTAGAGGATCAGATGGACAAACAGCACACACTCATTAAGCAGCTGGACAAAGGAGGTGCAGTTGTTAAACAGCTTGATCAAAAGGAAACAGGGGTTAGCTATTACAATTATGGTATGGAGCGGTTGAAAGAAGAAAAGCGGAGAAAATTAGTGTTATAAAGAACCATAGATGGATGCTTGCAGATTCATTGTTTCGGATCGACCATTGCAGGCCCAGTGGATGAGCAGTGATTGCCAGTAGCTCAACATCTACCAGCATTTTATTGGACAAAATCGACGAAGCAGTGGTACTGCTTCTCAGTGAGTTGTTGGGGCCTCTCACCAAGCAAGGGATGACCAAGTGGGTTGGGAAGTTCAAAAATGACCAGTCAGTCTATGATTTAATAAGAGCTAAATTTTATGTTCTTATCAAAATTTGCGAATTCTGAGAGATTTGATCGTTCTGGATACATGCAGTGGTCTTATATTTATCGCGAACTCTGTGACGTCTATCTGGTAACTGGCTGCAACTTGATTACATCACGAGGAAGCTGAAAGTCGGATTTGTAAACAGTTTGTTCTCTGCTGATACTTCATGATTGTTACTATGTAACTAGTCTGAAGTGGAATTAATTCATACAATAAAACCTTCAGTTCGCAATTCCTGAATTTAGAAGTGTCCAGTCGACGATATTTGTACTACTGCTGTAAATTTATAATTTGTTATGTGGGTCTGGTGATATATATTTCTTGTGCTTTCAATACATTATTTTGTGTTATAACTATCTCATAGTTAAAATGCAGATTATAAAAAAGGCTACTGGAAGTTGTTCAAGACGAATGCACTTTGCTTATATTCAACCTTACTGTTTTATTCAACTTCACTTGCATTTGTTTGTTAAAACATATATGTGCTCTGAAATTCTCCTGTTGGTGGTTAATGTGGCACAGTGTGATTTTTTCAATGTTAAACTTCGTTTGTTAGGACTTGTCGGTAAGATTTAAGGCAGAGGTGAAATTTATCATTGCTCTGGTAAGATAACTGCAGCTGTTTATAATATGTGAGGTAAAAGTGGGAGGCATTAATAATTTGAGAATAGGAAAGAAGTATAGAGATACGAGCCATCCAATAAACACAGTGGCCATATGGGATGGGTGATCCTTTCTATGGGATCTAGCTGATGTGATTTATTATATTTATCTCTAAGTACTAAGGTTCTATTCATATTACATAAAATTCAGAAAATTAGTTTATGGTCAAAGATTATTGATTAAAAGGAAAAGGAAAATCCACTCGATTTTGTTATATTCAGGGGAGTTCATGGAGCACTTGGGTCAGAAGTAATACATGATCTGCCGCTGCAATTCTTAAGCAGATGCCAAAACAGCTACTACTGCTTATCTGATTCTGCGTTGTCTATTCTAGATAGAGAGAAGGGCTTATGCACTGAGCGAAGTATGTCTATTTAAACGGCAGACTGCCAATAATTAACCGTTAAATTGAAGTTGGAACATGGGTGAAAGCGGAGATTAAGTGCTTCATTACCAAAATGAATTAATGTACTGAGAGGACTACAAAATGTATTCAGAGATCCGGAATGGTTAGATTCTGGGAAATAATGGTAGTGAGGGTGTTTGGCACACTGAGTAACCGGTAAGAAACAGATGGATACAAGTAGGCCACAACAAAAGCCTTTGATGTGCTGTTGTTTTCGGCTTACAAACGGGTGTCAGTGAAATCTCCAAATAAAAAGCTGGAAAGAATTCGCTGACTACAGCAACATAGAAACTCGGAAAATATAACAGAGTAGACAGTTATGTCCCAGGAAATTAACCTTTCCTATTACTACAGCAGTATCCATGTTCCGGAAAATACTACGCAGGGTACTTCATTGAATTTCACTGCATTTCCAGCTTTTGCCTGTGTCGTGGTTTTCCCAGCTACACGCTCAGTAATCACGATAATCTAATATGTCCTGTTGATCACAGGGAAGAATTTGTTTCAATTCCAAATCAGTTAAACATTTGTCGTTTAAAAACTAACATAATCTTAGGATAAGCGATAAGAATTATAATGTGTTATGATTCGACACAAAGTTGCAGCAAAACAATTCTCACTCGTGTACACTTAATTGTCTAGCAAAAGCATGGGCAAAAAGTGGGTATCTTTGAAATATTGCTTAAACTGAATTCAGACTCTACTTTACAACACACCAAGATTCAAATGTACTCCTCCATAACGTCACGTTGCTATGAACAGTTGAGTCCTACAGTGAATCCTTGTGTTTGATAGGACCAATTCGTATTGTTGTCAGTTTCTGCTTGGTACCGTTTCGGGGTAGGACGTGTTCAGGTGTCACTGGTTGTGGTTAGTGGTAAGGGAAGGTAGGTTTTAGGTAATTCGGGATGAGAGCGATGGGTGAAGGTAGGTAGGACTTTGTAGTGTAAGAAATCACTTTTTTCTCAGTGAGAGATAGAATATCTTACTGTTTTTATTTTTGCGCTTTCGTAAAGACAAAAGACCAGAAAAGTTGTGGAGGAAGAAAACTGTAGAAAGACTTCATAGCTTCATTTGGATGGTGTGCTATGTATGACTGAGTTCCAGTATACACTTCTAAGCAGCTTTGCAACCATCTTATTTGTATATCAGAAACCAACCAAATTAGAAAGACAGCGCAACTGCAAGTCGGCTATGTACGCAATGCATAATACAAAATGGATTCTATATCGGTAATATAGACGTTCTCAGAAATATGCGATGAGTTATCAAATCACATGATATTAATCCGTAGTTGATGCTCTTTGTAACCTTCCTAAACTTTCCACTCTCTTTTTGTAAAATGTTACGGTTCTGGTGTCCATCTTTTTATTTTAATAGTACTGTCGCGTTTATTAATCGTAAAAGAGTGGTCTGAAAATGGAAGAAGGAAACGCAGTATTTTGTTCTATATGTTTAGGGGTAAGTTTTCTTACATCACTCATTGGAACAGGTTATATATTCCAAAGATGCTGTGCTCTGAAGCAAACTACAAGTGGGATTCATTGATGCCAAAATACAGATACCGAAGTGTTTTGTTTTTTTTTTTTTTTTTGTTCTTGTTCAGGACACTTATTCATTTTAGCTTGGGAGCTGGCCCAAAGCACGGCCCAAGATATGTGGACACACCTTCTGTTATATTTGTATCAGTACATGGGTAAAGGTCTGCTTTACTGATTACTCATATTATAAATCATCTTTAGTAATCTGGTAAATATATATACATATACTACTTCAAAAATCTGTATATGAGATTACACTGAAGATGATATTTTTGCATAGCAATATTTACATTTCTGCAATTAATGAATTTGTTTCTTAGAAGCGATCGGAATGTCCTCTTTGTAAGAGACCGGCTAAAATATTGGTGGTCATGAGTCAGGATGGTACGGAATATAAGACATCTATTAAAGACGAAACTTCTGTTCAGTATCGAAGAGAGGTACTTCGTGCCATTTTAGTAATACTACAGTTTCTGTTAAGTTTGGCTTCGTATTGGATGTAGGGAAGGAATCTTCAATGAGCATTTCATCATTTTCGTGCAATTTCCAGATTGATGAAGAACTGTTTCAAGAAACGGAGGACATAACAGTAGTATATGCTAGATGTCAAGTGTGCAACTTATCAAAAAACGAACATCTGTTATTGCTTTGCGACGGAATCGTTGGACAGGATGTAGACGGAAGTTTAGTTCGTTGTAATGCTGCGTATGTCCTTTTTTACTAGCGCAGTGTCGCTTCTTTTAAGTTCAGCAGTAGCACGGTCTGTTTTTCTTGCTATGAAAACTACAAAATTTGTCGTTTAGATGCCATTGTTATTGCCTACCGGAAAAATTTGACAGTGTACCAGACGGAGACTGGTTTTGCACTTTCTGTGCTGATATAAGAGTAAGTTTGAAAAACATTCCTCTGGTTTTTATATTTAGTCCTGATTAACAATATATGGTCATGGTCATAATATTTTCGCAATAGGCTACCCAAGAATCAGTGTACAACAGCCGATACGCACGAGAAAAACATCCGTCATCATCAGATTACCACGAATTCATAGATTTTAGGGAATCTGGAATCTTGAATAAGGATGAACCAGGTAAGAGATCTGATTAATAAACCGTTTAATACGTTAGGAGAGAAATGAGAGGAAAGTGATAACCATTAGTTGCTAAGCAAAAAAATATGTGACATGTATAATAAGCATGTAATCGTTATATATGTATGTTTATTCTAATACCTTTGAAAATTTACTCGTATATAAAATTTTATTCCATCGGTCATTTATAGGGCCTAGTGGAATAAATCAGAGCTTTCGATTGAGAGGGTGTGGAAGTGGTTTTCATAGCGATAAGTGTTTAATTAAATCGGGCTCAAACAGTGTAAAGAACAGTGCGAGCGATGATGGTATGAAAAGTGATTTGGATTTTTCGCTTAATATTGATTCCTAAAAACATTTCAGATATCTTCCCCAACATACTGTAGTGATATGTGATATTGCGAAAGTGTTTATGTGCGCTTTATATTTAGTAAGCATACTGCATTTAGGTTGGAGTAGCAGAGTTCAGTACAAAGCGTTGTTGTACTTGATGTCAAGAAGAATTTAGAGCAGTTTTCAGATATTTAGCCATTTTGATTTTTGTTTTGAAAGAAATTTCTCTTCTCTTCAAAGCCTAGGGCAGACATGTGTTTAAAAGTGATACGCGTGCATTATAATTAGTAGATTGGTGAAAAACTCCGTTTTTTATCTTTGATTGTAGTGCAGGCATTGTTTTATGTTAGTCTGCCTGTGAGTTTTCCTTTTTTCTGTGTATGATTCATTTACTAGCTCATCACTTCTGTCCTTTCATTTCCGGAAGGAACAGAAAGAGGGAGAGATGATTACCCATAAAACTAGTATGATTTTAAATGCATAATCAAATGTATGTGAAATACTTATGATTGTAGATGATAATGCTGATTGGGACAATCAGGACGATAGGGTTTTGGCAGCAGATTTAGATATAGATTATGATCCTACTGGAGCAACTGAAGTAACACGATGGAAATGGCACAAACATCGAAGGACGAAAAAAACAAAAAACGCACGAAGAAGAAAAAGTATACGGAAGAAAAATATGAAACATCGAAATGCAAAAGTTTTAGAGAAAAGTGCTGAGAGAAAAAGCAGGCAGAGGAAAAGAAAGGTGGTTGCTGATTTATGTTGCAGTTTTTCCTGCCAATGTCGATTAATCTTTAATTAAGAGTGTTATGTGTATTTATCCATTTTGAGCAATTTGTTACCGGAATGTGGTTCTTTCATTTAGAATCTTGTGTTTTTGACAGATATGGATTTGAAATCAGTGGGTCATATCAGTCATGGGTTATTTTATAGGGTATTACTGGGGCACAGAGTCGTCTGGCTGAAGCTGTAGGTTTGGATCCTCGGACTGGTCGACAGAAAAAGCGGAAAAAAAGTGAACGGTGTGTTGGATTGCTTAAGTTTTTAAGTTTTGGTTGTGATTACAAGTTAGCTTCACGAAGGCAACTATTTTGTTGTCATGCAAGAGTTCAGTAAAGATTTTTGTTAGAATACTTTTGTTTTGGTAACTCATCGTGGAGCGTATTTATGTTGTGACAACTTCCATACATTTGAAATCTACATTTCTTCAGGGTCTGGATTTTCAGGCATTTCCCATCAAAGTATATTTGTCGGAGATTTAATACATCTATATTATCGATCAGAAACGATGATGACTTAGGTATACCAGTTGAAATGTATGTTTTAGAACATTAAAAATTTTTTTTTCATATTTGAAATGGCTAATATAAATACATTCTTATACCCGTTTTACTTGTTTCTGTATAGGTCGTTTATTATATGGCTAAATATTCTGATTACCCTTTGCAGGAGTCTGCAGTCGACAGAGCATTTTAACGATAAATTATCCACTAAGAAGCCAATGTAAGTTTATTTTGCAAATTCATTCTTTAGGAGATCAATTTTTAATTGAACTTTCAACAGATTTTTTATAAACGTAGAGTTTAAGAGAAGAAACAGATTTAATTACTTCGATTATGTTCGAACAAGCAAAAACTTTGGCACCTGCTCGGTATCAGCGCATCTTACGTGATGGTACAATCGGTGAAACTGAGCAAATGATCAAGCAGAAGAAAAAATTACTTGAAAAAGTCGTGGCTTGTAAAGAACTAGTTTCTTCTGAAGATTTAAAGGTTTGTTTACCAATTTGGACTTAAATTCAGTTTAATTTTTTCTGATTTTAGCTGCAGCCGTCATGTTAATCCTTCTGATATCCTGCATTTCTTCGCCTTTCATATGTTTCTCCTTTTTGTATGTTTTAGAAGCCAATTGGTCCAACAACAATTCATTTTTCATGTTGATAGTTTTGCGTTCGTTGTAGTTTGCGGGTCCTATGTAATTTATAAAGACTTAAACGTAATGTGAGAAGTTTTAGGACTAGGGAACAATGTTTTACACTCCATATTTCAGTTTCATAAGTAGAACAAAGCCACGAGAAGGTAGTGAGACTTTGATTCTGATGCCTCTGCAATGCGTATGTCATGAATTAAATGATTAGATGTTAATAATAATAAAGAGCCTTACAGATAAAATATGCGATGTTTATGAGTTCAGTAAATATGGTTTAACTTCTTGGCATCTTTTAATACTATTTCACTCATTAATTTTAAATCGATTTTTCCTTGCTTTAAGGTTTTAATTGTGGGAAGAGTGATTTCATTCGTTAAAGGTAATTTAAATATTAAATCAAGTGTTAGTTGATTTTTTTTAGGACCCTGTACCGAAAAATTTCAAATGTTTGAGAGTTCGCGACTGAAGCTTTTTCAAAGGGAGATATAATTGCCATTATTATTTGATGTTATCTTACCATGTTTGTTACATCTTATGCCTCTGTGCGTTTTTCTAGACAGTAAAAGTAAGGAAAGTATGCTGTTTTATCAGTACTTTTCCTATCGTGGTTTTCCCACATTTTTCACTTGTCATTTTCGTTTTCAGATGTTGCCCATTAATATTTCATCTGCTATAACGATGACACACTGCGTTTTGCGTTTTAGATTAGGTAGTTCGTAAATTCAGTATAGATAGGCAGTTGGGTTTGCAGGATTCAGATGAAAACATATCAATGTTTTCGGCTAGCAGCAGTCATGTTGAAGCGAAAGAAAAACGGAAGAGACGTCCATCACGTTGGGGCACTCCTACTACTTCAAAAAGCCATGATAATACTATTATAACTGCTTCGATACCTCTTCCTTTGGGACCACCCTTGACACAGTCAGCAGTTTCTTTAGAAAATATACCGGTACCTTCAATAGACCAACAACCGCCGCAGTCACAAGTGGCGTTATCTTCAAAGCCGTCTGCTCTTAATAGTATGTTTTCTCTTTCATTACTTTAAAAAATTTCAAAACTTCAGCATGCTGTAGTTAGTCTTATAGGTATTTCTTCTGGGTCCGCATATTCTGCATGATATATATAATATTTGTGTGGAATATCCCATCACAAGTAATATACATAATAAAATGTAAAAATTCCAAAGCTTTGCTGTTGTCGTAGAATGCAATTTAATTTGTTACCTTTTTGTAGCAGCTCCATCTACGTCTTTTGCGCTCAAATCGGCATCGATACCGTTTGGAATGGCTAGCGGACAATCACGGATTAGTCTGCCTCCATTTGCTGGTTCAGGTTTGGGCCAACAACCTCTTAGTTTGAGTCATCAGCCTCTGGTTACTCTAGGACAGCAGCAGTTAACCGGACTGGGGCAGCAAACTTTAGCTGGTTTAGGGCAACAGTCAGTGCCAGGTTTAAGCCAACCACAGTTGACGTCTATTGGACAAGGGTCATTAGTCCAGATGCAGCCGTCTTTGCTACCGAATTTCTTCTTACCACCGCTGAATTTAGGTGCAAGTCAGTTTTTTTTTTTTTTTTTTTTAAAAAAAACATCTTTTAAAATTTTTTCTACATGAAAATTTACAAATGGACTGGTGTGTTAGAACTTTTATAAGTTGTTTTTATGAAAATGAACTTCCGATTTCCGTGTACTCAGCATTAATCTTTAAAGCGAACGTTTTAGTGAACGGTTTATTGGCAGCAGGTCTGCTTGCTAATAACAATCCGTTGGCAGCTCCGCCGATTACTCAACCACTAGCTCAACCATCTTCTGCAAGCACGACTCCTTTTATGTTCAATCCAGTGCAGCTTTCAGCAGCCTCAGCTCAACAATTAAATCAGCATTTTGTAAATTTAGCAACTACACTACGACGAAATGTAGATACAGCTGCTGATTCCGCACATTTGTCTCAGCAATCTTCTAAACAACCAGAGGGCGTTCCACCACCTCCACCGGTCATAAAACCGTCTGAATCTGTATCCAGCAATATATCTCTCTGTGAACCGTTGGCTGAGAAAATCAGGAAATTAATTGAAGCCAGTAATGTAAAACCTCTGTGCGACACAAGTGTCGACGATGGCACCGCAAAAATTGGTGTTACAATGGATGTGCGTTTTTATTGTTTTGTAATTATGTATAGATTTATACATTTATCTGGTTTCATTTGAACAGTTTTAGAATTAAAGAAAATGGTTAGCTATCTTTAAATGATGCTAGTATATTATTCCTTATATTTAAGGATGGAATAAACAATGTGGTGCTGTGTGATAACTCAAAAATGGGTGAGTCGGGGCGTAAAAGTGCTAGCGCAGACGATGAAGAAACTGGTGAAGCTGGCAAAGAAGTAAAAAAACTTCACAAGAATGGTGCAATGTTTGAGGAAGCTCGACGAATGCTTTCTTCTTCACTTAAGAGAGTTTACAGGTATGCGGATTCCCGCTCAAATTCAATTTTGAGGAGTTGGAGTGACTTTTTGGTTGAAATGTTTTGCCATTATTTATTCATATTCTTCATTTTCGTCCCTTTTCAGATTGAAGCAGATTACTAAACAAGAGTATAAAGAAATAATGAAAAAAGGTGTGACAGCGTTATCTCAGCGCACAAAACTGGATCAAAGAAAGGTTGATGAGTATGCAGCGAAATATGTTGAGTGTGTTGTACATCGCCGTAAAAAGCGGCATTAAGCTTAGTATTCAGCCTTCTTTACATAGTTTTTCAACTTAGGCCTAAAAAAGCAACACGGCCTAAATCATATATTTCGCTGGAGGCTTGTGCAGGTTTATTGTGAAAGATATCTCCAGACAGAAAATCAATACCTTTAGATATCTTAAACGCTGCACTGTTTTAATCTTCTGTTGGTTCTATTCAAACATAGTGAATGCGTAACGCTTATGCCCGTACTTATTGGGCTTTGACAAAGGGCTAAGCAATACTTTCATAATTTTTGGCATGGATTTGTTAAATATTGTCACATAGCACAAACCTACACTGTTATCGTTATCCCACCACTTTATGGGTGCAGTTGTATTACAAATGTAATAAATTCATATATATTAGAAGTACTGGAGCTCCATTGTGACGCTCGGGTTTTGATTATATTGTACGACATTTAACTAATTGGCAATCAACTTATCTACTAACTTTTTCTCAGTCTCCCTCCGTTTGAGGTAGGAATCTAATAGTATATCTTAGATGTGCAGGACGTGCGTTGATGTTCCAATCACCTGAAGGCGAGACGAGTTTTGTGATTCTCCCAGACTTCCTGTTACAGCTAAGTTGAGAGCTATTCTGGTTTCGATCCCGAAAATTTTACTTCCAAAGTACATCATGGATTTCGAAGTATTTGGTAGGGGTTGGAGTCGTACATGTAGTTTGCCCAATTTACGCCAGAATTTTATTATTCGGAGACTACAGTACATATAAGAGAAATATTTCGCCTTGGAAGCACTCAAAAGATTTAAGATCATGTAGTTTTATTATCTCTTTAAACGCTGAAAAGTCATTCATTAAAATAATAGGAAACAAATTACAATATTCAATTGGTACAATACACAAAGACTTTGTTTTGGGTTCTTGGTAAAATATGAACGGATATTAAGCATAAAATTTCCTAATAAAAACAACTGAAAACAAAAATCTGTGCCGAAGCGGTTGATGCAAAAGGACTGCAGAACTTGACATCGTCACTTACACAAGAGGGGCAAAGTGAAATACCGCGTTGGGTTCATTCTCTGGGTCAATCTTCCGCAGTTCTCGCAATGGCACGCGAGGTCTCGTTAACTGTTCCTCTTCCCACAGCACACTGTAACAAACTGTCCGCTACCAAAAGGGAAAGAATTACCGCTACTGAATCATGCTGCAGTGATTACAGAAAAGTTTCTGATAAGCTTACCGTTTGAAATGTTCCACTTCCAATTCAAGAGGGTCGAGAAACTCTAATTCACTATCAGGACGTGGTTTGAATGCTTCGTGTGGGTCGAACTTCATCTCTGCAATTGCGACCGCAATGCGTGGGTCACCTGGTTCAAAAATCATCGGACTTTGGCTATGGAAAATTTCATCCTCTTTCGCGAAAGCGGCAAGTTTCTGAGTTTCCGAGTCATAGTTCGCCAATGGACTCGATGACGAAAGAAACGTCTTACATGCTTCATTTCTTTTTGCACGAACTGCAGCCGTTAGCTGGCTGGAACCAGGCAAAGCTCTGCCAGTTCCTATCTTTAATACAAATCGCATTAAGATAATCCCAAAAAGTCGAAATCAAAAATAGTAAAAACAAGGCACACTCTCATAGCTGTAATGAATACAACTAAAAGCTGATGTTCTTTCAAACATTTGTGTCAACATGTATTTTTAGTCCAAAATAATGTTTAAGTTTGGCTACTCGTATGGTTCATGAACGAACCCAATAAGCAGTAATTTAACAAATCAGTAAGAGAACTGAAGAAAACATGATACAGCTTACCTTGTTCAATTGTGTAGTGTTCACGCTTCCTGTAGTGCTTATTATACCATTCTGATGATTGACCAGAAATCTCTTATTTAGATATTGCGAGTTCTGTGTTTTATTAGCAATGACATCTTGCTCGAGAGAAACAAAATTTAACGGATCTCGCGCAGGGATATCAGAAATCACATTATTTACAGGAATAACATCTAGTGAACACCGTTTTGAACAAGACAAGGAATCGGGAGGCGTAAATCTCCGTGTAGCGGTGTTGGTGTTGACATTTCGGGAATTTTGCGCCGCGCCGTTATCACTACGCGAATTATTTTGTAAAGGCGCATTCATGACACCAAGAGAAGGCGATTGAGTTGTATTACTGTTTCCGTTAAACGAGACGAAATCAAAATCACGCACTGTGAATGCTGGACCACAACGAGATGGCTTGGAAGATGAAGATGGTACAGATGAGGACAATGATGATAATGACAACGCTTCTGACGCATGTCGTGGCAGTTTCTGAAAACCAAAATAGGTAACATTTGTAGTCGTTTGAAAAGATTTCGCATCAAATATAGGAATTGGAGAGATTGGTCCTCTTTGCAACACATCAGTTAATGGTGCATTATTAACTGGTGGTGCGATTGAATACTGGCCTGATATATAAACTTTATCATTCATTCCAATTTGACAAGTCCTTCCTTCAAGTGCTGTAGCAGTTCGTAGTGGTCGTAAAACCGCATCCTGCGCAAGGTTAGAACTTGCTGATGGCAGTATTGGTGTATTTTGATTCGCTGAAGACACGACACACTGATTTAATCCACTGATAAGGTAAACTTGAGGTTGTCCCCCAAAATGTGTATAGTAACTAACTCCTCTTTGGTACGTCCCAAAGCCTAATGCATTTGTTTGTGAAGAAGAAGTTACTGGTAAGACAGAAAAAGGAAGTCTTTGTGATATATTTGTGTCAAGTCGCATTTGCGATAAATCAGAAAGACTCGTCTTAGGAAGCGCAGGTATTTTAGAAGGAAGTTCTGTGATTGGCCAGCTTACGTTTGGCGGTTGAGATCCAGATTCTACCCCGGGCAGAGCTGTAGAAGTTTCACTCACTGTCACAACTGCTGAAAACACATCCGATTCTTTGTCTTTTGGAAGTTTTATGGGTGGCTGGATATCAAAAACCAATCCTCCACTTTTTGAAAAGACTGCCGCACATTTGACAGGAAATGTCGTTTCAGACTTCACTACAATGTCCTCATTTTTAAAACTATTGTTTTCATCTTTTTGTACCACTGAATCCGTTTTTTCCTTCTTTGCAGACGCATTTTCCTTTTCATTTTCTAGAAGAGAAAATTCTGGCCGCTTCGCAACGCCCTCGTTTCGCTTCAACTCTTCCTTACTCTGTATTCTTGCTCGTCCAACCTTAAAAATACCAACTTGCTCCTTTGTCGATGCCAATCGTTTGAATTCCGGATCATTCCAATATTCAAATTCTAAAATCGGTTCCTTTGGAACTTCGATATCTTGAGTTTCTGAGAAATGTTGTTCAGTTTCTTTTTTTCGATCACGACCATCTTTTTTCTTTCCTCGTACTCGGTCCTGCAATAATCCAACGCCATAAAAAACTGCACTGAACCAAGCTGCACTCTTTCAAGGTAAATTTATAACTATTTCAAGGCAAATTTATAACGCAATATTTCTTAAAATGTGCTACGGAATAATCAGCTTGCACATTATAACAATGAAGAAGGATCAGTGACCGAGATTCATTTCACCATGCTACCGATTTTCGACTAAGGAAGAAACAAACTGGAACTTGAATTGAGAGGTCAGATTTAAATAAGAAGCCAAAGGCCAAATACACAATTTCGATTTCATTTAATTGCTCTAAATGCCTAATGCAACTAAAGACAATTTTATAATCTATAGTAACATACCGCTTTCTTCTTTTTTGCTTCAGGTTTGCTCTGCTTTGCTTTTTTTATCCCTTGCTGTGCTCCTCGATGTTCTTTTTTCACCTGTTGTTGTGCCACTTGCTGTTCCTTCTTCATTTTTATAAACTCAGCCTCAGTAGCTTTCTTTTGCTCTTCTTTGAGTTTTCGTTCTCTATCTTGCCTTTCCTTTTCTTCCTGAAACTATTCATGTCGTTCTCAATGTTAAAGTGTACAAAATGTAAATCTGAAAAATATTTGTAGAATGTTTTATATTCTACCTCTGTAATTGCAATTCTTCAGAAAATAATTTACGTCAAATCTTTCAAATCACGGCAAAATTAAAAGGTCTGCATGCGTTATCATTTTAATTGATTGATAGAAACTAAAAGGAGTAATAAAAATTCAGAAAAATAAGAATGCCATTTTGCCATCTACGAAATCGTGCATAATCAAATCGGAGATAACAAATTGACAATAAAGGGAATCTATTAACCCAAGGTAAGAAATGAGTAGGAAGTCAACTTTTTTCCTGTTTAATATTTCTAAGCTAGAATTTGTCAGAAAGGGTCACAAGCACAGTCAAGTAAATCAAAACTCCAACTTGTTTTCGGAGCTTCTGCCTAGCTCGTTTAGCTGCTTTATTTGCTGCAGCTTGTGCAGCTGCAATGTCTTTTTCGTTAATGTAATCCAGAATTTCCTCAATTGGCGTGTCGGGAATAACTGCGGGCGATTTTTTAGATTTCTCATTAGCGGCAGCATAGATCAACTTTCCCTTCAGATTTTTTGTGTCAGTTTCAGGTTGCTAAAATGCTTGTTACTGAATGAAGTTACATATTTGAATTTAGCACTAGTTTTATAATACATAAGGTGAACTAAATTAAAATTTAAAGAAAATTAAAAATAGTCAACAAAACCTTTCCAAAAATAATTCTTGTTTATTAAAAAGTATAATCTCAATTTCTCTCAGAATACTTCAAATACTGGGAAACTGAGAATAACCTCTTGCACAGTTCGGCGTTTTAGTTTCATCCGAAGCCTTTCTCTTATCTGCGCACGACTTGATTTGGTACTGTCTGTGGCGGCATGCCCAAACATCTCACAATAACAACAATCACAACGCCCGTGCCGTCCATCTCGTCCTGTTCCAGAAGTTGTCCTTTTCCTTTTCGTCTGAAACTAGTACCTAAGACCTAATATAAATGCAACCGTCGAGTAAACAACAACTAATAAATCATTCAAATTGAGGTTATTGATTCGAACTTATGTTCTCGAAGTTCAAATTAGGCTTATGTAAGCAAAATTTACCTTATTGTCGCAAGAATGATGACGGTGTGGATGCTGTTCATCGAGTGTTTCGCAATCACTCCATTCTTCATCTGAACTCTGAAGAAAAATAAAGTTTGTACATAAGTTTCCTGCAATGCAAATAGAGAAATGTGATACCACTAAATATCATACAGTGCAAATGCATGAACAAATTGGTAAATATAATAAACAGTTTGTAGAAACAACCTCGTCATCGTCATCTGTCAGATCATCGATATTATCCGTCTGATAGCCAAATAATTCTTCCTTCGAAACTCTGAACTCATTTCCAACTCGTTTACCACCACCGTATTTAGAATCAACTTTAGCGGATACACCTGCATTAATGCTCCCAGGAACAATGAGTGAAAAAAATTTGTCACTAATAGTGACAACTGCTTTGTGGTGGAAGTTGCGACATTAAGTCTCAGCATACATTTCAAAAGGCTATAGTTCACTTTACAAAACTTTTACGATTCTTTATCTCGTCATAATTACCTTAACTTCACTACCGCAAATTGAAAGAGTGGTTGGTAATGACAAATATCATTTCTTTGAAAAGTATAAAGCGAAGGAGACACACCTGCCTTATTTTGCCTCAATCCGACAGCTTGTTTTAAAAGTTTTTGGAGCTTTCCCTCTTCATGTAATTTTCTCACACTTTCAGGGAAAGTATTAATCTCAAATCCACCCAAATCAAGGCTAAAATCAATAGCTGTCGTCGAATTACACATCGCATCCAAATGTCTACCCATCTTGCTAGATACTGTTTGTGCCGTTTTTTGCTGAAAAAGTACCGAAACGTTAAATCTCAACATTTCCTGCCTCTCTTTTTCAGCGCAAATGGCCCCGAACAACGAACCTTTTCAAACGTTTGAATCTTTTCAACGTTGAATGCTTTATTAATATCGAAGACAGTTCTTTGCTCAGTCAACTGTTTAGCAATTGCTGCAGCCAATGTTTGTTTCGACCACTGTTGTGCTAAGTTGTCTTGCTCGACTTTTCTCGGCGATGACTTTCCTTTTTTATTTGCTAAACCCGAAGAGGCCGTAGAAAAACTGACCATCGTTCCTTTAAAAATTCAGTTCAAATCCAAGCAAAATGCAAACATTCGTCACACTGAATGATATAAACTCACCAGTATCGGCTACATCAAATACATTACTGACAAACGGAAGCGACAAAGAATCTGCATTACTTACTAGCCTCTGGAATGTATATCATTTCTCTGTCACTTCTTTTTTCTTGGTAAGACATTTTCGCAGTCGAATTCCGACTAACAACTTCCCGCGCTGAAGCGCACCTGAAGAATAAATCCATTTTCATTTTCATAAAGCCCAGAAGAGCTAGAAGAACTTATACCAAATAGTTTTAGTAATTTGAAAAGAATGGAAGTCTTCAAAACCGCTTTCGCCTTCAGTTCATCTCAAACCACTAAAACGCATCGCGATTATGATCTAAATTCCTACTCATCCTTAGTGCGTTGTGGAAGACAAAACTGTACATTAGAAACGGAATAACTAATGAAATACAATTAGCACAGCCACTCAAACCTCAAGAGCAACATCACATACACTAACGTATGTCAAAGTAATGGAATATCCACACATTTATCTTTCATCTGGCAGACAGATCTTCCGATGTAGTAGTGGTTCAAAAGCATAGATGTAACCTCCTTTCTTATCACGATTAGCAATTAATCAAGAACTGCATATATAATTCACGTATCCTCAATGGTAGACGAAGGCGAGATTTATCCAAAAAGAAACGCACGCGTCAATCTATTAAAAGAAGTAGGTCTCGAGTGGAAAAAAAACTGGCTAGCAACAAAGGAGCAGTAAGTACGGTATGGTGTCAGTGTTTAATAATACCGAAAGCAGCATTTTTGCGGAATGGCAATTTCTGCTTACATTTTATATTAAAGCGCGTCGAGCCAACACTTTTTCACGGATATATCTTAGTACGCTGTTTAAGATAAGTAAACTTTTAAGAACATAAAGTGACAACTATAGAAAACTTTTTTTTTGACAACTACAAAAAAAAAAAAATGTTGCAAACAGCAAAAAATTTTACAGAATCGCTAGTGACGAAAAACTATTGGTATATCGATCTCTGAGTATTACCTGTTGTGATCTTGGTGATTCTCAAACACAATATGAAAACAAAGGCTACGAAATGCTTACTTCTCATCTTTGACAGTAGTTTTGAGATTACTTGCTTCCTCTTCCTTCATCCAGTCCTTGGAAAAACACTCCCTCATACTTTCTAACAGTCGGTCTTGAAGTAAATCTTCCTTAACATTCCATATTAAAAAGTGGAATTCAAAAGGAAGGGTGAATTGACCGAACTTCAGAAAAGCCAACAGCTCAATAAATATAATGACTATGGGCTTCATTTTTTTTTATGAAATATCTTGAAAGTTTGAATACTGTTAAAAATGTTTTTTTTTTTTTTTTTTTACAATTTAATTCACAACGCTGCTTTCAGACTTTAAAGCATGTCGACGACTTCGAAAAAAAACCTTGTCATCCTCGGGGGACCTTGTTGTCCAATGTTCATCTTCGTACGACTGAACTAAACGCAATAAAGTCCTTTCACGAATCTTCTTATCCATACCTTTCACTTCACTAAGCAATCGCTCACGAGCAGACGCTACAATATAGACCATCCAAAGTGTTCAACTATGCAAATTTTCCAGTCACTCTTCAAACATCCACTCATCAAATGATTAGAATTGCGAAATGAAGACGTCGTGCTTTCAAAAACATTAATTCCGCTACCCGAAAGGGATTTCACTGTCGCAGTGCCATCGCTATTCGCATCGTTTTTATCAAATACAAGTTTACTCTTCCTGATAAGCCTCGAAACTGGTGATGTTAAACCAATTTTGCGCATCATTTGCGGTTTCTCCATTGTTTTTCTTCCAGAAAGCTCAAGCGCCAAATCCCTTACTAAAAATGAAAACATAAATTACAGGCCAGAAACTACTAATGAAAATCTGGGTTTTACCTTCATTATTCTTTGATAGATCAATATAATGTCTTCGAGTCATTTCTTTCAGTAGCATCATCCTATCTGGTCTAGATAGATGAGAACTGTCCACGCTGGAAGCAAACAAAAAATTTGCATTGTAGAAACAAAGAATTTTTGTAAGTCCTAAAGAGAAATATAGATGTGACACCATGAAACGTTTCTTTCCATCTTGCTTGTCTTTTTTTTTTGTTTTTTTTTGGATGAAAATAAGATATAAATTAACCGCTGATTTGATCCTGGAAATGACGCTGAAGATGTTTCATAATCAGATTCTGTTCCATCGCTATCCACTGTTACATTACTTCCTGCTTTCTTTATTTTGAACCTCGTCACATTTATATTACTCACCGATGCAATTGTAAAATCCTTCAAAAGGATGAACAAATTTCCAATGAAAAAAGAAAAGAACCAACATTAATTTCACTTTATGGATAACTGATATTATTTCCCAACACAAATTCTACAGGCCATAAAGAAAAATATATCCTTATCATAAATCAAACTTACAGATTTTCCATCTGAGCGAAGATTCGATTTCTTCATTAAAAACGAGCTCCTTACTCCATGTTTACCAGGGCTTCCGATCATGCTTGTTTTCTCATTACCGATTACTGAAAACTTCAAACATAATGACAAATAGAAAAATTGGACAAAGAGCCTTCTTCAGCTATAAAAAATAAGATGATTACTGTAAAAAAAGAAAAACCTGGTGAAGTCTTTCGCACATCAATATTCTCAGATTCATAATTTGACAGCGATTCTATTCTAAAAAAGATACTCCATGTTCATTATATATTTTTCCAGTTCAAATATTTTCAAAGAAAAAATAGAAACAAATCCATAAACCCAGAAGTTTCAATAAATTTCGTAAAAATAAATTTCAAAAAACTGAGAGCTTTTCCACCTGTGTCTTTTCGCCATCAGTTCGAATGCTTCCTTAACAATTTCTTGATATTTCTCACTGTTTGATAAATCAGACGAATCGCTAATATTAGTTGCGCGCTCCTCTTCACCTGAGCATTCATTGCAGTTTACAACAACAACAACAAAAAAAAAAAAAAAAAAAAAAAAAAAACATACCAAACGAAAATCGAAGAGCAAACTATGAATTTGAGGTTGCAAACCGGCAATATACCGAGCTTCATTTTCAACTTCCATGTATACCTGTTTGATTATTTAACGACCTACGTTCGCCATGCATGCTTTTCTTTTCACAGAGACAGTGGTCGAGATAATCGATGTCATCTGTGTAATCATATGGTACCTGCCAATCGCCCCAAGCTGTTTCTTTTTTCTAAATTTTTTCTAGTGAGTGAAGACACTAATAAAGCGCTGACCGCACGTAGTTTAACATGTTGTTGAATATGCCATTTGAAACTTTCGAATTAATTTTTCTTGACAATGAATTCTATAGATATCCTTAAGTTCCATTTTTTATGTGCCAATTTCTTCGAATAAAGGCATCACTGATCCTATGGATGTATTAATAATTCAGAAGTTCCCAAAGAACAAAAAAAAAATGTCAAAAAAAGGACAGAAAATCGCACACTGTTATGATCGTGTACAGTGAACAAGGCTTTTGCAGTCTGAAATCGTAAATTGTGGTTGGACAAACGTTTAATGCTTGGAAGAGATGATTTTTTTCGCTGCGGCTTTTCATCCGAATCTCTTTCATCACTTCTTCCAGAGCAATCGCTCACAGGCTGCAATAATCAAGTTCAACTGAAATAGAAACAATACAATTGTAAATGCATGGGAGAACAATTCAATAATTGCCAACCCATATTAAATTATTTATATCCTCGTTATCAATTAGTAAACCACAAGTGATAATATGCGAAATTCGACACTCGTCACAAGAGCAATGTCGAAGACTGCACCTCTTGCATCGCACATAAGGCAATACTTCGCCATTTTCATCTGAAATCTTCATTACGTCAATCTAATCAGAATGCAAAGTGACAGCAAGTAATTTATATAGCAGAATGATTTAAAACATCATCACAAGAATGAAAATGATTGCATATTATTAAGCTCTTAAGTACTACTATAAGCAAATGATAACGCTCTATCTCTGGAAATATACGAACAAGATCCTTTTAACAGAAATTGCACAAAAAAGCTTTCTGAAAGAACACACATGTGCGCACGAAAACTAACCAACACAAACAGAATTTGCAGGTCCCTCTTCAATCAGTTCGTGTAATCTTTCTGACACATTAATATCATCAACTTCCGAATCGCTATGGCCGCTGAAATTGTGATCTGTATAATGCTGACATGGGTAAAAACATAAAATTAGATAAAAAGTAAAAAATATGATTGCCTCCTTGTCAGATTTCTGAGGTTCCATACAGAAATAATCTACATAAAATATTAATTCTTTCTTATGGTAGCAATGTAAATTTTACTCAGGATATGTTAAAATAAAAACATCTAAACATATGAAATTAAGGAAGGCTTACCATTCATCATCTATTAAATCAGTTAAATCTCCAAAGGCAGTCAAATCAGCATGCCATTGGTAATACTGACCTTTCCGCAAAGTGCAATTACGAATCATTTTCCACTGGCTTTTGAAAAAACCCAAATTCTCTTTCAGCAATTCACCTTTCGTTTTGCGCTTAATCTAGAAAGGCTGATTGGAACAAGACCTTGCAGTAAAATGAAAAAATTAAACTTTCAGTGCTCGGCAGTTGAAGAGTAGACGGAGTTCCTTAATTTAGCATCACTTCATGGATTTCCTAAAAACATAATTGAATTTCTCGCCAACTTACATGATTAATAACTTTCTGCTGCTTGGTGTACAATACGATATTTGCACTGGCTTTTTTAAATATTTCTCTGCTTGTAACCATTAATTTATGAAAAACACGAAAACTTTGAGCAAGTTCGAGTGCGCCTTGAGGAATATCTGCATTACTAGATTCAGTGCAAGCACGTTGTCGATGATCTTCATTTTCATCATCATGGACTATCAATTTACACCTATCAAACAGGCTGTATTTTAATATCCATTACTGCTATATCAAGGATAAAAAATCAGACAAGAATTATGAACAGTTAGTTAGCTGTAAACAAGGTCAACCACTTTGTGCAGAGTGATAGAATTCGTTTAAAAGTAACTGTTCAGAACTGTGTAATTACAATAGTATTAATAATATATATTATTGTTGGTCAGAAATAAAGTTAGTTATAAGGAAGAAATTCAAATCTTTTGAAAAACTACCCTTCCATACGAATCTGATGAAATCTGGCTGCGTTATGTTAGTGAAGAGAGGTTTAATTCAAACAGCTTATGAAGATAAGTGACAGGAATTTGAATTATTTCTCCTAAAAATACACAGCTCTGTCAGTTCTACGGAACCTTACTAGACGACTCATTTCATGGTAATATAAAAGTATGTCCAAACATGGAATGAATCATTTAAAAGCATTGTCGCATATTGTAGAAGGATTCGAACTAACAAAAAATTAAACTGCGATGAAAAAAGTGATTTAACAGCATTTCTCTTTAAGAGCTTAAAGCCTCAGTGAGTCACTTTTAGGGGACTGTTCATATCCGTAAGTCGAGTTAAAGAAATGACGCACTGGGGATAAATATTCTAAAGTAATTTCAGAAGAATACTCGAACTTATAACGGTTTTATGAAGAAAACGCTTTGAGTGTAACAATGACCTTATCTGAAAACAATACTGGCAAGTGCGATCGGTGAAAATACTACGTAATAAATTAATAAATTAACCTACTTGAGAACATTTTCTAAGTTGGGCAGATAATTTAACAAAAGATTATCTTGATAAATGACTCGGTCGAAAATGTGATGATTTACGACTTTCCAACTAATGCCAAACTGCGAAAGATAATCTTCATTCTGAAGCAATAATTTGAATAACTGGCTAGTACAATGAAAGATAACAATTAGTTTCCACGTTTTTTTTGCAAATATTACTGTCCTTAGAGAATAATACAATAAATTATTTCTTCTAACTAGGCTTTTCTAAGTATCCGTACAGAAAAAATACCTAATAAAGGACTCACTATCTGAACCTACAATGTCTTGCATTTATCTCTTAGTCTCAGTTTTCGGAGTAGTTCTCAGAACAACTATATTTTAAAAATAATTTACTCAAATATTTAGATAGGAAGATTACTTACTAAGACAGCCAGTAATGGTGACATATTCCTTGCAGTTTCTTGCTGGCATGAAAAGCGGTCAAGTAAAGTCTTGATAAAAAGTTTAGCTCGTTCAAGTTCCACTTGCTCCTCATTAGCACCGGCTTCATAAAGCTGCAACCTGGGAGTAAGGACCCATTTTATAATATTATTTACTCTGGAACTTCCTTTAAAGAAAATGAACCGTAAGTGGGAACACCATAAAACAGCTGGAACCTGAATAAGAGCAGGTACGACTTGAGGGGCCACCAGTATTTGCCACAGATCGTCTGATTTCAGATTCAAAACATATTCGTGTCCAATACTCTCCAATCGTTTGTACAACTGATGAGGATCCTTCTCCGCCAATCTGAGCAATGTTTTGCATGTAAAAATTACTATTAAGTTCACATATGCAATGCTCTAACAAATGAGCATAAAATCTCATAAATTTAAATTCATTTCTCATTCCATTCCAGGAAATTTTAAGTATACATATCTTGATCATCTAACAGGAAGTTTTGTGAAAACTTCGTTAGACGCTGTTGACAAAGATGCCTAAAAACAACTTGTTGATTCGCTTACATCGTAACATTTCGTTTTATCTTGTCCACATTAAATCGCTTCCCTTTCGATGATGTCATGTTGGCATTTAGACCATCCCGGAACATCTGTCGGATATTCTGACATAAATCATGCCAACATCTTTGTAGCACTTCTACCTCTTTTTGTCGTTCTTCACTCACAAGTCTATACAAATTTCTGCTTTAGCAATTAGCCACATTGCACTAATCTAGCCAAAAAATTTCTGGTATAAAGAGCACTAGTATCAACAAATGTGAGCCAACATACTTTAGAAAGATTGTCTTCTGTTTCTTAGAAATCTTAAAAACATGTTTAAAAAAAAAAAAAAAAAGAACATTTCTTGAAATCTTAAAAACAAATTGAATAACTGAGGAGAAATAACTGAAGCTTAAAATTAGAGACATACTGTCGTCGAATACAGTTTTGACATTTACAATGATCATAAACACTCAAATCCGCATGCGCACAACCTACCGACATTGGTCGTGCTTTATTATTATTCTGAAAAGCATCATTTTACAAAAGCTGACTCATGAGGAAAAATTAAAACACAAAACGTATTAGATCTTATATGCAGATTGCCACTTTTATGAACCAATAATGTTTGGAAGTTCCAAGGGACCAAAAAAAAAAGATGCAGTACATCACAAAAGTCAATACATGGTTCTAAGGCTCTTGAACAAAAACGATCAGAGAAAGAGAATGTTATGTACTGCTTACGTAATGTTATTTACAGCTTATCTGGAGATGACTTAAATTGTACGGATATATATTTTAAGCATATTTATTCTTTTATTTGATATAACTGCAGAAAAATGCATTATTTCTTAAAAGCAAAAAGAAAAGTCTGCAAATCCACAATAAGTCGTGTCCAACGGTTGTGGAATATTTTAAATGTTGAAAACAGGAATCTGCAAAACAGTGTTAATCTTCTTGATCCTTACCAGTAAAGCAGCTTCTAATTCTTCGGCGTGTCCCTTTTCGTTTTCCATGCAATCATCACAAATATAATAAGCCTAGAATCCACCATTTCTGACGCTCAAATAAAGAAAGTAATGTTTCAAATTTATATCAGCGGTGTTGATGTGGGGAACTCACCAGAAACGTCGATCTAGTATCGTTGCACGTGAATTTATGTTTACAAATTAGACATGCAATGTTAAATCTGCATTGTACTTCACCATCAATAACCGAATGAAGTGAAAAAGTTGTTACACGATGTCTGGATCGAGAAAGACCATTCTTTGACTCATGTCCCTAAAACACCACTACTTAGACCTACAAGCAGCTACCATTAATGTCCAGTCACAATTTATACAGAGACGGTTCCTATCCAATAATGGATTTTGAATTTAATTTCCTAACTAGAGAAGATGAGAATTTGACCAGAATACTTTATAAGCGCCTTTAAGCGCCGAGTCACTCCAAAAATATGAGCAATGATATATATGACACACGAAAATCTGAACAACAATTTGCAAGAACTACAGCGAACATTCTTAGATTCTTCATGATTAGGTCTTTCTACTTGAAAAACCTCCAGGATAACTGCTAATTTGAGAATACCATTTTCTAATGGTCAAGTAATATTGCAATTTCTAAAACTGCTCGGACAAACTCCTTATACGACACAATGTTTAGAGGTGATGATAGGGAAATATACGGCGCACAAAGAATACCCGAATGAGAGAAAATTACGAAGACAAAGGTGCTACAAAAAACATTGAGATGGATCAAGCATGAAAAGATTCACTTCATGTCTTTGATCACTGCTATGTTCAGAACCATTGAGGTCATCTCTGTCAAATTCATCCATTGGACTGTTCACGTTGCCATCAGTCACCGCCTAAAAATAAGCATTCGGCTATGAATGAATCGATTTAGTTATGATCTGACTTACTGACTACACAAAGATTTGCGTTGTGGTAGATGAACTGCAGTCGACATAAATTCCCACCTTCACTTTATCTTATAAATTAGCATGACTTCTGATAAACAAAATCCATTCATATCATAGGACAAAAATTAGAAAAACTCATTTGTAAAATCCATCCAGAAAAATATAGATTATTTTACTGAATTTTGATTGTACATTGGTACGAACCTTATGAATACATTTGTGGGTGCTTTTCTTCGTGTAATTTGCGCCTAATATTTCGCTCATCACAGTTCAACAGTAACTGCAAAATGTATTCTAAATTCCAAAATGCTGACTACACAGGGGTGGCAAATACCAGGTACTCTCAACAAAAAAGTGGAGATCTTCATTTCCTCAAGAAATGAAGAACTGACATCTGCTGACTTTTACTGAGAAGGGTAGATGATTTTGATAAAAATAATTTGATGAAGTAATAGATATTTCTGGTATTCATTATAATTGATTGATAAAGATATTTGGTATTTGTTATAATTGATTAGATATTTTTGGTATTCATTATACCAGGTAATATCAACATGAAACATCACTTTTGCGAACAGCTATTAAAGAAAATCTCCATATTCATTTCGTTTTTCTGAAAAAAGTTTCAATCTTTCGCAGCGTTTTTGACGGAATGCAGTATACCTAACGAAGGAAATCATTTAAATTGGTTATCTGAAGATAGCAGCGTCTGTAGAGGTTCCATCAAGAAACATCCATCAAAGGTCAATCATTTCTCCAAAGCGCACTGAACTGAAGCCATAAAGATGGGATAGATGTTAACATACACCTAAGCGTCATTCACTTGTTACTCGACATATATTGATTCACTTCAGTTCAGCTATATTAAAAAAGGTAAAACAGTATAGAAAAACAAAAAAACGTAGTTGGATTGACCAAGGACATGTGCATTATGCACATTTGTATGTGTTTGCCTATATGTACGTTATGCACGAAGAATATGTGTGTAGGTATGTTATGTATGCTGTTGTGTATGCATATGTATGTATGTATATATATATATGTGTGTGTGTTTGCTGTGAAATAACTTCAACACCAATCAGTTGGTAAATAGCTATAGGTTTTTTATTCTGTTCAATTGGATGGGTGCTGGGAGAGATCGATTTGCAGGTGACCCGTAGCACGATAGAACTAACCGATCAATGCGCCGTCTACTAGCAATAGGGCGGCACTGGTCGGCCCTCTTCAATTTTCTACACTTCCCCGAGGAGCTGCATCAGCAGTAATAGGCGGCAATAGGGATGATACTTGGCTTCGCTTCCTTTTATCATTCATTTTAATACTCTCCTTCCTGATGACACTTGCCCTATCCTACTCTACTATCTCGTTGAGTTGTATAACACCAGCTCTAATGGCAACACTTTAATCAGCTCTGTTTTGTACATCCACCATCATCAAATCGCATTCGTGCTTCGAAATGCACGATATATGACGAAGACAGTTTGTAATTCCATTCCTGATTAACAGAAAATGATCTAGAGTACGAAATCCAACTTTTATATATGGATGCTGAGAATACTGCTATATGCTATAAAAATTTTAAGTCTGCTGCTTTCTCCTAATCTGATACTGAATCTTGAGATCTCAGATTCTAAAAATTTCTGCATACTGTTCGACTGATTTTTTTTTTTCCCTAAAAGATATAACCTTAAGGATGTCCGCTGCTCAATATGAGCACACAGCAAGTGCATTTGACAGTGCTATACGGATAACTCACTTTATGTAGTACATATCATTTAAACAAAAGTCACTTTCCATTTGGTGCAGCATTATCATTTGCCTAGCCACCCACTTTTCTAGGATTCATTTACAGAGCAGTTGACCGAATCATTAAGCACGTTCTCAAACAGTGATTCTGATTAATTGAATGATGCGTACGGGTAAGGTGAGGTAGCAGACACTATTTCAGATCATACTCTTCCTGGCTGCACTTTCATCCCTTTTCTTGTACAGATTTTAAAACAGATCTACGAAAATGGAAACCTTGTTAACTTTAAGAGAAGACCCTTCACCTTTAGGCGCATATTATTGCAGGAAACTTGTTCCACTGAGACAGAATTTTCAATCACGGTTTTTTCATTTATTTACAAAATCCATTACCGCCTGAAAATATCACATCATATAGTTTGTCTCCATTCACTGTATATCGTTAATACAAAATCGAAAAACAACTGACTTTCATAACAGTATTCGTGCTATCATAAGAACGAAAAATGCATTTTTAATAATGCAATTCGTCAAAAACAATAATGGCCTAAAGCGATGAGCAAAAGGATGCAACAAATACGAAATAAAAGTTTGTACATTTCCTTAGGCAACCACGAGCATTGCAATTCGGGAACTTTCACATCGAAACTTCAAAATTAATATATGCAGAAGTAGTCGAAAAGGCATTGTGTATAGTACAAGAATAAATGTTGTTGGGGTCATAATGATGCCCTTGCTGTCTCATATAAGGTTGTCGCCCAGAGAAGTAGAAGGGATAAGTGGTCAGGAAAAATAGAAATGGCTAAATGAAATAACATTGTACGGCAAGCTTCATATAGTTATAAACGTAGGCCTATTTCTATCTCTTAATAAAAAAAAATCCATTTTCGACAAAAAACTTAAGATTTAATTCAGGTCTCACGAATGTGATAACAAAGGCCAGATAAACAATGTTGCTAGTTAAACAAAACATTCTAGAAATAAGTAAACAAAATGTAATACGACATGCGGGATAACAAAAGGACAAGGTGGTGAACTAGTAGTGAACACAAGATGGAAACTGATGCAGTCATTGAAAACATAATGCCGATTAGCATATGAACATAAAGTAAAATCACAGTAACACCGCAGATGGGTTACTGAAGGAATGCTTGAATCATATTAACATTTTAGTGCCATTTACATCCATTTTGATGGAATCCATGGACAAGTGCATCTGTATCATTCTTCTAAAGAGATTTAACAACTTCCTAAAACAGCATGCTCATGAAAATATGAAGTGCCTAACATATGTACTTCATTGTGCAGGTAATCACATTCAGCTAATTGACGCGCAGATGGACGAAGCTCAGGATCGACAACTGTCAGCCAGGCGACGAACTTTTTCTAGAATTACAAAGATACTATATACTATATACTTCAGTTTGTATGCAAGGAAGAAGTTTCCACAAGTTTCTTAAACAGCGAAAATTACTTGTAACGTTATGAAAAAAGGATTTGAAGAGTTTACGTTGAAAAAAAAGTTTTTTCAAAGAAATATGTTCTTCAGAGCAAAGATAAATTCTTTTATTCTGAGGAAAAAAATAATGAAAAGCTAGTAAAGATATAACGCCCTTGAAAGGATTTGAATTAAAACTTTGGTAAATAGCAATATTTAAAAAATTATTGGAAAAAAACTGGAACCATTATTTACCTCCTTAGAAGAAAGATTATCTAAGCATTTCGGCATGACACCATTTTGTAAATCGGACAATACGCTATTACGTTCCATAATAGTTTTACAAGGAACAATGAGTTCGACGAAGATAAGTCCGAGTGAAAATACATCAACTTTTTCATTATAGGGTTTGCCTTTCAACTGAAAGCAAAACACTGAAGTATATATCTAACACCGTAATCTTGAAAACATTAACAAATAATGGACAAAAAAGAGATAATGTAACACATTAGACGCGAAGAATTACCTGTTCCGGGCTCATGTACAAACGGGTACCAACATGACTCGTATGACAAACATCTGTTATTACATTTTTTTTGCAGTTGGTCCTTTCTTCATTAATATAATTTGTCACAAGACCAAGATCACCGATTTTCAAATAGTTCTCCGCAGAAAAAAATATATTTTGAGGCTGTAATATGAAGCGTTCGTTAGGATGTAGGCGATGTGAACAAACCTAACCTAAACTGTTGCCAATTACTGTTATCTCATACGCTGACTTATTATATATTCAAAAACTATTTACCTTTAAATCCCTATGGATTAGGCCCTGACTGTGAATGTAATCAATGGCACAGACCAATTCCGCAAGCCATTTGCGCATCCGAGTTATTTCACGATCTTCATCTCTATTATTTGCTAATAACCAACTGTGCAGAGTTAACTCTTGACACAACTAAAGGTGAATAATTTCATCATTAGTATTATGGTAAGAACTACTTCAATATTGTATTGAAATTTTTCATGTAATTAATTTCAATTATTTCAATTGTAAAATAACACTTCATTAAAAAGCTCACAGTGAAAGCGTAAAAATAACCTCCATCTGTATGTAAAGGTAGACATAGTCTTTGATGTTCCTACAATTCTGCAAATCGCAAATGCTTGTGACCAAAACAGCAGGAGGTTGAAGAGGATCCAGTGATGTGTCGTTTCTTGATCTTTTTTTTGCGATTTCTTCAGTGCTGTGTAAGTTTCCACACTGAGCAAAAATTATGCCTGTTGAATCATCACTTCCTGCTGAAAAACCTAAGCTAATATCTCTAAAACTTGAGTACAACTGAAAAAATCTAATATCAATCGTATAAAATCTGGGAAGTAAAAGAACAAGCATCAATCGGTTCAGAGTAAGATTAGAGAAGTTCTAGTTGAAGTTGAAATGAACGAAAAAATCCAAGTGTGCTTCCAAATACAATACTGAACTGTAATACAGTACCGAAATTTTTTGAGAATCACACACTAATGAATAAATTTACAGAAGAAAAAGAAAGATCGAAGAAATTACTAGCTACGGCAGTAATTCCAGGTCCAATAGACATGTTGTTAATATCAAGAGATGAGTCCGATTCTGTTGCTGACCTCAGTTCACTGCCATTACCACCATTTATCCACGAAAGATTATCGGCATCACCGCTTATGGTAATACCTTTTCCGTTGGTAGACGTATTTAAATTTAATCCATACAACAGTTCCTTACTGACTGACGAATCCTAAATTACTCCAGTTACATGTATCATCACTATCAAAATTCAGCATCACCATTTTCTCACACATGTATTTCAACAGTTAAGACACGAAGATGTACGATCTTTTTTTTTTTAAAGGAAAAAGCCTGTAAATTCAAGTGCCACATGCCTTAGTTGCAAGATTTTTCGATTCGATTATATTCTGTTCACTTTCCAGTGTTTGCATTGCGAATTTGTTTCCTGAATCCTCAGTAAAGCGACTGAAAATATTCTTTGCAGTAACAAAACAAGATGAAAAAAGGTAGATTTGAGAAGCTGAAAACATACATGTTTTGAAGAATTTCCTTATCTTTTGTTTGCTGCCAACCGGAAGGAGGTTTTTCCATCCACGTATGGAAGTAACGAATTATGCCCGGATGGTCAAGACGTGCCATTGCACGCGCCTCTCGTTTCACATGATCAATTGCAGCAGTCCTTAATTGTTAGATCAAAGAAATTTTAAACAATACTGAAATTCTGAACAACTTTTAAAACAAAGCAAACAATAAAAAAATCTAGCACCAACACCATGAAGAAATCTCACTGGCACTAAAAAATGTACAGATGTTAATATGTAACAACCATGTAGATCTATTACTAAAAGACGAAAATTTAAAATAGTACATTCCTACTGACATGAATTCACATCGGACGTAGTTAATAAAATAATATTGTCAAACAACATTTATCTGACACTTTGGAGTCTTCTGTTGTAATAATGATCGCGGAACTGCATCACTGTAATATTCATCTTATTAAAGTACCACGTTATGATGGTAATAATGATAAACAGACGTGTTGCTAACTGCTATTCGTTTAACAGCATAGCTTCTGTCATCTAATCGATTGCGACAATTAAAAACAACACCATAACCACCACGTCCAAGCCATTTCTCAGGCACAAAATCTTCGAGAAATCTAAATATGCTATTATCATGATGAAATGTCAAAGTCATAGAAAGAATAACAGAAAGACTAGAAATACATAAGAACGGCACATCATTTCAACATTAATTCTTTCTTTAAATCTCTCATTTTTTTGTGTGGGCATACTAAACAGTATACGTAACTAACGTAACTGCTGTGTTGAAATTTAGTACCAAAAGAACTTAACGAATTGGTTAACCACAATCACTATACTTAACAGATATACGTTCTACTTTTAATTACCGTCAACAAGAACTGCTGATATATTTTAATGAACATGCTAAATAACGTATCTGATGCCTACTTCGATGAAAACAACTCTTGTGCGGGTTGAGGAGCTGTTGTGCTTGTTTTCCGATTCATCCTGGTACCGAAAGATGTGCCAACACTTGGATATTTCGTTTTTTGGGGCGACTAGAAATTGTGTGTAGCAATTAATATTTTGATTTCGTATCCTAAAGTGGTTTTAGTAAATATCCCTGACAATGAACACAATCGCTGGAAAACTATGACTATTGAATTTTTTAAAATATTACGAATATATGAATATACCAACCATTATACATTGAAATACCCTGTGAATATGCAGTGCAAATAATTGCACCTAATAAATTCAATGTTCATCATACTGTATTTTATTGAATTCAGCTTAGCATAACTTTTATAAAATACCAGCACTCTAGCAAATATTGCTCAGCAACTGATGCAAACGTTTTTAAGTTTTTTATTTCACCCATATCAGGTTACAAACACTCATCCTAAAAAGACTTCATTTTTTAAAGTGACCTGATCCATGCCTTTTTTTTCAGTGGAAAAACCTTTTCATTAACAAATCATTAAAAGAGAAAGTTTTAACCACACGACAAAAACCTTTTCACCAGCAAATCATTAAAAGAGAAAGTTTTAACCACACGACAAAAACCTTTTCACCAGCAAATCATTAAAAGAGAAAGTTTTAACCACACGACATCGCAATTAAAATTCATCATCTAAAAGGATGCAAATTATCATATTTCTGAGCGGAAAACAAACCGGAAATGAAATATTCCAGTGAGTGTGAGATCTCTTCCTAAGATCATGTAATAAAACAAATAATTTGAGATGTCGAATCTGTTGCCAGTAAAACAGAATTATAGCAGCAAATGAACTCGTAATTAAAGACAAGAAAAGTGCAACGAGTTTCCTGAAATATTTATCAACAGAAGCCATAAAACCTACACAATGTCAAATAAAGCAATGCAACATTATACTGCTATTCAGATTCTGGTTTTTGAACATTGATTGAGACAAAAGGTGAGCATCTACACAATAACACTTACCACCATCCTGAAACTGGTTCATGTGCGATCTGTTTCAGTTCTTCCAAAACATTCTTTCGTCTGCAGAGGTAGCTACAAGGACTTAGCTTCTTCTGATCTATTTCTCGAAAAGGGTTGCCTTTTTGGCACGGCTTGCGAAGTGGTTTGAATATGTACCAACCGTAATCACCTAAGCTATATAATCGTAAAGTGACATAAAAACATAAGTTAAAAGTGTGCACAAAGAGACTACTAAAACAGACCAGGAAAGACAAACTGAACACTAATCCTCACAAATAAGGCAAACGTTTATAAATTTGTTATTTATTTCCTGAAACTAACCTGTCACTCCAATGTTTTCTTCAAACTTTTTGCTGCCAGCAATGGTAATTGCATCATATATATTACATGTCAATGAGTTTGAGGCAGCTGAACCTCGAGCACTATTTACTTGATTACCCTCAATCGTATTTTCAGTCCTATACGATCTTCGTATCAAATCACCTGCAGTAAAGAAAACAAACGTTTACTGCAAAAAATAAATTAAAAAGTGAAGTACCTTTAGCAGCATTTTTATGTCAACAAACTTACCAACTTTCAGGCCTTCTAAAAATGGCGCCCTTGAGTAACAAGACGAATCTGATATTTGCGGATGATATTGCGTTTGTATATTTGCAGATGTTCGACGCAGCTCACGCATAAACTCCGAAGGTATAATATACGGTACTGAGTTGACTGTTCCTGAAAAATTACTCCATCAGTTTATCAAATGTATCCAAGTTTCAGTCAAAAAAAAAAAAAAAAAGTAAATCTGTAACGAGATAAAACATATAACTTCCTCTGAGCAGAAATAACTATTTCTATAGGTAGTTTAAAAACATAAGTGGTTGGCACAATTTTTTGAAGTCGAAGCGCTTTTGCAAAATCTCTTGTTCACTTTCCAGCAAAAAAAATTAAACGCTGTGAAATTTGTACCACTACATAGTCAAGAATTAAATACAAAGTTCAAGTCCAACATTTTTAACCAGACGGTAATCGCAATCACTGAGAGAGAAGAAATCCCAGAAATTTAATTCTAATCTGAAGATTTACCAAAATAAAACGGTGCTTCATATTTAGAGATAAACTGATGACCATTTTCAGTAAAGTCACTCAATGCACCTATAGTCTCAGGAGAAAACAGTGATATCTGAAAAAAAAAAAAAAAAAAAAAATGTCAACGGAAACTCTATAAATGATTGTTTTTTTAAAATAATTTTACTGCTTTGAGTTAGTTGAATCCTTCATTTAAGGAAAATACTATTTAATACTTGGAACGAACAGCAAAGATTTCCGGTTCCAAATAATTGCTGACGTATTCATTAAAAACATTAAAAGAATATTGTTAGCACCAACCTCGAAGATTTTGCCACGAGATAATTGCCAAGCTTTAGCTATTGGGCTTGACAGTCGCTTTTCCCACTTCAAATTTCCGCAGTTATCAACTGCTGAAATAGTACCGCTCGGAGGTTCCAAGAGAAAACGGATATGAGCAGGTACACTTGCTCTTTCAAAATGAAGTGAATGGTCTGATGAAACCAGACTAATGTCATATTCCCCGACTGATAAATTCCACCTAAAATTAATCTATACTAAGTCATAACTTTGAGAATTTTTTAAATGAACCATCCAATTGACAGTTATTTATGTATTTATGTATGCACTTCTCTGTTCCAGTAAGAGGATCAGCAGCTCGAGCAATTTGTGTATTTTTTCGCATAATTAGGGTATAAAGCGATGAATCGTTCGTTGTTGCCTCGTACTGCATGCATTTTCCTGCTGTACATCGATATCTCATCTCAAAAATTGTGAGAATATAATTCATTAGCATAATAGTAAACAATGTAAATTCAAGTTCCCTCTAACCAACCATAAAATTGTGATAAGCAAACGTCGTAAATGATTTAAAATTGAAATACCTTGCCAGTAAGAGGATTGATTCCAGTAGATGTTACAAATGTCCCACCAGCAATCTCATCATTCCCAACCAGTATCCGCGCATTAGGACTCAACGGGATTAGACTCAACGAACTACTTTTCACATTGAACATGTATAACGAACCATCAAGCGATGGGACCAATATGTATGGAAAATTATCGGCTACTAACTGCAAAACCCCAAATACACCCAAAGAATACTAGTAAAGCAAAAGAAGGTTATCTCCAGGGCAAAAATGTAAGGGAAGGTACATTACAAAGCCAACATATTACACTGCTTAGTTTTGTGTTGAATGACTGAACATTGCTTGAATAAAATTAAGTCACTGATCAAAATTTGCAAAAAAAAACGACGATTCTTTTTACTAACAAAGTCTTCACAATGTGTTACAAATTATACATTTCAAAAATGTTCTAGATCTTAACCGATGCACTCTAAAAGGCAATATATTTAGTGACAAAGCAAAAAGTTGAGCTTTGTTCGCAAAAGGAACTAATGTTAAAACCATAGTATTACTTTTTGCTGATTAAGCGAACTTGATAATAATGGGACATTATCAGCATCCACTATCCATACCACTTCACCACTTTTTTCGATATCCATTGCTGTTATTTTGCCATCTACTGTACTTGCCTAAAAGTTATTACACTTCAGTTTGAAGAAATTCACTTCATGAACCAAGAAATTGACAGATTAAACTCTTACCAAAAAATAATGCTTACTGATGAAGCTAGCGCTCTCAGTGGCACAACATTCCACGGAAGTCTGCTTCGGTGACAACTGCAATAGATTTAAGCCAAAGTTCGCTATGTTAATAAGTCTCATTTGCACCTCTTACATAGCAAAACCTAGATGAAATGCCACTGTAAACGAAAATGTACAACAATATACTATCTACAGGAAAACCAGCATTGAATTTAACTAAATTACATGGGGTTATATTCTATACGACGTGCAAAAATCAATAAAGATAAGAACCAACCTCCACCTCTTCCACGTCATCTTCAACAAACGCAATCTCATCATCGTGCGCCAAAGAGGTGTGAAAAAAGGTGGCAAAAAATAAAATGTGTGTTCCAAAAACCAATGAATAGATCGTTCTCCGCATTGCTGTTCGATTTTATGAGAATATAACTGACTCTTTTAAAAAAAGTTCATCTCGAAACTGAAGATGGTAGTCAGTCTGACTGGTCCACTGCTGCATATTTACATAAATCATGTAATTCCAATAATCACAAGCAAGATAATTTCAGTAATGCTTAAGCTCGGCCAGCACGCAAGCAATTTGGTAGCAAGGTCGAATAATATCGTCCTAAGAATTGCTGTATATCTCTGCATACTCTCAATGACTCAGTTTAGGAATATGTATATTAAGTATGTTCGCATGATGTTAATTGGTATATTAGGTATGTTCGCATGATGTTAATTGGTATATTAGGTATGTTCGCATGATGTTAATTGGTATATTAGGTATGTTCGCATGATGTTAATTGGTATATTAGGTATGTTCGCATGATGTTAATTGGAAAAAGAGCGTGGAAAATTTCGCGAAAAATACAGCAGTAAACCAATATTCAACATGCACAAGCATACGTGAAAATTTTTGTCATAGGTTACCTTCTCTAAGAAAGATATGAAGTCCCACTAATCTATCTCCCAATCTCATTCAACAAGTAACATCAGTTTGATTTTTTTAAGTTTACTTCTCCAGTTTGTACATTGAAATAAAAAGTAATTTACGGTTGGTCCTCGTCACGAATTTTTACAATGCCAATGCAAAATGATGCCTTACATCTGGACGTATGCGAAGTGAGGGATAAAATGGATTGACGTAAAAATCAAATAATTTCGCAAGCTGCTACTTGACATGAACTATAAACACACCAGAACTGAAAATGGAAGATAAAAAATTGGAATCGAATTGATATCATCTCGTGCAGTCCGGGACATTCGGGTGAAATGAACCGTCGTGGTAAGAGGACAAAAAAAAAGGTTGTTGGTTGCTTCCTTTATATGACAACCGCTAAAAGGCATTGCATGAAAAACTGCTATAGCGATGATTATTATAAGTATATCAAATATCTCGGGATAATCAATTAAATCTTAAAGTTTGGAAAGAATTTGTTTTAAGAAATTGTTGTGGTGCAAGAGAAAAAATCACAGTCCCTCGAATTTGTTAAGTGTCACAATAGTATAATTTAGGAAAATTAACAGTGATAAGAGCTGATAAGACAAAAGAAGAAATGGAAAAACATAGGAAGGAATTGTAGATTTGTGATGAGTAGGCTACGGTAATGTCTTCAATTGTGTTAGTATCTTAACCGACATTTAGAAATGCACACTATCCCATTTTAAAGCCATTTACACAATCGTTTACTTTTCATTGTATTGGAATAAACAGTTGCTCAAATGATTTTTTAAACGTTGATGAAAGAGTGGTCAGTTTTTCTCGAATTTGAAATTGTTGTGGGTAACTAGGAGTATTTGTGCTTAATTTTGATCAGTTTCCTGGTAAACAGTTCTTAAATATGCGTTATTTTCAGAAATAGAATAAATCCGTGAAAAAGGGAATGTCGTAAAACCTTTTTCTCTTTTATGAACTGTTTTTCTTTCACCTGAAAGACAATTAGGAAATCAGAGAAATTTTGTTCATATATCACCTGTTATTTCAATTTAGAGCTTTGGTTAGTTAAATTACTCATTTTTTAAAACCTCATTCCTCCCTGCTTGTTCTTCTATCTTGTTCTTTCCTTTTCCTTCCACACAAACAAACTTTCATTTTATCCAATTGTTTTAAATTTTTTTTTTCATTCTAGAAGAACTCTTTCAAATTCACAATCAAGAATTTCAATGAATTGTTGATTTTAATATTGTTATAAAAAGCACTGAAAATCATCTTATTGATAAGAGCCTACAGTGAAGGCCATTGCATACCTCTTATGGTATTTGTCAGCATTATATTTATTGAAGAGAATAATGTTGTCTTTAAGAAAGAAGGAAAAATCCTGCACTAGAGATTGGATACGAGGAGGAGTTTGCTGATCATGATCATTACTTCAATTTGTTGATTCTCATATGACATGAAAAAGTCCCCAGCATGTGATATGCTGAAACTGCAAAATATAGATGTTTCATTAATTTGATATTTGAATTCATTTATTGTAGCCATAAAGTGGAAGGGATAGCATTCTGAACAAAACTCTCATCGTGAGATCATTGCTCCTCATTAATCGCGTTACCATTGTCGTCAGTTTTGAAATAGGATTATTAGAATGAGTAACTTGAAAGAGGGCTGTTAGCTGCTAAGTGTTAAAGGAATTTGTAGCTTTAGACAGCTGTCTTAATTATTCAGCAGTTCCCACATGTGTGTTGTCCTTCGTGTTTCCCATAAATTGAGTATTAAAATGGTATGCATTGAATGTATATTGACACACTAATTGACAACTATTAATAATGTTGAACGAATTTTGGTGTTCGAGAACTCTACATTGTCATATATTTCGTCTTTTCTTCATCTTTATTTTATCATATTTTGAAATTTCTTTCTTGCAATGTTTAAAAAATAGTTTGTTGGTTTTGACTGATGCTTGTTACTCTTGGTCCATTTCTGCAAACTCTATTTTGTCAACGACTAACAATTCTAGCATTCTCGTTTTTTTCATTATTTCAGAGTTAAACATTTGTAAATGTTTCTGAATGTTCGTAACGCTAAATGAATGCAATAAATTTTCGTCCATTTAATGCGGTGTATGAAAACGAGGACCATCTAGTTTGAAGTCTCATCATTGGTTTCGTCCAATCCACACTTGTTCAAGAGACTGATAGCACTGGCATGGCTTTATTCGTGTCCTGATGGTGCAGCCATCTGTCTCACTATGTCGCGCTATGCTCTTGGAAATCTAGGCGCATGTATGTGTGTACGATCAGTCCAGAATGATGGGTGTGCTAGGAACAGCGTTGTTCCATTCCAAACGCCACTCTTTAGTCATTATCATTACTACCTTTTTGTGGTCAATTTATCAACAATGCACGTCAATCTTCTGATATATTTTTATTCCAGCCGGTAGGCGCGAGACATTTTGACTTTTCATCTTTCTGTCCCTAATCGATTTGCCTAAGGTTGGCAGTTTGCCTTCCCTATTTTATCCCAATTAATTTTGAGCAGTGATTGAAAAGAAGAGGATTTAAAGCATTGTTTGAATCCATCATTCTGCTTGTGGTTGCTTTCTTCATCTGATATTGAAGTTCTGCTCTCTAAAGGGTAAATACTTGAGAAAATCACATGCTGCAAGCCACGGTCTTACTCCAGATTTATATTTCTCTTCTTTTCCACTCCAGTGTATTAACTCTTAGCATATTTTCTATTAGTAATTCATTTCTGGATATCGTTGCCCTACTAATTACCCGAGTAAAACGTTTTTTTTTTTTATAAGCGGAACCAGTTTGCTAATGCATGTTTGTTCGATATGAGTTGTTAAGACTTGAAAAAAGTAATACATATTAGTATTAAATGATATGGTTCGTTACAACACCATGATGTGAAAATTGGAAGTTCAGTGCTTTGTTTGGACTACATCCTTTCTTTTTTTCAACTGGTAGAAATGAGTCGCTACTTCTTAAGTCGCATGGCACATGAGAAGATAGCAGTGGAGCAGCAGTTGCGGAACACGAAAAAAAAAGATTAGGTATGAATGTAAGCACGTTGACATAAACAATGTTTTTACTTCACTAAATAATATTGGTAAGTTTTCATAGAACGATATCACCATAATGCAAAAATTTCACTTTTAGTTCAGATGTATACCTTTAATCAATTTGAAAGGAATCAAAATTGACTGATGTTTCCTCTGTATCGTCTGTACATTGTGAACTGTCATTTTTTTGGCCCCTTACTTTGTCACTTCTTGTTCCAAAGATAATGGTTTTTTGTAGCTCATAATTCACATTATTATATTTTTTCTTCATCCTTCTGAAACTTGAAACGACGCCATTTCGTTCCTTTTAGCGAATTTATGTGGTGCCAAATATCTCTGTTGTCCTTAGTGAAATTGTAATTAGAGAGTAATTATTTCGTTATCCACGTTTCCAAAGACAGGTCGTAGAATTTATTTTACATTTAGTGATGAACTGTTTTGCCTTTTTTTAAAAAAAAAAAAATAACAGAGGTCTGGAAAAATGCAGCAGAATGTATGAAGTTTGGAATGAAACTTAGCTTGTAATTGTGTAATGGAATGGCTGAAATGTAACTTCCAAAAACAATAGAAGTACATGCAATATTGCAGACAAATAGAGATGTTGTTATGGGTATGCGTTTGATATGTAGAATGGTTTGCATCAGTAACCTTTGCAACTTTGTGCTTTGATTTTCCTCCAAGCTCTGTCACTGCTTCAACTTCCCTTATTTACTTTGGATGTTCCAGTATTTCGGTTTCCGTCATCATATTTTTATTAGTAGAGGGTATCACTTTCAAGAGTGTGAGTTGCTCGTTTTGATATTTACTGTTAATTGTTTCAACTCGAGTTACTCATTTTAAAATCGAGTCGCATTTCTTTTCCTCTTAGAGCACTTCTTGAAAGCCAAATTTGTATTATCCTAATGTGAATAATTATAAAATTGTTCCAAAAGTTTTTGCCAAAAAATTGAAAATACTGAAATTGAGAAATTTTTGTATTTGCATTTATATGGACCTAGAATAGGAAAGTTCAGTGCTATACTTTGGTGCTATAGATTTTTTAATCATAAAGTGATTACTCCCTTTAGACGAATTTTTCTCTAAGTAACAAACGAAATAGTTTTGTCTTTTTTTAGCTTATTAAAATTGCGGAAAATAATATTCTAAAATCTGAGTATATTTCTCCAACATTTTTATTCTTTTAAAGTTTTAAATGTATTCCATATCTCTAGTGCATAAGTAATTTGAGGAATATTATAAGCCGTTTTGATAATATATTGTCTGACTGGTAAAATCAGAGTGGTTTCTGAAATTCTTATCAGAGAAGGATCTTTGTTCTTTGGTTAATTGCATTAAAGAAATTAATTTTTAACTTACATCAATGTCAATTTATTTAGCAAACAATAATTATATCAGACCAAAGACTTAATGTGTCTATCGGTTTGTATTTTCTATTTCTTTTTATACCAGAACGACTGAGGGGCATGCTTGGAAAATGGTGAATGCTTTATTCAAGGACATAAATGATCGTATGAACAGCTAGTTGTCTTTCTGCTGCACACCAGATAACGTTTTCCTTTTCTCCATGTTCTTTCTTCGTTTCCCACTTGCCTTTTCAACTGTTATTAATATTTCGTCTTAAAAAAAATATAGGAAACACTGTGCTCAATGAAACTCAGGCATGTGGTCCTAAATTGTATTTAAATTTCAATTTTCTGAACATAGTTTTTCATTTAGATTTGCGGTGAACTTTGATTCTAAAACTTCTTGTGGCTATTCAAACCACAGAAAAAATAGCCTTGAAATCATTTGAAAATTTTTACTGAAGTAAAAAACGGAAATAGAATCTGGTTCAAATATTGACATCATTCTCTGGAGAACGTTTAAGAGCTGCTGATGAGCGAATTCCACAATTTTTTCGATGTTTTCATTTTCTTACCATTTGATGCGGAATGTACATTATTTTTATTATAAGATCTCTACTTGAAATTGTCAAATTAATTTAGCGCTCTATTGATATGTTAACTGTTGCGTCTTTTAATAAATTGCTGTCTTTCAGATTTCTTACCAAGTAGGCTCATTAAAAGATATAGAGTTAATATTTTTTGCGCTTTTTGATGTCGTCTTAAACAGAATGGACTTGACATCTACGATTTCAGAAAAATAACAAGTATGCCTATTGAGAAGAGTATGAAACCAATAAATGGTGCCTGGTTTACTGAAGGAACTCAGGTTTGTTGGGAAATATCTTTTATAATAATTGATAAATATAAGCTAGTAATATCCATTTAGAGAAAATAATGTGAAGTCATTACAATTTGTAACTGTTATTCATTTCTGTTTGCAGGGTGACACTGGGAGAGATCTACCACCAGTTGCTGTTAATGGCAATCAGTCGTCTAGTAAATTATTGCCTGCTGAAGATAATTCAAAAAGGAACGGGCACGGTATATTTTCTGATGTCGCCGAGTTCGTTTAGAATTTCAATGCGATGTTCTTATTGAGATACTTCCGCATGTTGAACATAAACACCCATTGTCATTATTTCATTTATACCTCTTCTCATTTCCATTAATGAAAAATAAACAGTAAGAATGTCGTTTGGAGAAAGAGCAAAAATAATTTTTAATCAATAGATCATAAAACCACCGATGCATAAAAGTTGACTTTTAGCAAATCCGGATGAAGCAGAAGCGTGTAATGGTGAAAATATGGGCGGTAAATGCAATCATGACAACGCTCAGGATTGCTGCAGTGTGTTTGTATCTTTTCTCAGCATTAGTGTTGTACTGTTATACGACACTTCTATTTAATGCAAAAGAAAATAAGAAGCTGTGCATACTAATCATTACAACTGTAGCATAAGTGAATTCAGTAGTCGAATAATTAAGCATAAAGATGAACCCTATAAAAACAATTTTACTACGTCGGTTGTCATTCTTACACGTTGTGAATTAATGCACATGTGATACTGGTATTTGAATTTTGCATTTTCGAAGCATTGAAGTGATCTTTCGAATTTACTCTGATCAGTCAGATGCAGTAGAACGGTTAGGTGTGCATTTTCTATGCTATGAAAGAACACGATTCATAAAGGAGAACTCTAGGTAATTCATAATGTTTTTCTAACATTGAAGGTGATAAAGATGGTTCCGAGGAAGGAAACTTCAACGATGTTTTGCCAGCACCGCCAGATGGTGGTTATGGATGGGTAATCGTATTTGCCGCATTCATGTCAAATTTTGTGGTTGATGGTATCGCTAATTCATTTGGTGCTTTCATGAGTATTTACCAGGACTATTTCAATGCATCTAAGGCTTTGGTTTCGCTGATTGGTTCCCTATTGATTGGTTGTTATTTACTGATCGGTTTGTTTTGCCGCAATATTTGAAAAAGTATTGCAAAATGTTGATTAAGGGAGTGCAATACATAGATCAAAATTAATTCAAGGACCAGTTGCTGGTGGTTTGGTGAATAAATATGGCGCTCGAATGGTTGTCATAATTGGTTCCTTTGTGGCTGGTTTATCGTTTTTAGCTTCAATCTTTTGTTCGAGTATCTACGTGTTTATGATTTTCTATGGATTTCTTGCTGGTAATTCAAAAGAAGCTGTTTTATTTTTAACTGATTCTAGAAAAGACATAGCCATGCATTTTTTATGGAGAAATGCGTCACCGATTAGGGTTAACCAGTGGAATGGAATACTTTCAAAAATTAATATTTTTAAAGAGGAGTGATAATGGTATATGAATGTGTTATTTATAGGAACTGGTTTTGGACTCATTTACCTTCCTTCAATCGTTACTGTTGGTTATTATTTTGAGAAGAAACGTTCGATTGCAACTGGCATTGCTGTTGCTGGTTCAGGTGTTGGGACATTTGTACTTCCACCTCTGTGCATAGTCGTCATCAATCGTATGCTTTATATATACATAGTAATATAATAGAATTTTTCTTTTTTTTCTTCATTTTTTTGAAATGAATTCCAGAGTTTGGGTGGAAAATCGCTATCTGTTCACTTGCTGCTCTGAGTTTTTCGAGCACTATTTATGGATTACTATACAGACCGTTGCAAGCACCCGCAATTAAAAGAGGAAAGGAGAATACGGAAACTGATGTGGAAGAATTGGTTCGTATATCTACTGTAATTTATTTATTCATTCAAGCAAGGATGGAGTGAAAATTTTGTGTGGAAAACTCTTCATATTAATTTATTGTAGCTTCTGAAATCAAAAGAGAAAAAATGGGAAACAAATGATGAGGAAAGCAAAGGTTAGACTATTTTGCACCCTTGTAATTGAGTAGTCGTTATTTCGATGAAAGCAAGGGATTAATTCTGTTTAAAATTTCTAAGACTATCATTTAATCACTGTTAATAGTGACCTTTATATTATTTTGAGCCGACTTCTTCCAACTCATGAAATATTTATAGATAGTGCGACAGACGAGAATAACCTTCAAAAGTTCAGGCGTGTACCTAATACACAGAGTGAAAGTGAAACACACCAATTTGACGAAGCGACTCTGTTGGCACCGGCTGTTGAAAACATGACTAGCAAAAATAGTGGTATACATAGTGATTCAACTGAGCGGCTATCAGCGAAAGCAAGAGATCCGGAAGCAAGGTTCATGATATATGAAAGATGAAGGGAAGTGCACTGACAGGAACAAAGGAGTGAGAAAGGCGGGGCTGTTCATTTAGATAGATAAAGACTCAAACCAAGACTCGTTCTCCAATTCGACGCTAAGTTGTTCTATGTTCTATGCAAGCTTTAGTGAATGAAGTTCTATCGATTGCTGGAAGTATTCTTTCCATGCACAAATTCCTCACAACATTAGTTATCTCAGTACATTGACATTCTAAAATACGTTACATACTCAGAAATTTCTAGAATTAAAATATTAGTAAAGCGGCAAGAATCTTAGGAAAGAAGCGGTTTTGTCATTCTTTGAAAATGTTTGCAAGGGAAAGTTAACAGCTGAAATGCTTCATAAAAGGATGGTTTCATACTCTATTATGGGTTAGTATTCCGCACTTTCATATTGTTACGATTATATGCTTATAGTATAAATAACAAGACTGCATCGGCAACCGATCTAAAAACGAATCATGGCAATTTAGCTAATGTTTTAAACAGAATATCATTACTTAGTTTCGCACACTCGATGAACCTTTTGTCGCAGTCGTCGCAAATGAAGGGTGCTGAGTCGCTGTTGTCTGTTGCAGTTAGTTGATCTTTTTTAATTCCATATTTTAAAGGAACAATGTTTCATGTTTCTTAGACTTGCAGAGTATTTTCAGAGCAGCATTAAAGAGTTCAACAAACCACTAAGTCGACGAGATATATTTTATTCTGGTTCAATCCGAAATCTACCTGAATTCAAGTCCGAAGGTATTGTGTTTATCGTATCTCAAAATCGATGTTCATCTGTATTTAGTTGTGTTAAAATTTATGTGATCATATGCTATAAATCTATTTTAACCCATGCAATCCAAATCCTCTTTTTATAGGTAGTAATTACCAGTCATATAGAGAATCACAAATCTCGATCTCTGCATCAGCTGTTGGCCATGCAATTGCTGGCGTGTCACAGGTAGACGAAATTAGCGACACGCCTAATAAATTACATAGTAATCATGGAGCTACTGGGGAAGAAGACGAACAGCTGGATCAACTTGTCGATTATTATACTGACAGGTTAGTTGATAATTGTATTGAAAATCTCTTTTGCTAAATGTTTTGTTATATTACGCACGAGAAAGTTGAAATAACAATGCACTGCCATATCTGGAACTACCGATTAAGACATGAAATAAGTAGTAGAATCTGAAACTATTTATTTTTTCACCACTTGTTGATCGCCATCTTTTACGGTAGAAAAAAAAAATATTTGATTTTTCAGTAAATTTGTCATGGAAAGGAGGTCTTTGAGTCTTTGCAGATGTATTCACTGTGACTCAATTATGAAAATGAACAAATTTCAGTTTTCTAGAAATAGTTTCCTTCCTATAGTTTGAAGGAATCGCATGCTACTGAATTGTCAGAGTAAAATGATTGATACTTTGCAACTAATTATGAGGTGCTTTAGTATGATGATTTTCAGGAGGTGTGAATGCATTCCAGTAAGTATTCGCAATGTTTTGAGTGAAATGATTGATATTTCGTTATTGAAGGAACCAGCTATGTTCTTACTTTGCATATCAAATTTATGTGGAATGCTTGGGTTTTACGTGCCTTTTATGTTTCTCATTGATATGGCTGTTGCAAAAGGGCATACCAAAGCTAGCGGTTCATTACTTTTATCAGTAATCGGCATTACCAACACCATTGGTCCGGTTTTTGTTTTTGTTTTTTTTTTTCAATACTTTTCCAGTTTTCTTTTAAAAAGGACTTAGCATTCGAAAACCTTTGAATGTTAATGCCTTTTTGTAGTTTAGAGATATCTGCTTTCACTTAATTTTCTCATTTGTTTATTATGTACAAATAGAACCAAACTAAGTAAATAATGAGCATTTCTAGGGCCTTTGAAAAAATATGAGAGCTGTTATTCACTGCGTGAAATGCGTGGGATTAAGCAAGGTTCAGTGAATTGAAAAATATCTTGATTTATTTGACCTTTACAAACCCGATCGGTATGCGACGTCATAGAAATTGTAAATGAATATAGATTGACCTTCACATTAGGTCAATACTCTTACAGAACAAAGTTAAAGTAGGCTATTTGCAGGCCGAATAGCATTTGGTTGGTTAGCGGATCGTGGCTGGCTGTCAGCATTAACAATAAACAATTTTGCATTGCTTGGATGTGGTGTGCTTACCTGTTTATGTCCACTGTTTCCTGGCTATGGGGGTCTCCTGGTTTACTCCATTTTATTTGGATTCATAATCTGTTAGTTCTGTTAAATTAATAAATTTATTCGTAGCAGTATATCGTATTGTCATTTTATGCTCAATTCCCTATAACCTGGAAAATGTCTAATTAATTTTCGTTGTAATTTGGAAAAAATGACCAGACCAATTATTTTTAATATGTTTAGTAGCATACGCGTTTTAGATATTTTAAATCCGACATTTTTGAAGCACACAATTAAAACATTTTGAGTTTTACTGTTTGAACAAAATTATATGTTGAAAAACTTTTTTCAGCTGCATATATTTCTCTTACATCAATCGTGTTGGTAGATGAATTAGGTTTGGATCGATTAACGAATTCTTTCGGTCTATTAGTTGTCAGCAGGGGTATAGCATCATTATTAGGAACACCTTTAGCAGGTAAATTATCAGCAGCTTGAAATGTCGAAATTATGGTGAAATTGATTTAGATATGATGAATTGCAGGAATTGTTTATGATATGTTTGCCTCATATGATGCGTCATTTTATTTTGCTGGTGTGATTATACTATTGTCTGGTTTGATTTCATGCCTTATTCCAGCCATTCATCGTTGTAGGCATAATGAATTTGCGAAAGAAACCGGTAATTGCCTTGTGAAAGTAATCTTAAAATAAAAGAATTAGAATCGAAGGAACTAAAATTTTTAGAATACTGAAGAAAATTTGACAATTTAGTGGAAGAGGCTAGAATGATCGGTGAAGAAATCCAATCTGAAAAGCTCTCCGTGCTTATGGAATATTCGGAAAGAAATTTGATGGGATACCAATGCACCATAAAATGTTTACCAGAACAACAGAGATTGTTTGGTGATTCGAGGGTTATTCCATTCGGGAAAACTGCAGACAGTGGATGAAGGCAATGCGAATGAATAAGTGATAAAATTTTTGATATGCATTGAACAAATTTTTGGTAATTTCTGTCTTTTCACTTCATATGTTCCATGTTTCCTGTTTACATTAATCTTTAAATCTCGGTTCGTTGTGATGCTTTCTGTACTTCATGTTTGAATATCATCTCAGAATGACTGCGGATAATGGAGAATGCAAACAATAATATTGGTTATCACTTGAAGCTAGAGAAAGAATTTTCTTCGTATTGACAAAGTAGACTTGAAAAACGGAGCTTTGAATTTCTTGGTAGGGAGCGTAGTTTTACACTTTATTTTGTTGGCGCTTATCATCATTATTTTCACTTCCAGTTGTGCTTCGTAATTATATTTATTATATAGTGAGTTCATCTAAATATTTTGTAGAGGAAAAAAAAAAAAAAACCTTATCCGTTTTCATAATCTTCCTGATTTGTTAGTTTTCCATTTCGTTTTTCTCTGCATCTCTCATTTGGGGTTTCTCAATTACTAATGTTATATTTTAATTTGAGTTTGTTGGGCTGTCAAAATCGCCTTATCCATGAGGAGAAATATTACGATTGCAAAGTGTCTGATTTTGTACTTGTGACAAAGAGAGCCAGTGCATTGTTGGAGATGTTTATACAATCTGTTGCATGAAAAGTTAAGTAGCTAAGAATGTGTTTTAAAGGCGTCGATTTATTCACAGTGAACAATTTTTTAAAAGTTACATAAAAGTGGGAAATGCAAGTATAAATTTGAAGTAATAATGTTATTTGTCAGTATAATCTAGATGGTTTTGCAAGCGTAAGGTAAGAGTAAAGCTTTGGAGGTAATGTTGAGATTAGCTCGGAGGAAGTCAGGCAGTTGAAAGGATATATTTCTATTCGATGGACTTTCCTTTTAATTTATTTTGGGTATTGCTCATTGTTTCCAGTTCATAAGCGAATAGCAGAGATATTATATATTTGGCATTTGACTTTGCGATATATAAAATAATTTGGTAGTGAGAAATCAGTGAGTAAATTAAAGTAGCTGCGTTATTAAGGAGATGGGATTTATGAATGAAAATAAAGAGTGCAGAAACAGTTTTTGTGTATATTGGTTGCGTACGTTTACATAGTTCGTGTATAGTACGTTTGCGAACTGTTTTTTTAACAGTCATTGTAAAAACTATCTCATGTTTGTGTATGACATCGACAAGTAAGTAAGTAGAATACTGTTATTTTTTATCAGTGAAGTGCTATTTCATTACAAAGCTCAAAACACTCCTAACTGCTCTCACTTTAACAGAACTGATTATGGCTGGTTTGAAATGTTCAACAAACTGGTACCATTTATTTAAATGTTTTTACATCATTATCAAACAATATTTTTGTTTTGACAGAAGTTTTTCGGATTTGTAGGAATAAGGAAGTCTGATTGAGGAAAGGAATAGGTTGAAGTATGGGTGTTCTTTTACACACTTGAACTATGTTTTTGTCCAATGGATCAGTTGCATAAACTCACAATAAACTTTGTTCTTGCAGTTGTCTTTCATAAATACGAATAATTGAAATATGATTGTGATGTATGGAACCTGTATTTGTAGCTGAGCTTAAATTTGAAATTCCAAATTCCGGGATTAAGGGTCATTCTATCTCATACGGTTTTTTTATATTAGCATATTGTTTCATACATTTTAAAGTTTTTAGGTCAGATTGAAGGAAGCCGCATTTGCTTTAATGAAATAATAAAAGGTGGAACATTCCTATTAATAAAAGGCGATTGGAACATTCCTGTTCCAGTAAATTTAAACCAGGCACTAAGAGTATTTTTTCCTCTTAGAAAACCGTATATCAGCACATTTTCTTTTGTGCTGGGAAATATGGAAAAAGAAATCTGGTGTAGATTAAACTAATTAAAAATTTTGAAATTAAATTCATTTAAAATATGGTTTGATGATAAGCAAAGTATCAGCTGTGACAAATAAATTCGTAACGTAATAAGTGTGCTTGCATGAAGTTTTTAAGATAGGCGACGCCGCGCAAAATTCATTTTCTAGATAATCCAAATAAATCTAAATTCAATAAGTTTAACATGCTCAAAAACAAAGAATAATTCTTTTGAGTAGGATAAGACAAATACGAAATAATAAATTTCTTAATTTGACCTCAGCTTGATGCATACTGTTTCAGAATAGCTCTGCAATCTTAATTTTTTTCCAAGAGATAATGATATAAATTACAGATTTTTTTTTATCAGAAAATGTTATGACTTCTAGTTTCTGTTGTTTCTGTTGTAGATTTTACTAATCGCTGTTCATTCATCTTTCTTATAATTTAAATAGGTCAAATGTTCTATTACATACAAAGGTTAACAAATTTCCACATAGAATTATTGCTATACCACCTCAACAAAATCCATATTGAAAGATTATTTGCTTGCCACAAACGATTGTAAATTCTAGCTTTTATTTCCACTGGCTTTTTTATTCTATCTAGAAGAACCAACAATTATGATGACTTTGGATTTTATTTGTACAATAGCCAGAACATTTGTCCTCTTTTAAGAGAATTTTATCCTGAACGATGTTGAATTTGTGGTTGAAGGAAGTTTAAAAGTTATAACTTCCTTGCAAAATTGGTTGTCACTTCCTCAGTTCTCCATAACACTGCTAGTTTGCTCTGTTAGCTGTTGGCTGTTGTTAGTTATTTATTGACTAAATTTTAATGTAATGTCATTTTTTGAAGAGTTTAAAATGGTTGGAATATACAGACATTTTTCTTCTTTAAACATCATAAGCATTATCTTTTTATGGACAAAAGTGCATGCTAAATCATATATTCACGCTTTCAGTTTTTTCTTGCCATTTCTAAAAAAAAAAAAAAAAAAAAAAAGAAAAGAAAAAAAGAAAAAATCGCTACATAGGAAAAAGAAATCCTTGCTGGTTAAAAAAGTTAGTTTTTCAAGAAGTTAATTGGAGCCTAATTATCTCATACTATATTATACCACATTAAACGTTATTTATTGTCTTTCTATTTATTGTTCTTTCTCCATATACACTACATTGAACGCTATTTATTGTCTTTCTCCAATTTTAAAGTCATTTAAATTATTTTTATACGCCTTTTCGTTCAAAACTACAAAATATACTCGTAATTTTTTCATGTAAATGAGAAAAAATTTGGGATTATTGTTCACTGCTGACTAAAAATATTGAATAATAATGACGAACTAAAAATATTGAAACTCTTTCGTGCGAGGATTAGGTATATATTAAAATTTTTTTTTAATTTGGAATATTTTCCAACATTTTTTAAAAACAAGATTTGGGACTGAAGAAATGAAACATCAACACCGGTAAATGAAAACAAATGGAGAAATGAGTCTGACATGAAAATAGATCTGATATGGGCTTACTTCAAATGCATTTATATTAATATGAAATTGAAAGCATGGCACAAGCATGGCACGAAACACCTACATTCTATATAGTTTAACTTCATGTTTATTTCACTCTCTTTCTTTTATGGCATATTTCTGCTACCTTCAACAATTATTTCAAGTTCATTTTAGGACTGATTAGTTGTGTTTAGCATCTATATGGTCTAATATAATAGCATTCAACTTTGTGACTGTGTGTATAAATAATGACGACAATATCACAATGAACAAGCACTATTTAAAAACAGAAACAACCTCGCTTTTGACAACCTTTGGACGCACGTAAATCGTCGCTATTTATCCCTCAGTAACGCACTTAACGTTAACAGTTGCTACAGCTTTTTCAATTGCTAATTTTCCACTTGTTGCACTGATTAATCGCTTCGGTATTCATTTCATATACACTATTCTCGGAGTATTATCATCTTTTATTACTTGTATTTTACTCATGACAATCATTCATAAATAATTTTTCCATTGCAGCATTTATCTTGCAACTTTATCAAGCCATTTTGTTATCTGAAAATTCGTTTGTTCAGCGTATAAAATGAATCCCCATCTTGATAGCATAAATTATTAAGTGCACTATAGTGTAAAATACCATTTTTTACTTTAGGCATTTTTTTTGCTGTTAGTTTTCGGTAGTTGGAACATATTCATATCTCAATGGACATATTACAAATAGAACGGATTATTCGTTAGCATACTTATTGCTTATCTCTAACTTTCATCAGGTATGATTTTATATTTTCATCTCTCACTTACATGTACGTTTTATGTGCTCAGTAGAGCCAATAACATAGATCACACTGTGACACACGACTTTCGTTAACATCTTTGCAGTCAAAATGAGAGGGAAAACAAGCTAACAAACAAATGCAAGCTAGTAAAAATGTTATGCCTTCACGACAAGACAGACTTGACAAATAATCCTAATTGAAAATTTATTTGAAAATAACGATTATTGCCTGTGAAGCCACAAAATGGGACTGAAACACCAGAACAGGGACGGTCAACGGGTTCCCCAAACAAGACTCCATGAGTTACAGTTTTTAGAATCGACATGTAAATATTCAGTCAGCTCCAATTCTGAACTATAATTCTTTGACTTCTAATAGTAGAAAAAAGTTTCCAGACTGAGCACAACTGCAAAACCTTTCGAAGTAAGCGTCATACTTCTCACATGCAAAGCACACCATTATCTTAAGCAATTTCGAGTGTATTTTCTGATGTGTTAAAAGACAACTACCCTTAAGTAATTTTATGTATTAAATGAAAACTAACAACACTCTAGAATATTTCTCAAAAATAAACTCAACATGGTTTCAAAGTAACTGATTTCTAACCAGCAGCCACTGGTTATACAGTTCAAGTCGGTCGTAAACGAAGGACTTGAACCTAATAAGCATAAACATAAGCACGCATTGACATGTAATAGGGTCCGCAACAGAATAAAAACTGAAAGATATAGCAGAATTGCTTTGTCCTGTCAGATATTGTCTGAATTAAATCTTTTTTGTGCTTTTTTTCCCCAAGCCTCATAATAATATTGGTTCGTAGATAAGCAATTCCAGAAATTCCACATAGCAATCGTTTTCGAATTGAGTAAAAAGTGTGCAAAACTAAAAGAACTACCCTTGAGATGCACGAATTATTACACGAAGGATTATTACACTACAAGTTTCATTATAAAAACAGGATGAACTGATATCCCTCTCTAAACAGAATAAACAAATAATCGTATCAACAAAATAATTTAAATTATGAAAGAAAAGCAAAAAGACTATTCATCAGTGGAGAAAAAGATATAGTGCTTAATGCATTCATTTTGACACTTTGATTAGTGCACCCAAGTTCGAACGCCTTTATGGGATTTGCATGGTAGAGAAATCAAATTAAAAATTGTAAATCTCAACTACGGATGAGTCTTTGGAACTTTTTGAAAGAACAATAGCTCCGTAGAAAAGAGACAAGTGATTTAGGTAAACAATGAAATCATTAGGAAAATACAAAACATACAACGTCTATGATAGGCAAATTACAGCCCGCGGTCAAGCAGCCGTAGTTTTACTTCCTTTAGGAGTTTGTAAAAAGAGATGCAGCCGAAAAACTGTACCTGTCCTTCATAGACATGCTATCAACAGAGAAAACAATAAATTTTTGTTCACACCTTTTTTACAGCGAAGAAAGCGTTTTGTCGAGCTTGACTGGCACAAAACAGCTTGTCCACTTCTGAAGCATTGGGACACTGAGTATAGGGATTACAGACTTCATGTCGTCTGAAGCATTTAGCTGCATTTGTACACATATATATTGGGAACCCATGTTTCTGACATTCTGAAACAGCTCTTTTTGTTTCCTTTTCAAAGGACCACTATATTATATCAAAGTCCAGCATAATACATTGCTTGACTTTCAGAGATAATGACAATTTCCTGCGTCATTTAATGAACAATAGGCACTTTATCTCCAACAAAAACGATCCATTTACCTGCACAACTACACCTTTGTTCGTCATTATTATCGGGACAGTCACTAACACCATCACAGCGCTTCGTGCTCACCAAGCAAGTTTTCGTCGGTTCACAATAAACAGCATTTGGATTAATGCATTTTTCACAGTTTCTCTCATCTTCACCATCAGGACAATCCTCATAACCATCACACCGTTGCGACTATAATTATTGAAATTCATGGCGAACTCAGTTAGTGGAACGAATTCTAGACAACCAAGAACATACAAACAAAATGCACTTAGTCGTCTCCCCACGAGTATATACTTTGCATTGCATTGTTTCTCCTACACGTTTCATAATACTGCAGTTGCAGTTCGTTTCATCGGAATAGTCGCCACAGTCGTCCAGGCCATCACATACCTTAAATATAACCTTTCCCTTTTCCCTTATCAATTTACATCTGGAAATTGTCTCTGAAAAGCATCCGACCAATCCTACGATGTTTGATGAAAATGAACAAATAACAAACCAAACTCCTTTTGATGCACTTATGATTGTTGCAAGTGAATGCCATCTCTTTGAAACATTCACTACACTTCCCTTCACATTCACTCAATATTCCACTGCAAGCATACTTCTTATGGTATAGTATACCATCTCGGCATCGGATAAAATCCTTAATGAGACATAAACAAAATTTTTATGAAAAGGAAAAGTTGGAAGATTTCCGAGATATTTCAGTTTTTGAAAAAAAAAAAAAGTCTGGTTTCTGTACATATAAAAGAATTTTTGGAATTGCAACAAGCCAAATTCCATTCAGACTCATGTAAGAGTTCGCAGACAAAAGTGTTACAACTTAATAAAAGTTTTAAAAATTCTTCCTGTAGAAACCTCTTTTGGGATATGTGCACAACTTCCCGGACAGTTAATTTCATCGTCTCCACCAGGACAATCCTCATTACCATCACAAACCTTCGAACGTTCAATGCAGACATTGCTGTTGTTACATAATGCCTTCCCAATACCTGAACACTCTCTGCACGTGCAATCCTACAAAAATCCAAATAAATGGTTGCAACACTTTTTATCTATACAACTTTACACGAAAATCTTCTTCGTTATATCACGTGATGTTCATGAAAATCAAGACTGAAAAAACTCATGATAATAAACCATTATTGCAATGAATTCAACTGAAAAATGAAACAATTGTAGGCTTCATTTTGAGGAAATCTACCATTTCATCCTTGCCATCTGGGCAATTTTGAATGCCATTGCAAATTTGCCACTTGGGTATGCACTTTTTTTTGCCTTCACACCATAATGCGCCTCCGTGACATTTACCATTACAATTCTTTTCATCTTCGCCGTACTTGCATTGCACGTCACCATCACACATCTGTTCCTGGGCCAAACATATACCTGTTTTACCGCATCGTTCTTCGTATTTTGAGCATTCTTTTCCTATAAAAATCGAATCATTTATGTTTTCGAAAGTATTCGACTAGGAAAATAAAGAACAATAGCTACAAACTAACCAATGTTGATATATATGAGAACTTACTGCAATAATGCTCCTCGTCAGAACCATCTAGACAGTCAACATTTCCATCACATAAACGGTAACCCCGTAAACACATCGAATGTCTCGATGAGATAACTCCGTGTATTGAACTGGAACAGTTGACCGTCGTATGACATACTAAAATACTTTCATTAATCGAGCGAAAATCCCTGTACAATCTATATAAAGTTGAAAACAGATTTTATTGTTGCCTTCAGATAAAGTAACAGATAAAGAGAAGAAAAAAAAGAATACATTTGCATCCGATTTCATCGCTTCCGTCTGGGCAGTCTTCTACACCATCACAACGTTGCAATGTCCCAATGATGAGGCTCTGTATGGAACAAATTTTCATTTTTTTTATTTCTCAACTAGATGGTTAAATCAATTTAGTAATCAATCATTGATATTCATCTTATAAATCATCTGATATTATATATCATTAAAATTGTTCAGTTATCATTAAAGTGCTAAGAGTTTGACAAAAGAACAGTTGACTTACCGGCAAATTTGTGCATGAAAACCCATATCCCCTGCATAACGTAACGTTCGGAGGAATCATCGATTTCAGGGATCTAATGTGTAATGATATATCTGCACTAGGCCAGCTCGATTGTGCCCTAATGATCTCCACTGCTTGGCTGTCATTCAAGGATATCGACGACTAAATTTATTCATCTGATGAACCAAAACTTCAGATTTTTACATGAGAATTGTTTTATGCGAGGTTCATAGAAATATTCAATCCATTTAAAATAACGCATAATTTAAAAATTCAATATTAGAGAGTTCTTACATAGCCGCGTATGATGAGCGAAACAATTAGGAACGGCGAGATGATTAAAACAGCCAGAAGGATCAGAATACCAACTAGAAAGGCAACCAGTGGTATATTATTTAACCAAGCACAACAACTAATTTCAGCTAAGTACTCTTTGAAATTTTCGATCTTCAAAAGAAGAACAAAGCAGCACTCCTGATCTTTGTTCTCCCTGGAAAGTGACTTATGAATAAAAATTAATCCTTATTGGAAACAATGTAATATTTTTTAATGTTACTCCTAGACTACTAATCAAATTTGTTCGAACGTTCTATGATAAATCAAATATGAAGCATATACTTACATTGTACGGTAAGTTACTCAGTTTTACTTTCAGTCCACTATACGGGAAATTAAAAATGACTTGATGGGTATGTTATGAGTTTCTAAGTGTTTTGTGTAAAAATGTGTAAGCAAGAGGAACAAACAGCTGAATATCCAGACTTTCTAATATTTAGGAATGAAGATACACTAACTTCAGGGACGAAATATGTAGGATAAAGAATTGCCTGAAACACTAAAATATATTATCGGTCACCAAATAAAGCACACCTGTCAATTCCAAGAGATCCACCAACACTGTCGGGACGCTGATTATATCGTGGAGATTTACCGTCCATATTTTTTATGGATACAGGACGTATCGTATTCTGTAGCTGAAGTTAAATATGATTTAGGTACAAATATATTGGATATTGCATATTGTAAGAGATGAACCACGACTCATTTCAAAGAATATGATATAAAGTCTACGTTTATACGAGTCATTCTAAACTCCTGGATTTTTGTAACTGAACTAAAGTTAGAGAACCAACCAGAACTGGGTTATTTGGGTCGTACGAACCTCGATGTGCACTCATGTGAACTGGGGAAAAGTTATCCAATCTACAGCTAATTCCTGTTTATAGATATTCTCTGAAAAGGACTACAACGTTTTTAGCTGTGACATAAACCCTAAGTACTGCATTCCGAAGACGACTTCATTCTGATCGAAATTTATAAGAATATGTTAACCTACAGGTCTTAAACCAAGCACGCAACATTGTAGAATTGATGGTAACGAGTAAAACATTGAGAGAAGAGCATAAGGAAGCAACCTTCGCCTGGATAAACTGTTCGAATAATGTCCTCGTCTTATAATTTGACCTACCCGGAACCTTTTTAACTCTTAATCCCGCTGTTAGTGTTCCAGTCAAATATCTCTCGTATTTTGCGTTAGGTGCTCTGCTCATCCATGCATGAATAGGTAGGATGGTCGCTATATTGTAGAATACACGATTGCACACAGAAAAATATTCATGCATAGAAATGTTGTATTTCCCACTACTTTACTGTAGTGATCTCTCAGTAGTTCCAAATCAGGAAGTATTTTTGCTAACGGCTAGCAGATTTGAAGTTGATAATAGTTTTGAATTTTGATAAAGATCAACTGAGTTTATATGTAGTTTTTTAAAAGTAATTTCTATTAATTTTTCTGGTCTGGAGCTCAAGAAAGTGACTGGATATGGATGATCATGCATAAAAAACGAATGCAATTATATATGAATGACGAAATGATGGATGGTGTCGCGAATTTTAATATCGCGGAACTCTAAATTACTATATGAGAGTTGAAAATATGAGTAAGGAATATGTTATATGAAATTTTGTAAGTAATGTTTATACCTTAAACCCTTTGTTCCATGTAATGTTTAGACTGTAAATCTTTTATATGTTATTTAAATAGTATCGGCTCCTCATTTAGTTGACCTTATTGTTGTGTCGCTACTTATTGTAAATTATGTTTTAATCTACGATGTTAACTTTTGCTTAACTGATGTCCTTTGCGGTTTGCTAACTAGTAATTAAATGTGCTTATAAACCAGGTCAACAGCTCTCTGTTAGATCGATTACTCTTTCGGTAGGTCAACCTCATATTGTAAATCATTAAATCATATACTTTGTTTACGCATATTGCTTGCTACATAAGGAGGTCACCCTTATTGTGTGTTTTTTACCAAGAACCAGGAGTGTTCATCTTCAATTCTTCTCTATTGTACTGTTGTTTCTGCTAATAAAGGAATTATTATATTCCTCTGTTATCCTACATATTTACATCTATATCCAACGAACCTCCCGCAAATCAACAACCTCAAAATAATAATTAGATTTTCAAATCTTCCACGACAGATGGTAGTAGTTATCGGTACTATAATTATAAAAGTCCGAAAATGGTGAAGAAGGCTCTTTTAAATTATGTTAAAGGAATGCGGAGGACTAGTTAACAAACACTTCAAATGCGTAATTGCGACCTATCTTTGCAATAACTACTAGGTCATGTCCTCAATTTTCACATACTTTATATAGACTTCCTCAAAAAATCCACTTCACTTAGCTATTCTTACTTCATTTTTCTTGCTGCTTGGTCTTTGCTACCACATGGTAAATTTCATGTCTTCATAAAAAGTGTGCTCTAAAATCTAATTAATTACTTCTTTCCTAAATTTTGTAAATATTATTTATTATATATATAGCGTGTAAAGGAAAAACTAAAAATGTGAACCTTTTCCACTTTCTCTTCCATAGACAGTATGTGACATAATGCTATTCCTTTCTTACATGTTATATCACAAATACATGTGCCAATGCATATATACCACAATTACACTTGCCAACTTTTTGTAATGGTTAGTCTAAACGGCTTATTTTAATCCGAGAGTAGTAATGGTTTTTGAAAGTTTCATGAAATTAAAAGATAATATTAAAGATGGACTTAATAAAACTCAATGAACTTGAAAATCCAACGAAACAATTGTCATAAGGAAGCAAGCTAGCTGGTAGTGTTTTCTAATTTAGTTTCAGTTTTCCTCTGTACAATATCGGTAAATACATTTTTTTCCATAATTGGTTGGCATCAATAATACAACATTAACAACAATTATTTAGCTTTCATTAAAAAAGAATTTCAGTTAAATTCGATCGAATAAAAAAAGATACCGATAAGCAGAAAAATGAGGCTAACTGTAACTTTTTTCACCAGCATACTGTCGAAAGGTTGGCGATAATTTGTATCTAAGTCGCTTAGAAAAAGAAACATATTATACAAAAATAGTATTTTTGGTCTTAAATTCATTAAAAAGGTATGATTGTGCAAGGCTTACCTAAACTAGTTAATCAGGTTCTCAAGTATGCAAATTGCTTTCAGTGGTAAATCAAATAAACACATCGGCAGATTTGAACTGTGGCTTTGAATCGACATGTCAATGGCGTAATAATACTTCTGGAGAAGATAGTGGTGATTTTCTGATAACAAGCAATGTCAGGGTGGCGAACCATTTCAATATAATCCCTTCGAGAAATAGTTCAGGTGGGTTATTTTACTTGACATCCCTAACACTTAATTTATTGCAAATGGAGTAAATGGAGGACGAAATTTTCAACTTATTTTCTGCGGATTTTCCGTCTGAGTACCAAAAACTGGAAATTGGATTTTATGCTATCACGAAGATAATGATTAAGATAATGATGCTATTCTTATTCTTATCCTTTTACTTGATAGCATTTATGTTTTTATCCTAGGATATTTTGAAAATTTGAGTAACGCATTCAATTCAGTTTGCAATTTTAACGATTTTGGAATTACGATAAACATCATAGTTTCTATTTACTTGCCCAAATCTCAGAAATCTTCTTATCGTCATAGCAAGGTTGTGATAGAATAATTTAGAATCGTTGAAAATTTTTTATTACAGATGAGTTATTTGCATACACACATGGGCCTTTCGACGGGATGCAAAAAGCTACTTTAATTAGCAATATTATAAGGTTTGTAAGCTTGTAAAGAAAAAACTATGTTTCAATTCAAAAACTATATACTAACTCATACGAGACACTAAGCTAATAACTTTTTTCATCTAACTTTTTTAACTGTTGCAGCTGTCAGCTAGGCGGTAGCACCTTAACATTTTGGTACTACCGCACAGGTGACTCAGCAACACTGGAAGTGTGTGTACGTCAACCACCAGGAAGCTTGAACACCGCAGATCTACGATGCTTTCCTGTCTTCCCCAAAAACTATGCTCATCAATGGTTATTCAATGCCGTTGAATTCCCACCACTTACCCAACCATTTGAGGTACTATTTTTAGTCTGTATGCTAAGAATAATACGAACTTAATCTGTTTCCCTCAAATCTTCCCGTTGTGCAGTATCCAAATATTTTGAGCAGCAAAATTTTAATTTTTACACCTTTGACATCTGACTGTTGTGAGTACGTAGTATTTTTTACAACACACTTTGACGTACTGAGGTCTTTTATTGGAAATAAATCTTTTTTACTAATAAGATCAGATTGATAAAATTGTTGCTAATTTTTTAGTTCTCAAATATTTATTTTTGGCTGAAACAAAATATTTCAGCTTTTGATACGCTCAAATTATATTCAGCCATTCGACATAATCGCAATCGACGATATCTTCTATGATGCCGCACTTTGTGGTAAATCCTGTCTTTTGAGAAAATTTTCAAACAGAGAAAAAGTCCTGCATATGAATTCCCTTAAAAAATTCACTCAAAATTTTTTTGCCATATGAATACAATAATAGTTGGATAATGTTCAACCGTAAACAAGACATGTCCTAAAAGTAAAATTTGTTAACCGGTGAAGGGAGTTCGGGAGTTCGTACCAAAAATTATGAAAAGTGAATTTATGAAATTATTTGACGCTTGGTACTATTGCTACATTCAACGCGTGATCAGAAATATCGGTTCCAGTGAATTGAAGTGTACGCAATTATAGAAAAAAGTAAGAAATGGATGTCACTGAGAGAAAAACCTCGTGGTCACTACATGGGATGAATGAGCTTAGTATTCAGTGCTGCAGTTGTATATCACATTCATTTATACAAAACAATACCCATAGGTTACTGTTTATTACATTATATCTACAGGACATAATAATTATCTACCACTTTTTGCTGCTATGCCTAGAAAGTTCTCAGAAAATTTAGATCTTAATATTAAAGGATTTATTATTTGATAGACAACAGCGGAAAAGGTTGTTGCAGAACAAAGAAATGAAGTGGAAATACAAAGTGCCGATGAAAAAAACAGACATGAAAAGCCCATAAATTTTAAGAGGTTTAACAGTTTGTGACAACTGGTAACTTAGAAGTGAATGTGAAAGTTTAAACCATTTAAATCTAGTTGAAAACCAAACTATTAATTTTCAAAGTATTCGTGAATATATCGAAATTATGGGTTTCCTAATCAAACATGAATTGCAAATTATGGAAGTCTGAACTTCTCGAGTATTTGCCACGTATAAGAATCCAATGCGAAAAAATTTTTAAGATAAAAAAACAAAAAGTGCGGACAAAATTTTCAAAAGATAGAAACTGAAAAACTTGAATAGAATAGAGTCCAAAAAAGTATGGAGAATATTGAAAAGAAGGAATATGATTTTGACAGCGAAATTTGGTATGAACAAAGTTCAAAAGCGTAAATTCTTACTAAGGATTTAACATATTAAGAATTATTGAGAACAAATCATTAAATAGTAAAGATGAAATTACACGTGTAAAATTAATGAAAGATTATTTATATTTTTTATGGATTTTCTACTATTTTGGGTCTAGAATATTTTTATGACCCTTCTATTTTTTGTGAGTATTTATTTGATTTTAATCTTTTATTTGCTTAAGAATATTCTCGTGCTTAATTGTTTTAGCCTTAAAAATGGCAGGATAATGAATCAGGGAACCTCGTCGAATGAAATATTATCCAGCTTATATTTTTCTAAAAAGTTCGCTGAAACCTTCTATAGGAAAAGCGTTTAATTTAATTTTAGGAAGTTTCGTTTTACAGAGAACACTAATTCTCGATCAACTGAAGGCGGTGAAAGCAAATTAACCTTTTTCCGTAATTTAAAAGGTATAATTTCAAATGCTGGAGAAATTTTTTATTTGGAAAGGATTTAGAGTACCAGAGAGTTTTCTGGATGTCTGAAAGGAGGCGCGTAGGTTTCAGTAAACAATGGTAAAATAAATTAGGTTGAATTCTTGTGAACTTTTAAATGCGGTCTTCCGCCTTGCTTCTTAAGTATAAAATTGATCGTCGCACCGTTTGCTTGAGAATTTTTTTACGCGTTCTTACACATCCTGGAAAAATTTTTCGCAGGTTAAGAGTTTAGTTCGAATAAGTTGTTTCATGCTGGTGAGACAGTGGAAGAATTATTCTTCATCGTGCAATTTTAATAGAAATCTGGTTGGTAGACCTGCAATGGAAGCGCAAATGAATTTTTTTTTTTTACTCTGACGTTATCCTAGAATGCGTTTATTCTAGGAAAGAAAAATTAAAGGCTTTTCTTCTTTAAATTAGCAAATTAAAGGAGAGAGAATAACACACCTTCCAGGTAATTTTCTCGACGTTAATGGAATTGATTCAGTGAACAAAAACCTTATCTCTTTCCTTACGAGTGAACATCGAAAGAGGTAAGCCAATTAATGTCCCAAAAGGTTTTTTTTTCTTGCTATTTGCATAGCCAAGTGATAATAATTCTAAATTCAACAAATAAAATACAGATTGTTGCCAGTGTATACTTCATCAACATCACGGAAATCAATATCGAAATTAACCTTTGGACGTATCAATGCTCAGCTCATTTCACCTTGTCTCTTCACAGATTGTTCGTTTGACTCTGTTAATATGTGTAATTATATATCTAGTGACGAACTCCAAGATGATGATGATCTTTTGCTGGGTATATTTTACATTTTATCCGTTTTCTTTTTGTCTGAATCTATTAGATATTTCTAATCTGAAGATGATTTTAAAAATTGAATCCTACATTTAATTTTGTTATAAATAGCAGTTTCCTTTAAACAAATTTCATAATAGATTTACCTTCTCACATTACTTCGAAGAAGTGGAGGCTTTCAAATCAAAAAGTTTCTAATACCCTCACCGGCATAATGAGCGATGTCAGTGGCGGTATGATTTTTTGATTTCTATCATTTTTTCTATGTTTTTCCAGCCACTGCTTATAAATTACTCACCCAAAATTTACTCATCCATCCCAAAAAAAAGAATTAATAAGTAAAAAAAGCTAACTAGCTTTGCCAGTTTATGTGGATTGTGATTTGGCTTTTCGGTTTTTAGAATTGGAGCTACTGGAGAATCCCACCCCTTGTTTGGTTGGTTAGTCGATTTCAAACGCTGGCTGCATAAATTTGACCGTCTCAGTCTGGTTCTAATTTAAGGTGGTTGGTTTATATATGCTGGTGAAACGAATAATCCAGCAGCAATATTTCTCATGCGAACGTCAAAAGCAATAAATATACCTGAAGAATCACAAGTTAGCTTCTACGTACATATGGCTGGCAAATATGGTCGTTTACGAGTCTGTTTGGATTCTCTTCAAAAATGTTCATTTGAAAGGAATGGACAAGCGCTGAGTGTGAAAACGAGAAAATGGATAAACTTTCATATCAATATATCACGAGGATTCCATACGGTGAAACTATTTTTTCTTTTAATGTCATAAAAAAGCTTGAATTTATCAAAAAAGCCTTTTTTTTTAACTTAATAATATTTCAATATGTTTCAGATTTATTTTGTGGCAGATAAATTAAAGAAGAATTATGTGATTGGTCTTGATAAAATTCAGTTACTGATTAAACATGGCGAAGTTTCTGCCCCATGTGCACGATAAATGAGTTAATTATTTGTACAGCTTTTCTTAAATTAACAGTTACTGAACTATTAAACGTAGTAGTGTTTCTTGTTTGTTGTAGTGCACTTATTATATATGCTCTATCCACCATGCAATATTCCGCTTAGCTTACAAGCTGAATAGGTATTCTGTTAATATAAAACTAATGGGCAGTTAAAACAATACTTTCTGAGAGTTCTGCCTAACATTTCAATCGTAATAATTAGCGATGAAAGTTATTCCTATGACCGACTCACTGCTCCCTTAAAATTAAATCAGTGTTGTTCATATAAATATACTTATATTCATATCTGTGTCGCACAAATTAAAATATTTGAAAAGCATTGACCAGTTCGTATTTTCAAGTTGAAAAGCTAGTGATACTTCAGTATGCAATTGAAAATAATGAAAATTATTAACTGAAAATAAAAACTTCTGATTAAGTATATTTAGGTGTGAAAAAATTAGACACGCATTTGAATCTTTCTCTCTCAGTTGCAATTCCCTAATGTTTTTTTTTTTTTTTTTCATGAAATGATTGGCATAATGAATAACTTATAGTAATTTCCAAACAAATTTCTGATCGTTATTGTTCAAAACGCAAGTCAAATAGACGACATATGCCTTGACAAGATCAATTTATCTGTTAGATATATTGTGTTATAAAAACGGTCATCACTTTGTTCACGCACACAGTTTTAATTTAATTAACAAATAATGGTTATTTCGCGGTCTGAACTTAACCTTTCTTTGTATCAATCAACTGACTCTTGATTATATTTTCAAGATAGAATACTTAGGATTACATTACTTTCGGCCTTTAAAATTTTGAAAATGTCACAGCTAGTGGGAGGATGCCTTTTAAATGTAGTGGTGATAACAACTCCATTCCTCACAATTTTCATAAAATTAAAGGCAATTTATAAAGTTTGCTTCTAAAGGAATCCTGGAAATAACGAAAAATAAACAACGCTTTTAGAAAATAGTATTTATTGTGAAAAAATAAAGAATATATTATTGTTTTAGGGCTTCTTGTGATTTAAAGCAGTACAACTAATGAATTTATCAAACTGTAATTTTTAACAATCAATTCGATTGAGAAATATAAAAAAGGGAAAAAGTGAAATTTCATGCTCTAGATTTTATGTAATATTTCCTTTCGAAGATAATCCTTTCACCTGAAAAGGTTTTCTAATTAATCCTGTACTGTTCTCATGTTTGTATCTCGCACTTCCGTATGGTTTATTCAAATCTGAATATTTTTTTTGCTAATTAATCGCTGTCATTATTCATTGTTGTGGAAGTAACTTACATGCAAATTATATTTCATTTTTTAAATTCTTCAGTGCTTGAATTAAAAAATGCGACTAAATCAAACAAATTCGTTACCTTTTTTTTGGCTTTTTACAAAAAAAGTTATTTTCCAACTCCTGAATGGTCCTTGCTGGATTTTTAACAGCAAGTTAAATTCGAAGGAAAACCATTTTAATTCCTTCAATGAAGACTTCATTTCATACAAGTGGAAAATTGAATGCTGTAAAATAATTGAGGAAATTAATTGGAAAATGTCGATATCGCGTTCACCCTTTTCTTGTTGACTTCAAACATTGTAAAAAAAATACGAGTTCCGATGCCTATATGTCTCGGCGATTTTTGAACTGCCCATAGTTGCAAAAAGTGTTATACAGTCTGAAATTAAATTTAGAAATCGATATAACTATAAATTAGGACGCTTTAAGAAACTGGTCTGTGTCTGTTAAGCGTTTGGATTATTATTATCTGCATGATCAGCAAATCTTGATCTATCAGCATCATCAGAACAGAGTCAAATTGTGGCTCGAATGATTGTTTATGCTATACCGGAAATTTCTGAAAAGTGAACTAATCAGAAAATTTGAAAAATATTCACCGCTTTTCGTTGCATTTCGAAAATGCAAACTTTCAAGAAATGGATTAATTAGTGAATAATTAGCTATTACCAAGAAGAATACAAACTGTTACAAAACGGAAAAATCAACGCAAGAGAGCAACAAAAATTATAGCTACGCTATTTTTGATCTAGCTTTTTTAAATTCTTGTTGTTGACAGTTACACAAACCGAAATGCTTAGCAATTTTTAAAATGACATTTCGTTTTTGGGAAACCAGGTTATCTTACCTTGCGCTGCATCTGTTTGTTAACAAAGTGGGTGATATAATTTGGACCAGAAGAACTGGCCAGCAACAACACCTTGTGATTAATACTACTATTTCTGCAATTACTTCCAATAATTCAAGCAAATCTATCCTTTTTCTTATTCTCAAGAATTTCTTCAGTAGATCTTGGATTGATAATACAACAATTTAATTAGTTGGCCTGCATATGACAGCATCGCTGTATAAAGAAATATATATTTGATTTAAGAAATTCAGATGAGAAAGAAACGAGGACGAAAAAAAAAGCATGTAATCTGAATGAGGGTATCAACAATGGAGTTTCAGGTTCTAGGGTAGTTCTTTGGGGGGTTGTGTACTTAGATGGAAATAGGGAGATACCCTTATTTGAACGACGTAAGGACAGACATACATATACGCGATACGCAAACATTCTTCTGACAGGAACCAAATTATTCATTGAACTAGGTCATAAGGCAATAGTTGAAGGAGAAAGAGGTCATAAGGGATAGATCCATCCAGTGACAACCAAAATTTTCGTTGTTTCTTAGAAGAAATACAACTCTTATCGTTTTCTTTGTGCATGTGTCTGTGTATGTCTGTATATATATATGTATGTGTGTATGTGTATGTATATGCGTTCTTCATACTGGTCTGTCCAGCGTCTGAGATCTGTCTTTCGAGTGTGTGTCTGTAGAAACATCTGAATCCAACCGAATTCACCGGATCCATCCATCCAGCATCCTTACTGCACTCAGCAGCTCCATCCTCAGTCCTCTGCCAATCAGCGTAATCATCTCTGTTGTTTCTCCCGTGAATTATCTTAAGTGGGCAATTAAGTTGTTGAATCGTTGTCCAAATTTACTGCATTTGCTAATAATTTACTAGAACAACGTTATAACCAGATATCGGACTAAAAGGAGACTGTCGTTTTCTCACTCCTTATCAATCATAGTCCAGAAACAGTTTTTCTTCGCATCCTTTTTTTCGAAAAACTTTCATCTTTCAAACATTTGGAGATCGTAGCATCAAAGCAAAGCATCTCGTATTCATCGTAATCCACAATTTCGATCCTATAGGTTGCTCGTACCTGTAGTCAGTTGTTGGTTGTCATCGTTATCACTAATTGGAAATCTATTGGTTATTTGTGGAGCAGGTCCGAATGTTACCTATCGTTATGTTCATTTTTGCATCACTGACAACAACTTTATTCCGATTAGGTATGCTTTTCATTCTTCATAGAGAAAAGCCACTAGGTTACTAATTAACATAGTGCTGAAAAGCATAACAATTGTTCCATCTCTACTTAATCGTTATTGCCTACTTTATCTACTTATAATTTTGTGATTTAGATGCAAATTTTTATTCCATTTACTATGTTTTTTGAGGGAAAGTGTCGAAATTTTGGAATTTAGAATTAATGAAATTACACTAGTTTTAACAACATTGTTATTTTTAAGGGTAGTTCGGTTTTCAAATAAACAGTATAAGGTGGTTTTAGGCCTTCTGATTTAGATTTCTCTACCTGCTTAAATTAGCATTTAATACCAAGTGCATCGCAGATTGCATGCAATTTTGCATTTACTTCAAAGTTTACTGAAGAAATAATCATGAAATCTGGTTTTCAAACGATGAAGGGTTTTGGCAAGCGCACCTCACTTTTTTTGTTTATTAAAACTTTTTTTGGTACCACTATTCATATTTCTTTCAAATGTGGTAGCATAATTATACAGAAAATTCTCGATTTTTTTCTTTTGAAGCTTTTTAATTTAAGCTCATCTTTTCCGCAGCTTATTTCTTTATGGAAATATTGAAATTTAAAAATACACTGTGGTTAAGCTAGCAATTATTAGAATCGTTTGGGATTTCTGTGGAGAATTTTGGATAGTTCCTATAGTTTTATTAAGAATATTGGAAGGAGAGCACTTTTAAAATGATTTTTTGCATGTAAAGTAAGAAAAAAGTGAGGTTAGCGAGTTTTAAATCAATATTCTTACTTCCCGAGTTTTTAAAAATCCTTCAATCTCATGCTTTTAAAAACTTTTCGATATTGAGCTAGAAACAACCTCTATTGGTGGTTAAGTAATGTATTTGAGTATTTGAGAATTTATTTTATCGCATACCCTTCTATTTAAGCTCAATCGGCCCGTTTTTTATTTATTGTTCCCAAAGTTTCCTAAATATAAGGAGAAATAATGCATCATATGGGCAAAATTTTCAAAAGTGTATTTAGTAAGAACGGGAAAAATAAAATCTGGATCTAAATCGAAAAATCTCATGTAATCTGAAATATTTGAGAAATTCAATGGCAAAATTAAAATATTGATGATATGGTTATGAACAACCACAAGGTCGTCATAATTCTTTCGTTCATGCTGATATATTTCGTTCAGTTGAGATGTTAATTTCATCCGTTATGAATTGCTTTCGGAATATTAGATTGCATTCAGATCTCTTAATTACATACTTTCCAATTTTAACAAAGTCAGAAATTTTTAATTTATAATCTGAATAACTGCGTACTAAAATTAAAGGAAAGAAATGTTCGAAGGAAAATAATCTAAGGAAATGGATATTTTTAAAAATGTGTATAGTGTGACTTTTACTGTTTCAATTTAAAGAAGAATAATTTTTCTAGTGTCTTAACTACAGCATGTTGATACGTGAGATGGTTTTGAAATCGTATTTATCACATTTCAAAAATTCACTTCCTTAAAACTAGAAGCAATTACTTCGTGTTTTTGAAAATTTCGAAAGTCATTATACTGACAGTTTGCTAACAGTATTAACACCAAATTAAAAGTGTCATAAGAGTGTTTCATCATCAAAGTCATAGACATATCGTCAGATACTTTCTGCAACATACAAACATTTCTGTCTTAAATATATCCCTCGGGATTTTATTTTAATGATATTTTTTTCTACTTTTTTTTCATAGAAAATACCAAAATTGTTCCAAGCTATTTATACTTTTTTAGGCATTTAATTCGAACATAAAGGCATAAATAACAGAAAAGTGAGACAGTTCAACTGACATGATTAATGAAACTGAAATTTAATCCATTTTCCATATTATTCCAGTTGTCAGTAAATTTAGGAAACCAAAGATCATAACATTGCTTTTTCTTCAAACATCGAAGTATACTTGCAGTTAAGAAAGTTTTTCCTTCAAAATGCGTTTAAATTTCATTTTCAACATTTTGAAATGTCTCGTACATAATCAGAATCAGCAATCTATGATCTAATACGAATCGCATCTAGAAATGATATCGATAAATGACAGCAGTTTCTACTCTCGATGATGTAATCTGTTTAATTCCTCAGAAATAGATATTACTGGGTTTTTTTTCGTTTTTTTTGCAATATGCGAACGAGATATGTTCTGTAATTCGCATGTTCTTCAATTATTCATTAACGAATCGTGGAAATTAACATCGAATTCCGCTGAATTCATTGTTCACCTCCGACCCAGTTTCGATTTCGCGAATGTAATCCTTTATCACTGCCGACCACTCAAATCTCAAATTGAATTTTTCACAAAATTGGTCAGAGCAAAAGATTTCATTATGCAACTGGTTAAATAAAAATTGTTCGCAAAATATTTTCTACAATAGGAAATGTAAAGCTCAACTAACATATTTATGAGCAGGCACTAAATCTTCAAAGCAATTTGTACTAGTACTGACAAGGATTGAAAACAGTGTGAGAAAAGTAAAGATATCAATCTGATAGATATCGTCGTATTTCCTAACAATGCTGATTAAAATTAAAAAGGTTGTGGTCAAAACTAAACTTCTTAATTTTCCTCAGTGCATACTTTGGCTCTGAATATCTACAAGTCTTCGACGAAGAATTTAATAACAGTATCAAAAAATTTTTCATCTTATCAAAATCACCTTATTTCTTGAAGTACCAATCTTTTTATTCACTGCCAATGTTTTCATTTTCGTTAACAATCAGAAATTTAAGGAGAAAGCTGCATTAGTACGTCGCCACGAGCATTTTCATCTGGAGTATCAGTACAGCAGTTTAATCCCATTCCGCCTTCTCCACCCGGCGCAGCGATTGGTCAACCACAAGGAATCGCACTTGTCGCTGCACCGCAGCAAGTGCCTAACAATGCTCCTGTCGGTGCAGTTAGGCCTGCAATTTCATCTGCGGGTCGAGGACCTATTGAACCAATCCCACAACAACAGCTTCTTAATAGTAAGTTTAGTGGATTCTGAATTTATTTGGCTTTCCCGTTTAAAACAGTCAGTTAAAGAAATTTTCTCATGGATTACTTCTGGCCTGTTCGCTTCGATTTGATTGCTGTGAACATCATTTTTACTATCTTAAAACAGTCACGTGTAATCTGATCTTACATATTTATGTTATCAACCAAAAATTATAAGATTATTTTTGAAAATGCATTTGTCTTTAGATTTTAAATTTCTTTCAGCCTTCTCAGGAAAAGTCTGTTAAAAATAACATCTATAAAAAGTAAAAAGCTTCATAAATGAATATCCATCTCTAATTATAATTTATATTTCTTTTGTCTTACAATTTTTTATAACCTTAATTTAGTCTTCTTATTTGTCATATATTCACTGTTGATTGGTTTGATGGTTATGTTTTACGGTTTCTTCTTGTTTCAAAATAAGTGACAGGGAAGCTCTAAGATTGCATATGTACTTGATTTAAAAATTAAGCAATAAATGTTGCTGCATGCAAAGCTGCAAAATTTTACAAAACAATCAAGTTTTTCCGAACGAAATGGAAATACCATACTTTGTTATTTTTAGTTTATTGTTACCATCGCAAGTGAGTTAATTGAAATCATTATTTTTACTACAACGAATAATGCATATATATAAAGATGAGTGACTGCATGTTGACAAATTAAGAAATATCCGAAGGTGTGTTATCTAATGCCATGATAAAAAGTACAACTAACTTCGAAAATATTCCTTAACTTTCTCCTCCTTATCATTCTTCTACTACCTTCTTTATCATCTACTTTTTCGAATCTTTTTCCACGGGTCATTTGAATGAATGCCAAATAATACAGGATAGAAAAACTTATCACTCAAATATGCGCCGAGAATTTCTTCCCTTCTACTATACCAGACCAAAAAATATAACACTGTTGGTCTCTTTATGGATGAAAACAATCGCCTCTACTAATTAAGCAACATTACTAACACTCTCTGAATTGAGTGATCGCAAAAAGCTGGTTATTGTTGCTCTGGAAATTAAAATTCCCAGTGATTGCAGAAATCTTCATCATTCTTTAATTCTTCTATAGGTTTATTGGGCTCAAAGATAACATTACATGAATTTGATTCAAATGGATACAACGCAGAAGGAGGTGGTCCAGTTGCTGCAGGTAATTGGTTTTTTTGCCGTTTTATTCTGCTCTATTTCCTGAATGAAGTTTTGCATAAAGGATATTAGGAAAATAGTTCTTTCGAATTCTACTGGTGTGGTTAGGTCCATTTGCACATATTTTCATTCTGTTCCATATTGTTCGATTTTTTTTTTTTGAAATAATTATTGAACTACCAGTTCTCTGGGTGCACAATTATTTGTTTCTATTTACGTATTGTCCTTATTCCTGATTTTTAACCATTATGGAAAAAGGATTTGATAGAGTTTATATTGTTATATAACAAATAGCAATGCACCATGTAAAAGTAAGTGAGATAGCACACAATTTTTTAATTCTATGGAAATTCTAGGCGAAGCACTGTCTTGTGATTTTGATTCTCGTCCGTGTTGCTGGGCTAATGTTCCACCACCTGATGACCAGCTTGACTGGCATTTAGCAAATGGTGTACCCGATTCACCACAATTCCAGAATGCACTTTTTCCAAGTATATTCTTTATTATAACCAAAATCTTCATAGCTGATATAATTTAAATGATGTTTCTCATACTGTATGTAATCTGCATAATTAATGTAGGAGGTGATATGTAATTATTGTATATAACTATTGAACATAGCCTAAGAAAAAAATAATAAAAGAGCATTAAATAATTCAGTAATTTATAAGGTGGTAATTATTTGGTTACCTACGCCAGCAGTTCAGCGCCTTCAGACGAGGCTCAGTTTGCATCGTGCGCTATTGGCTGCGCATCATCACCTATTGTCGTAAGAGCAAGGTAGGTAACACATATTTTTATGCCACATGAATTAGTTATTTACTAATGCAATACCTGCCCAGTATTTCAGTTTTAAATAGTCTAAATCTTCTTCTTTACTCAAGGTAATTTACTTCGTGCTTCTGTACTGAGCTTCATATGAAATCTTTGTTCATCTATGTGATTTGTATTTTGAGATCAGTCATGAATCTAAGAGATTATTAAATTACCTAAATCATATTGCCAATTCATATGAATTCGTTATTCCAGACACTGGCAGTCTGAAAATGTTTTGTTGCAAGTATGTCAACGAGAATCATTTCCAAATACCGTTAACTTTAATCCACTATTAAATTGTCAAGAATTTCCTCTTGTAAATGGCCTTGGCGCGACAGAATTGGTCCTTCCAAAAGCTTCACTCATTGATGTGAGTTTTTGTTTAATTAAGCTTTGCAAGCAATCCAGGCAGATGAAGAAGGCTATAGCTTCATTTGAAATTTCAGATTGTATTTGTGGCAAGTAACTTTGTTAGCGAGCGAGGTGATATGGCAATTCTAGATGACATTGAAATAATCTATGAAAGTGATGGTGATGACTGCGGCATTGAACAGGAGGAGCGAAAAGCACAAATTGATGAAAAAGCTACAATAGCGAGTGCAAATGAAGCTGGTGTTGTAAATAATGTAAGTTTTTTAGAGCCACTGCTATGCCTTTTTCAATCTAAAAGATAATAATTAATAATAATAAATAATAATAATGATAGTAATAATAATAATAATAAAAGTATTTCAAGCAATAATGTTTGTTTAGATCGATGCTTCGCATTCTTCACTAAATTCTACGTCTCAAATGACATTTGGGAGAAAGAAATCATCTGATGAAATTAAAACAACTGAAACAAAATCATTAGCTGCATCTGCAACTGGATCATTATCCTCGGCTGTATCATCTTCTGAATCACAGTCTGGATTTAGTGGGTCTGCTCTTTTATCATCACCTGATATAGTACCAGTACCAGCATCTTCAGAGAGAAATCAAGTATCCAAGATCACTACCTCGTCGTCAGCCACTTGCAATGCAATTAAATGTTCATTCGAAAATCGTGCGTTCATTTGAAAATTTTACTGTGTAATACATTTTTAATAAAATCAATATTAATGCATTTCAAATTGATGTCAATTTGAACTACATTATTCCAGGAAATATCTGTAATTATAAGGAGGCGCATCAGACGGAATCAATACGTGGCGTGACAACAAGTTTCCAAGTGGTCACTGGACAATACATGAATAAAGTTACTGGGGTTAAAGAAGGGACTGGTTTGTTTTATCCTTGCCGAAATTACTTATTACGAAATATGCTCGGAAGTAAATATCATTTTAAAATATTCAGAATCGTATTTATTTAGAATTTCGAACTGCAAAAATATTTCCCACTGATTTTAGGAATATTCTTTCAATTTAAAATAGTTTAAAAATATTAATAAACTTTTGCATTATACCTGCAAGTAAAGGATTTAAGCAAAATTAATTCTAGAAGGCCATTATTATGCAGCTACATTTTTATATCCAAGAGAAATGGCTGGATTAGCAGTCAATATTGTGAACTTAAAAGAACCAGTTCGATTACGGTTCCAGTATTATGAAGGAACACATGGAGTACAGTTGAAAGGCTGTTGCGAAAGTTTGGAACACTGCTTGTTCGCATCTGATAAATTTGTTAGTGTGAGTGATAGAACATGGAAACTTACCGCATTTATTTGTCCAGCTGGTACCTCTAAGGTTAGTAGTATTTTCTTGTTTCTTCTTTCTTTTTTTTGAAGATTTTCAGTGATTTTTAATAGAGCATCAAAATTTTTACGTGAACTATTTAGGATTATAAGCGTGGAGTTAAAATAAAGCATGACCAGGTTCAGATTACCGTAGTACTCTGTATTCTTAGTAATTTATTATTCCTGTGGAAGTGTTGAAAGGTTCTACTGAAACAAAAAATTTTTCAAATGATTTCATTCCTTCGTTTCTTTAATCTACTCTACAGTATTGATAACATGCTCAAAACGATTTTCAATTTTTGTAGATTTTATTTGTTTGCGAAAATACAAGGACAAATCAGGGAGCTTGTGCAATAGATGATATTCAAGTGATCGAGAATGGTGCCGTGGATTTGAGAACGGCAAGGACACTTTGCTGATTTCCGCACTTGTTCTCAACGGAATAGATTCGGAAAGCCGAAACAGACGTCTCAAAATGTGGCTGAATTTGTTTCTATTGGAAATGAAAAAAATTAGAACGAATCCAGATGCCATAAACACTTTGTTGCAAGTCATGTATATTCCTTCTTTTTGCTTGTTTTCCGTGGAATTTCGATATTTTTCCAGAACGTTACTCGAAACTATAAACTGTGGGGTTATTTTTCTGAAAATATGGACATATTTAAGATAAAAGCATATTATCTGAATTTTTTTTAGAAATTAAAAAACCGATCTCCGTGATATGCTGCGGATAGTGGATAGAATTACCTCTCTAACTCCGTTTCTGAATCTGCATATCAGTGTAATTTAAAAGTGCACATTCATTCCAGGGAATCTTCTATGCATTTACTCTTTGATTAGCGTGTATTTGTAGATCTTTGTTGACTTCTGCATAAACAATACTGCTTTTCTCCCCAACTTTTGAACCCTAACAAAGAAAAAAAAGCAACTCCTTCAGTTGCACAAGCTTAAGAATACCATCTTTATATCACTTGCAGTTCTCAATATTCCCTCGGGAAATCTCAACAAGCCACAAACGACCGCACTGTAATAATTAATAGAATTCTGAAATCTTCAAAAAATATTCAAACACATCATATCACTTCAAAACGTTTAAAAGTCAAAAAATTTAACGAAAAGCTATTTATTTGGAAATGACTTGTGCAAATAAGAATCATTCTAAAGCATAAGCAAAATTACCTGAAACTTGCGGCAACTCTAGAAACAGACTTAATTAAATTAAAGTAGCGGGAACATGTGTAAGTTATCGCTCACCTTTAATTTTAAAAGCAACCAGTTACTCAAAGCAATGAAAAGTCATTTTTAAACTGCTCCCCTATTTATCTCAATTTTTTTCTTCACAATCACTTCTAAACAAGGATAAAAAATAAAAGATTTCCCAAAATAGCAAATCCTCAAAAAATTCTGAATCGGTTGTATAAGAATGCTCACTAAGATCGCCAACTATATATAAATAAATATCTTCACCGTACCGTTTTTTATCTTTAAATCAAATCGACACATCGTAAATTATTGTAAACTGTTTTGCCAGAAAACACAATATACGACCATATACAATAATGCATAACAAGTAATGCGCACCATTAAATATGAAGTTCAATCAGTCAGAATAAAAATTTGTGCTTTTTGATGACAAGAAAAAGTATTACAAAAGAACTAAAAACGAGAAAAGACAGACAAGAAAAACCCAAACAACATCAGTAAAATGAAAAAATGAAACTCGAAAATTGCGCACAGTATAACGCATTTGGAACAACAGTAGGTTTCTAAACGAAAATTATGGAATGTAGAACCACATAACAAAATCGATAGTTGAGTAGACTTTTTTTCATATACGTTCATATACACTGTTTTGGAAAGCCAGTCACACAATGCAAAAAAGTTTAAATGTGGAAGACTTATAAAGGCTAAAAGGGATTTTTGAATTCTTTCCTGACTCACACTTTTCACGAATGTTTTAATTCGAAACTCACAACACAAAATGTAACACTAGCTCTTTACCAGCCCTTGATCTAATTTGCTATTTATTTCGTTTACCTCATTTTATGTTACGTAAATGTTGAACAGTATTGTGGTTTCGTTTTTTTGCTGAGCAAAGTCATTTAAACTAAATCAAAGAGAATATACAAAAATTTGTAAGTAATAGAATACAAGAAAAACTATGCAAAACTGCAAAGTAATATACACAAGTAAAATAAGAAGAAAAGAACTATTACCAAAAATGATTTCAAAAGATCGTTAATGACCACAAAAATTTTCCTACCCAACAGAAAGAACACTTTATGACTGTTTACTACAACAGAATAACACAAGACAGATAAACTGTTGAAAAATATGTTATGATTTCTAATTTTCTTTCTTACAGCCTCACTTAATATTGACTAGAGTATAGAGTATTATTCCTTTCTCATATCTGTAAACAGTTTTTTGAACGTTAATGTCTCAAAAGCCATTTAATTGCAAATTTAATAGAAAGGAAACATTAGCTTTGATGAAATAGAAAATGCGTTAGAAATGACAGAAAAAGCTACTTTTGTTCTGATATATCGTCTACATGTCCGGGTAGAATACCAACAACATCCAAACTATTCAACTGCTGACCTGTTAATTCCTCGCTTAAACTATCCATTTTTCCAACATCCAATTCCACATCACTATTTGAAGCTTCATCATCTTCTTCTTCATGGCAAAACGGTGTTTCATCCATTTTAAGAACACGAACTGAAGGAAGTACTGGGTATCCATTCATTCTTTTGATAAAGTATTTATGAGATTATTTGTCATTATTTACTACTATGCTAATAACAAATTTTATTAAAAATATACTAGCAAAAAAGCAAAAATTGAGTAACATTAATAGGCTCTAGGAGAAATAACAGTCCTATTCTCAAAATTCAGTCCCATAAATGATGATAAAAATAAATCAGTGTCCATCAAAAATTTTACCTTCGCTGCCGACGGAAACTTTTTGTATAACATGATTTGACGTCAAGACAGATGCATGGTCAACAGTGGATTCATGAGGCATTAGCGTCATTGGTGCGCGGAAGAAATAAAAAAGTGGATAATGAACTAAATTACAACAACTTGATGCATATAAATCAGCATATCGTTCAACCTTAAAAACATGCAAATATCACTCAAGTTACTGAATGTCAGTAAATATGCAAATAACTCATTATGTAATTCAAAGCTATTAGAGCTCCCGGTAGTATTAAATCTTTACAAACGAAAAAGAAGAAAATCGTATCAATTTTTATATTTTTTAAAGAAATTTTTTACAATATAAGGAAAATTAGGAAAACCAGTCACGAACTTGTGAAGCAAAAAAAGTAGTCCGAGAACCACTGCGAAAAACGGAACCTAACATACCATACTCGTTATCCATTTCGTGTGTAAGCAACTGAAATTGCACATTTTGCAAATTTCGAGTGAGAAAAAAAGTATGAATCCAATTTGAATGTTCTTGTTACAACTGTAAAAGAATAAGCAAAAACATACCGTTATTGCATCAACAATGTGTACAATTGATGGTTTTTCCTTCGAATTACTATCTAAATTTTTATATACATCCGCTAGTTCCGAATCCAACAGTGTCAGCTTTTCAAACAGCGGCTTGCGTTCCGTCCACACCGTTAGTTCATGAGCTAATTCGGGAACGACAAGAAAAGTCCGCCATCCCCTAGCCTGATAACAGAAAATACCTTGGAGTGCATAAAACGAACAGTTATCTTGTTAAAATTAAGTTTTTTTCTTTTATTTTGTTGAAGCCAATTATTTCTTTAAATCAAAATTTTACGAAAGAGGTCCATTTTACATTATTATGAGAAAAAAACCCTCAATTCACAAACTTTCTTTGATCTTAAAACATCACCGAAAATATGATCTCCTATATACAAAACATCTTTACCGCGAGCTTTCACCAATCTTCTGAATGCATCACATGAACCTAAAATGTAACTCAAGATATGACTAAAAAGTATTTCGTTTATACCAAAACTCATAATTAGAGGAACATATTCAAGCAACAAACTCAAACAGTATTAATGCAACATCTAAATGAATAGTCGAAACATCGAACTTCTCATTACGAATTCAAAGGAATTACTATGAGAATGGAACAAACCTCCTGCGTAAACTTGGCCCTGTTCAAGTGGACCCACATGAGTACCAATTTTGAGAGCACCTGTTTTTGTGTTTACCTGACGGAATACCGTACCTTCAGCAAACCATTTCGGCTTCTTAGCATCAACAATGGTGATATTAAAATATGAAGTCCAATTCATTCCTAATAAATATTCCATTACTCCCTGAAAAAAAAAAAAAAAAAAAAAAAAAAAAAAAACTATATATAAGTCATTTCCATCTCACAAAGATGCATAAAAGCCAGCTATATATACTTAAATTAAACTGATGTCGGAATGGAACCAAAGATGGATCTCCTTCCATCCATAAAAGCTTAAACCATCAGAAATGTCCCTGAACTTTGAGTACAAAGAATAATATGGAATAAACGACTAAATAAATTCCATCCTTTTCGAGACTACAATTCAATTTTAAGACGTATAAGACGTTCACTAGCAAATAGAAAAATAAAGGCTAGGAACAGGAAGGAAATTTCCGTAAATTCGAAAAGCATATACTATATATATACATGTGTATACAGCGTAGAACGTACTGATAGATAAAATAAAATTTAGTATTTGAAATCTAAAGTTTAATATTTAAAACTATATTATTTTTCATTAAAAAATCATCAACAATGTGAACTTCATCAGAAGAATTTATTAAAATCCAGGATAACCCTAAAAATCTACATGACGTGAAAATGAAGAGTACTAAGCAAACATTCAAAATAGTTTACATTTGTATAAGAGTAGTCACTGTTCGTAAGAAGAAAGGACTGTTTCCCACTTTCACGAATTTGCAAGAGCAACTGTTTCAAACGCTCATCTTTGATAATGTATTTTTCTTTATTATCCAATATAATTTGTTTCATATTGCTCTATAAACATAAAAAATAAGCAAACAAAGACATATGAAATGTACTGCAGAGAAATTTTCGACGAAATAAATGCAATCACTCGATATTTAACAAGCATTAAATTTCTATTTATATTTTGAATTCTAATCAGTTGAGATTATAACTAGATAAAATTTCGTGCAGATAGACAATGAACAAAACAACAACGAAATCATCTTTTACCTCGAAATGCACCCAATCGACCGAACTACGTATATCTTGGAATATAGAACGATACGACATATAAACATCACCACTTTTTATTCCTGTACGATCTTCAGTGCTGCAAAATGTAGTTTTTTTCTTGTAAACATTCCTCAGTCAACAGTCCTTTGAAATTTAATCAGCAATGTACTCTCTGAACAGGTGATAAAATATACGGTGCGTAATTGTAACTGTTGTCGAAAAAATCGATGATGCATGCAACCAAATAAGTTTCAGGAAGGTTGAACAACGTGTTCAGTACATAGATTCGACTTTCGGAGAGATGCAAAAATTTATTCGGATAGAGCTCTTCAATTTCAGAACTGAAACAACAAGTTATTAAATGTTATTTATTGTTGACACTTTGACAGCTTCTTTTGAATCGTTTTATTTGAATTTCACAATGCATTATTTCTGAAAATTATTTTCTATATTACCAATAATAACTTTTTTCCTATATTTCTATATTACCAGATACCAGTAACTGTAGGAGAACGCTTCTTCCAACAGTTTGTAGTCTTAAACTTAAACTAAATGTACACAGCTGGTCAGTGACCACCGATTTCCGAAACGTCCCAGTCTTAAGAGACTCCAACTCCATTAATAACATTCTGAATAACTTCTGCAATTTCCAGTAATCTAAAAACAAAGCAAGCTTACGGTTTCATGTAATGAAAGCCATGTACACCAACAAGAATGTTCCCAAAACCATCCACTTTCAACAAATTCCCATAAACGTGGTCGAACCAAAGGCCTCGTACAGGAAACAAAGCCTTGTATTTGAATGACCGCAATTCTTCTGGATATCCTAGACTTATCATACGCTCTACTACCATATCAAATGTTACAATTTCCAGATCTGGTGATCTGTACACTGAAATCATACGAATAAATACGATTAGTCATCCCGCAAAATTAAGCAGTTATTTTGTGGAAAGCTCACCAAGACTATCAAATAAATCTAATCACGGAATCGTTCCTCAATCAAAAAAGATAAACGTTTATATTAATGGTGGTTAATTCTACTGCTCCATTCTCCCAATTCAAATATTTCTTTTACTCATAGAGCATAGAAATTTCAAACCATTTCTGTTGAGAGTACGACTCACAAAATGTACACCGGAAGAAATGCCTCAGTCTCCATAAGATATCACCGTAAAATAAACTACGCACCCGCCAACGTATAATCCATATCGAAACCGAAAAATCGGATCTTCTCCATCCGAAGGTTACGATTTACGAAAATCCTGAAATATTAGAACTCAAGAATCCCATATTTTCATTTTCAAGAAATGCAATTGAAGAGGTTTTATAACATAAGGAATTTAACTCCAAGGAATGGGTTAGGATGTTCTTGCATGTTCCTGAAAAAAAAAAAAAAAAACTCTAGAAAAAAAGAAGTGCGGAAAACGAACCTGTACGCTAGATTATTTTGTGAGCATCTTTTCGAAGAATGCAGCTAACAACATATTAGATATTTTGGGCTTAGAGTATTGAAGCTGAGGAAAAGTGTATAAGATGATTTTTGCAAGTGGAGAAGTTTGCCTTCAATGTAATGAAGATAATATGAACCTTAGCTAAACTGGAACTACTGCTTGAACTCCTAGCTGTAATGAATGCAATATATTAATTAATAAACAATGCCAACTGAATGGATCAAACCTGTGAGCGGGATCCCGTTTGTAAGCCCTTCGCGCACCGTCTTCTATCATGTTTGAGATGTCGTCGTTGTTATCACTCTTGCAGTAATGATTACTTGTATATTAATCGTCGTAGCAATTTGCACTGATATTTGAGTTTTCTGCGCTGCAAAGTAAACATTGCTATTATCCACTGAACAGTAAGTATTGGAACTTTACGACGCGTAAGTAAAGCAACACGTCTTTTGAGACGTCGAACACACTTCAATTGCTTGGAAGAGTGAGCTCACTTCATCGTTGGACAGAACCTCTTCCTATCGTTCCCATTCCATTCACTCTTCCTTATCCCTTTCCGGAATAACTGCTTTTATCATCCTTCTCATTGAACTGCTTCCATATTTACGACTTTCTGCAGTAATTCTGATTTTTCGATTCTATTATTTGCCTAAACAATTTCCTACATTTGCATTTCGTTATTTTTTGTCCTCATGAGTAATTCATCATTTCTTTGCTTATATTCCTCTCCTTGTTCTCTTCCTAATCAGGCGTCCACACAATAAACTTGCATTTGAATGTATATACACTAATCTACTCAATTGGCGCACATATACTCCAAAATGGCGACAGCTATGTGTTACACAAAGCATTTGCTGCTTAGCTACTGCTTATAGATATTTTAAATTATGGATAGAAATGCTTCAAACCAGAATTAATCCTGCACAATTCGTAAAAAATCAGAAAAAGAATTTGGCATTTTGTGAATTTATATTACTTCACTGACACTTTTTTTAAAACATTAATACATTAAAAACATCAAAAAAATAAGATATGATAAATATTATGTAGATAATGGGAAAAAGGTAGAATGAAAAAAAAATGAGGTGATAACTATTTCACATTGCTAATATTCAATAAGGAAGCTCAAAAAAGGCCCAGGGCAGCAAAAATCGAAAATGCCAGAAATATGATTTTGGTGTTTTTTTTTGAGCGCTAAAGCTGATTAATTTCATCACTGTAAATAAATCATTCGGAGATGCAATAAATCTTATTCATAAGGTAACCTCTCTCCGCACCTTAATTTGAAAAACAAATGAATGTTGTCGATAAGCAAACAGGAACTAGCACTTCTATTATCACCAGTGACAACGATATGGTTATCAGCTAAAATCACTAGTGACCGATTTCGAGTTACGCCAAAATATGGAAGAAACTTTTCAAACTTTAGTAAACTAACTATAGTGCTGGTAGAAGCTGTAATGCTCCCAGCTGGAACTAAAATGCTCTCCGTTCCCACCAGCAAAGTATGCCTATGCCGAATATTATGAAAACTCAAACGCTGCGTTCGTTCGGTGTGTGGTTTTTTTTTCCTTTTTCTTTGTTTCTGGCTTGCTCATCTCGTGATTTCCGTCGCAATATGAGCAAAACCGGTGCACTTCCTGAAGAATTTGAGGGTAGTTGTAAGTCCCTATTCAAGTACCTTCGGGAACTCGGGCATGAATATTTGTATTTTATGGTAGAAAATGTAAAGGTTATGAAAATCTGAGAACGATGAGCACATATGTAAAAGAGACTAGAACTGAGTAGATATGCAAACATTGGGAAGAAAAGAAGCGAATAAAATTCGAGTTACTGAAGAGAAAGAAAAGCTTCCCAAAAATCACATGCAATTTAACATTCAAGGTAAGGAAAGTACTGGGGTGAAGGTGTGTTAAATTTAGTTACACTACTGAATAATTAAATAGCTGTTGTGAATTATGCCCGGCCCGTTTAATTCCAGTGTTTTACTGTTAAATGGCTTGATGTCTCTTCAAAATATCCGAATTCCTCCGTCCCTAATCGAAGTCCCTAACAGTGAGTCATCGACATAGCATTTTAAAAGTAATTAATCAGATTTAATATGAACGCTTGACTGTCTATAAACCTCTCAGAATTTAATGCATTTAACTTCACTGGTTGAGATGGCAGATTCATTTCATCACTTTCGATTTTCGTTTAAATAAATTTAAAAAGATGAAAAAGGAAATTTTCAGAGATCATCAGAGATGGCAAGTTTTCCTAATTCTTTTTCTATCTTTTTAATTTCATTTAAACTCATAAGGTATACAGTGATGTTGGGCAAAGTGGTACCCACCAGCTACACACAAATATAATTAAGTTCTAACAAACCAGTTTGTCACGAAGTTGGAAAACGTGTTTACGCAGGAGATAGCAAATGACTAGCAATTTGAACCACGAACTAGATAGGGAGAAAGAAAGTGATGATTTAATTTAATTTGTTGAGCTTGGTGCAGAAGTGATTTTTGGTGTCTTTTTAGTATGCTTTATTTTGGTTCTGTGAGATTTTCATTGTTGAGATACACAACATTCATTAAATCTTACTGAACTTGTTTTAATACTTTTTCTACCATTAGGTGATTCATTCTCAACAAACTAGCAAGCTTCTGTTCAAAGTATGGAAGCAGACACTTACAAAATTTTGTCATCTTTCGTGGAACATTTAAATCTTTTTTGTATGTTGAATTCATTCAAATATTAATGTCAAATTGTGTTTATGTGTTTATGATCATTGGATAAGTAACGAAGTGAGTAGAGAATTTTTCTGCATCAAGATTTTCAGCCATGAAATCTAAAAATTTTTTCATTTTCAAATTTGTAAAACCGTACATGTAGAAGAAAGTTAAAAATGGAAAGGTGAAAAAAATTCGCTAGGTTCCCCTAAATATTTGTTTGGAAAAATGTTTGGAAAAATCGAAGGAAACTCCATAACGTATCATAAGTAATGAGAAAAATCGAAGGAAATTCAGCTTTACAATATTTCTCAAGTACTAATTCTTCAGAAAGACAAAGTTTGGTTGGGAAGGGTCTGTTCTGCTACGTATCCTTGTGAGACAAATATTATCAGTGATATTGTCCATAATTTCCCGAACAGCTAATACCTAGTGTGATTCATTTGTCTGCATAATTTAATGATCCTTATGTACCATCAAGTTCAAAATCCTTTGTATCATGCTAATCCAGAAGCACAGGTCGCTTTAAAAATGCCGGAAAGCTTATATTTCAATTTTCATAAAAGCGTAATGAATATCAGAAAGCGGAGACGGATATAAGCAGCAAGAGAGCGAACCATTTAGAATTCTAAATGATTCGCTTAACTCAGCTAACATTATTTGAATTTCACGCAGGTCCGCGGAATTGACAATTTTGCAGCAATTTCAAAAAAGCGGTAAATGATTAGAATCTAGTTAAAATTAAAGCTCAAACTTAGATAATTAAATTCTGTAACGAGAAGCATTAAGAACCAGTCAAGATTATGTTACTGCATGAATAAAGTGTAACGTGCGTGAATATCACTCAAACGATTTGGAGATCATCGATGATCATGAAGTCGATTTGCAATAAATTCCAAACAATTAGAAGAAACAATAGCTAAAACTAAAAACTTAATAAGAGGATGATGAGAGGATTCGAAACAACAGGAGAACGTGTCGAGGGTTAAATGTAAAACTCAGTATAGAAGGAGAATTACTTGTATGAGAGGACGAAGATACATCATGTAAGACCACGAAATGATTCGGATCCATGCAACTGTTATCTATTATGAGAAGACAATTTAGCCAAACAGTAATCGAGAATTTTAAAGCGGTGTGATCAATGAAACAGTATGTAGCATGTAATTAGTAGACTGTACCACGAAGTCATTACACACTGGCAGTACGGAATGTGAAGAAGATCGAGCAAAAGAACAAAGTATATCTTATCTTGTGCAACAGGAATCGGAATAAGCGATTACCCAACACAAATTATTTTTAAAAGATACATATCGGTTATGGAGGAAAAGGAAAACAATATTCCACTATAAGAGATATAAAAACTCGACTGTGTTGTGACAGCTTCAAAAAAACACCAAAAAAAAAAGTCTAAATGAAAGGAAAATCAAATAATTCATAATAATAGAAATAGAAGTAGGCAAATGTGATGAAAAGATTTGGAATGAATAATGCAATAGATTTCACTTCATAATTTCTCCTCACACTTTGGAGGGTCATCCTCTGTCTAAAATGAAGTGATGGAAAGTCACGTGCGTTCAGCACTGATTTTGAAAAATTTAAATATTATAAGAAAATTTAAATATTATAAAGCCTAATTATTTTATTGCTGTGAATTTTCAAGCATCAGTGAGTTGATATGATTTAAATTTATACACAACTGCCCGGATTCTACCCAATAACACGCTTAATTACTAAGAAAGTCGGCGAAGATTATACTCCTTTAAGAGGAGAGCAAAGGACACTTTTTTTTTTTTTCAGAGTTCACAGTCTTTTTCTGCAAAGAAGAATAATGCAAAGGGAATCAGTCTTTCAGAATAACAAAACACCGAAAACATGGTAAGTCTGAATCTTCTTGTTTAATGCTCTGGCGAATGACTTTTGTTTTCTCAGTGTGTTTGCAAAGAATGTTATTTTAATATTTTTATATTTAAGATTCGGAAGATATCACATAATCTATGGCCACAACAAAGTATTTAATGAAATATCAATAAACTAATTACAGAAATATGTTTTGAGATAAACAGTAGTGACAAATATGAACAATTTGCGAAATATTGTTAATAGGTAAACAATTAGATTCATTATCAATATAGAAAAGTTTGTCTAAATAGATAAGCAAAAGCTTTAAATGTTGAAAAATATGAAAAAACAACAGCAGATCAAATTACGAGAAATTGGGAAAAGAAAATATCTGTTGGCTCCTCAAGCATCAATATGAAAAAATAAAAAAAAGCAACTTTAACACTGTGCTTAAAAGAAGAATGTATAATTCTAATAAAGCACAGTATGAAAATACCTTTTCACTTTGCTTTCACTTAACATAAACATAGAACAGAAAGAAATGCATTTAATAAAACCAACATAAATTACCGACATTCTAGAAAGTTTCTTGCAAATGCGTAATTATAAGAGACATTATTTTTTTGTCCTATGTTGTCACAGTTTCAATTATTTATGCAACTATTAATGACCAGGGATTTTTGATAATTCAATAACACGAAAAAATCAATAACGACTTAGAGAATATCAACCATACTTACAAATTCATCCTTCTCTTCTCATAACGGAATTTTTAATGTGGAACATTAAAATTCTTCAGAGAAACTCTTAGTCTTTCCTTTCAGCAAAAAGCAGTGTCTAACAGTGATATCGAGAGTAATCTGCTTCATATGCTGGCACATCATTCAAATAAAAAGTGGAGAACTAAGCGGTATAAAAAAGTTATAGAAGCAGATAGTACAATGCGACAAAAACGATAACATTTAGACCATTCCGAAAAGTTCTGCTAAACATATCTTGTAGTCTTTTATATCTGGTATTCAAACATTTAATAAACCAACTATTTGCACAAAGAATACTATCCTGTTCTCATGGGACATCTCCGAAAAGTTTTACTGCACCAAAATGTGAAGCTTATGTCCAATTTTTATTTAGTGTTTTAATCCTTAAAATATTTTTAATTTATTGTCTTGCTGAGCAATCGGTGACTGGATAACTGTGAATTTGGTCAGGTGATATAGAATTTATTCCTAACCGTTAAGTGGGATATGAAATGTTGGGAGCAAAAGTCATTAATTACAACAGCAAACATATATAGAAGAACCTTCCACTCATTATGGTTACAGTCCTATTAAGGAACTTGTCAAGAGATCAAAAGATGACAGAAACATGTTTTTCAACTACACTTACATATGAGTTTCAAATTTCCAAAATATGACTATGATAGTGTTTTAAAATTTAAAAAAGATAAATAGTCTCCGACCAAAAATTCCTTGAAATATTTGAACAAAAGTATTTATAATTTGTTATACAAGCCATTATTAAGTAGAAGAATTCAACTTTCGAAATTATGTCCTTTATGATTTGTTTCGAAATGCAAAAACAAAAAAACAAACGAAAGATAAATACAAAAAAATAGTACTCTTCGTATGAATAAACAAAGGTAAAAAAGAAAGAAAGAAAAGCTACGTGTACTTGCATTCAAAATATTCCGTTGCTATTTATATAGATTTTAAGCATATCTGAACAAATAACTTCTTGCTGATCGTAAGTTTAAATATTCCAATATCGAAAATAAATCTGCTGCGAAGTTCACTGGTATTCAATTTATTTTTCCGCTTTTTGATTTTTTTCAAATAATTTTTCCATTTATGTTGAAATACAAACAAGAAGTGTCGTATATCCAATTGTTTACCAATCGAATAACCAATAAGCTAAAAAAATGAAGTGTCCTTCAACCAGAAGAATGGTCCTTCAATTCCTCTAAACAACAATTTTTTTTTTCTTTTGCAAGAACAACAAATAAGTAGTATCCGATCAAAAGCTATGAGCTAAAATATTTGTGCAATATTTTTAACCTAAATATTAAAATTACTGCATAAAAATTATTAAGAAATTTCTGGATGAAAATAAAACTTTCTTTGTCATAAAATATGATTGCCCCAGGTGGACATAGTAATAATTTTCCTTCTCATTATCATATCAGTTATCATATTTAATATGTTATAATATTGCTAAAAAACGAATGCCATATAAAGATGCATCTGCGTCATGAAAAGCAATATTCATACCATTGCATATCAGCGTATTGTGTATTCCAAGTTAACAAGTAAATAAGAACCTAGAAAAGAAAAGCGGAAACTTACTTATAGCCCTGACTATTATGTGTACCCTCTTCAAAGGGCATCTTCTCGGAAAAAAATTACTTCAGTTTATCCAGGTCTGAAATATCCTTTGAAACTTATTTCCTCAAAGAGCGTTTTCTAAATTTCTCAACCTGAACTTTTCAATATGCATACAAAGAGAAAAAAGCGGAGAGCGAAAGGTGGAATAAGTTACACAGTCAAGCCAATGCAGCATAATTTCTTTCACTTTAAAGTTCTTACTGCCCAATATCGTAAGAAAACAATCCTGAACTTTTCTCAGCTACTTTCCTGCATAGGGAAAACTTGTCACATCTTTTCACGTTAACTTCAGACTCGATGTTGTTAAATGTTTTGTCATGAATCTCATTTCAGGCCAGTCCATGTTAAGTTGCAATTCCAAATTCTCCTTCTCCCTTCTTTGTTACCCTAAAATCTACAAATATTTCAGCAGTGAAATCCTACACCTAGCATTTGTTTGCTGTTTTTCATCGTGATATACATCAGTTGCCTTGTGACATACATTACCAATATTTTTAAACATCGATATCACTTGAGCAATCAGCCTGTTGTTGAAGGTTAGCTTTGCTAATCAAAATATCATCAACGAAAAGGACTTTTGAAGACAATTTCTGTCTAATCTACATTCACCAACATGTAGGACGTTTGCGAGTATGCCGTATATACTCAGTTCCACACCATCCATTCTTTGTTCAATCAATTCGTTCTGAATCGATGTCAGAAATAGTTGGACAAATGACTAAACACTAGGAACGTCTTTCTCCTATTATTCGACTATTATATGCAGTACAGAAGTGTCCTAAAAAATCATCTTCGTTGATTGTTTGTTGATTAAAATATCACTGATAATTTGTTGTAGATTTGAAAAAAAAAAATTCTAATAAGTTAGAAATTTCCAGGCAGCAAATCAAAAATCTGCTAAAATTCAGATCAAATCCCGCCTGATCAAGAAGAAATCTGTCTTTCTAGAAAAAATTTAAGCATGTAACATTCAATTTAGCGCGACATTTTCAGTATGCATGACGGCAAAAGACGTCATTTTCAACTCTTTTCCGCTCAGTAGGATTTTACTGTGAATGTTATCGTTAGGAATTCGTTTCACTTTAAACAGCAACAGGGATGAAGCATATTAAACCGAGTTCTGCATTCCAGTTTCTAAAAAAACAAAACCGAATTATCATGTCATTTTCAAAAGGGAATGAATATCTTTATTTCAAGTATTAAAATAAATGAAACTTCATCAATAAGCAGCACTTCTTGCTTCGGTTCTTCCCGGTGATTTCAATTCATGAATTAAGAAAAAATTCAGTAGTGTATTGAGTACATTTTTTGAATAATATTATATTCATAGATAATTACTGATTGTTGGCAAACTGAATTTCTGCTACTATAATGTCACAAACGATCGCTAAACCGATCACAGTGAATAACTAGAAGTTTCTATACTCCTACTGGAAATGTTACAATTGTTGCTCGTATCTGATGATAAAATACAAACCTGTAAATGAACATGAAGCGACCAAAGAGAAGATAAACTTGGCCTTGAGTCGGTCGGTTTAATGCTTAAGAGATCCATAGAACTGTTTTCAACTCGAATGTGCATCAGCCGATGATGCCACAAGACTAATCACGACAATATCGATTGGGAGAAGCAAAGCTTATTTGTCAAAACTGGTTGCTTGATTAGAACATATTAGGTATGTACCGAAAGCATTAAATATCTTTTCTATTTATACAAGTATTTACGCGTGCTTTTTCTGCTTTGGTTTTGTCAGAGCATCGACCAAGTTTTCTAACAATTAGATCTTGTCGTGATGTTAATGTATTTCATGTGCTCTGTGAATATTCTTATCTCTACACATGTTAAATGCATCTTCACGATCGACCTTATCAGGTTTACAGATGATCTGCAAGTTCTTTGTCCGTGCGATTTTATCAGAATAATTTGGGCTGAATACCTTTCCATAAATCTGTGATGTTTACTTAATCCGTTTAATACTGAGATTTTGCACTTTATTTTAATGCGATTTTACTCATTATTCTGGCGAAAGATTACTGAACTTATCACCATCTCTAATAATCAAGTACCTTGGAAGATTCTACATTTAACGTCAAACACTTTTATTGATTTTATTTACGCATCAAATTACAATCAATCCTGAACCCGTCAAATTTAGTCCTTTGCAGCAGTTCAAGTACAAACCCGAGTAACAATCAGTACCTACGGAGATAGCTTGATTTTCCTGGTTCGATCCTTTTCCGGTAACACATATATCACAAATTTCTGGTATTCCGATCAGTCGCAGCATCTTCGAGTTCTTAATTATCTCTTGTTTGTTATGGCATTTACGGGTCATCGTTGCATCACATAAATGCAAACATAAAATAGATGAAATAAAAAGTATGTTAAATTAAATTATAATGATAAACTTCCATCAAAAGAAATAATTCAAATAAAGTTGGTGAGGAATGGAAGATTAGACTACATAACGAACACCGAGATGTAGATAATAGGATATGGGAGAGAAACTAATTTTAATCAAATTGAAAAAAGAAATATTCGAGGAATGTGTTTAGTTAAAAAAGTAGTTATTGTGAAGTGGCAAAAGATAAAGCAGGAAGAAACATTCCGAAACAGAATCATCAAGTTTTGGAGCAAAATCGAAAATTTTTAAAAGAATCAGGAAGATACGAAAAGCTAGAATGAATGAGAAAGTTTATAGAAAAGATGGAAATAACAAGGTAGGGAAACAAGGTTTTTATAAAATAATTTGTATCCTCTTCTCATTTCATTAGGTAATTAAAATTTAATTGTGAGCTTGACTACTAAATAGACTTTTAAAACATATGATTTACACAATCGTTGCAATGGAATCATACATACTAGAAGTAGAATGGTCTGATAAAACACTACTGCATCATGACAGCTAGTGATCAGTGAAGGAACCGAAGTAATCAATACAAATAATATATACTTCTTCCGGAATTTACATGATCATAAGGGATTTAAAAACTAAATAAAAAGAGAGATTGCATTAAAAAATGATTGTTGAAAGAGATAAAACAATGTTTTGAAGAAACGGCAAACCTTAAAAATTCTTGAAAATTAAGGCAGCAGAGAAAGCTTGTATCTTTCGTTATACCTTAAGCTTCCTCCCTTCATCGACTTATTTCTTTAAACATACCAACATTTTATGAAAAAAATTGACAGCGTATAGAAAAGATACAGTAAAATTTTTGAGGCATGTAGTGAAAAATGGAAGTACAAAGTAAGGTGAACTCCACGCTTCCATGACGCCATTTATCAACTTTATTAACGCTGTATTTCTGCCAGTCGTACCTCTTCAATTGGCTGAAATTGTGATCTACAAATAGATCTATAAACAAAGAATAATTGTTTAGTTGAAACACTTTTCGCTGATGTAAACAGAGATTACCTTTCTAGTGTATGCCTTCCTTTACTATTTTAATGTACTTTTAAGTTTCGAACTCCATTTTCAGACATCACTGCAAGGAACTGCCTAATAGTTTTATGAGTATAACATGATCCACCTCCGAGATTGATTCCAGTCGACAAGTTTTCCAGGTTGTAAGGAAAGTTTTGTTAAGTGCCCCAAAATCCTGAAATTGAACTGGGGAATTCACCTTGACAAGAAATTTTAATTGATTAATCAAAGCAATGGGAAACAAAGCCAAATAGCAGTCTAAGCAACTACATAAAGAAAACGGTTTGTCAGCTCTCCATAACGTTCCATATGTTAGGACGAGGAATTATTATACCTTCGCCTACGGTTTGCACATGTAATCACTGTCCTAGCGATCGCTCTTAATTTTTGTTCTTTTGCTCTGAAGGACTGAATTAAAGCATTGCAGAGAGAACTTCTTGGGTGGTCTATATCAGTGGTAGGATGTTGCCACAGCTAAGTTGAAAATCATCATGGGTGGTCAATAAAGATGGCAAAGAAGTTCAATGAACACATCGAAGTTTGGATATGTCCTGTCAAACACTCTCTGGTTGTAGTATCAGGAAAGCTCACACTACGAGTTACATTTTACGGTTTTGTCTGTTATAATACCATACTGTCATAGTCTAAAGCACTAAATAATACCTTTTTGACAGTAAGAGGTTGGTTACACGGTATTCGTTGTATCTTCGACGTATGTATGTTTTAATCCAATATTTTTCATGTTATTTAAATTTACTGGTTTATTTCGTGCTAAAATTACTATTAGTGTTATCTGTTATGAATATTTACTGGGATTTTAGCTAAAAGGAAATGGGACAAATTGATCTGACTCCCTCATTTTCACCGGTTCCTTAATAACGTCTCCTGTTTTTGCATTGCCTGCACAATTCTGATGAAACAGTAATTACTTATTGTTCTGAAGTAGCCTATTACTAGTAGTAAGCTTCATTAAATACTTGCAACTAAAGTATTTGAACAGTAATCTAAACTGACCCATATCGTGATCAAAAATTACGCACAAACAAATAATTACATTATTTAACAAATGTCATATTTCCCCCACAGCGCTTAGGCTGAAATTACCACTTCTCATTACGAAACTTTTACCTTAATAAAAAAATAATAATAATAAACTTAATAAATTGTCATTTCAATACCCTATAAATTTTTCGTTCAGTTTTGCATGCATGAACTTGCCAGAAGGAACAGTTTTTTCTGAGACACAAACGAATGTTACTGTCCGTAACATAATAACGTGTTTAGGTTATAAATTGAGTAATTAGCTTTAATTACTCTACGGGTAACTTGACAGTAATGAACGTTGTGGAACGATCGCAGAGTAACTGTAGTCTCAAGCGGTAACATACATGAGTTGTTATAAGTTCCAAAAAATCTTATAACAAAAGCATGCCACAAAAACGAAAATCCGTAAGTGTAAGTGATTCAGCAATTTAAATTAAGTCAGAAAAATATTTTTTAAATCAGTTCCATGAAATTTTCAAATGGACTTGAAGACGAAATTTGTGTTGGCTTTTCTATGTATTCCTCTAATTAGAAGTATTAACTTGCTAAAAGATTAGAATTACAAATCTTCATAAATATATTCGTTTAAGAATTAACATGTTTTCAGTTGGATTAGAATACTTCAAATAATGAGAAAATAAAAGCAGAATAAGCTGCATTATTCTGCTTAAATTAGTGAAAGATTTTATTCAGCTGATTCCGATTTATGAATCTTCTAAGCGCAATTAGTGATAAAATTAAATCATAATACATCCAAAAATTGCAATTTAGTGGAAAGCATAAGCACCACTTTATTCAGCAAACTGGTAAATATTGTCAAGTAAATCTAAAAAGGTAAAATAATTACCTGTAAGTAAAATATATCACATAAAACAGTAGTATTAACTCAATAACAACTGGTAATAAAATAATGTCATAAGCCATCTTTGGAGATGTCTGTTTTCCTTGCATTATAATTGAATCACAAATAGACTTTTGAATCTCTCCTTACGTGATGAAAAAAAGTTGTTGATAGCTTTTAATAAAAGAAAATGAAAGGATCTGATCTCTTTTTAAAGCTAAGTATTTTTGTACGAGCAAGAATGACCTTACTTTCTCGATGTTTTTTTTTTTTTTTTTTGTATTTTTGCTATGCAAACAAACATTTTATTATTACAGTGTCAAACTTTTAGCTGCAGACATATTGCTAGCATCAGAAACTTTTTTCATCAAGACAAGTTTCAAAAATCTCATCGTAGTTTGTCGAAATATATGATAGTTCAAATTATTTCTCACGATATAAATTTACAAAATTATGCTTTAACGCGCATTGTTTTCACTTTCACAAATATTTTCTTTTATCTACATAATTGCTACAATAAATAAAAAGCAGTAAGTTTTTTATCTGTCTAGATAATCACACAATATGTGAACCTCATTGCATTCGCTTGATTTTTTTAATCGCAAATGAAGGTGCTCGAAAATTTTTATTTTACAATGTTATTGCACCTTATACGTATGAACAACTAATCTTTTACTGGAATTTTTCTCCGCTTACTTAAAGCTCTGAAGTTATATGTGCCATCATATCTTCACATTTTTTTCTGATTCTATGAAGACAAGAAGTCGAGAGGAAATAGAGAATGAATTAATGCGGAATAAAATGATGATCATATAAATGTTATATATTTGATTGCAAGTCACCGGAACAGTTATTAAACTATAAAAAACATACTGTGATCTGGTAACATCTAATAACTTTTGATTAAATGGAATAAATAAGTACAGAAAATTAGTGTCTATTAAAGTGACAGTTGAATAGATCTACTGATTAATAATCTCATCAGAAGTGTGGATGATTACAGAAAATGGTAAATGGTTGCCTCCGTTCTTTCCAGCTTTATTATAAGAATATTGTAAGCTGAACAAAACAAAATAACTGAAAAAAGTAAGTCTGAAGAATAAGTCCTCATTTTATTTCCTCACTTTCACTTGATAAGACTTTTAGCATATGGCTTATGAAACATACTGTGAAGTTTAATAAATATTATCAGTGGTTTAATTCAAGCATTTCATATAAGTCCGTTGCGCCCGTTTGCCAAATACTTTTAAGTATATCCTATGCTAACAAATAGTCTGTCTTCTAATTCTGAATTCCGCGATATCCATAATAAAAGCTGTTTAATCCTCATGCGAATGATAAGCTACGAATGAGCTCAGTACATTTTTTAGGCTGTGAAAAGATAACTAGAAAATCTGGAAATTCATAAGAATGCTGGAAAATGACGTCAAAAGAGAATAAACAAAGAATGAAAAAGAAAATGTCAAAAACCTGTGATAACTGAGAAAAACTGAGCATTATTTTGGAAGAATTGTATAGATGGAATGAATATACGAAGATTTTTCCGAACTGTTTTCAGTAATGCAAGAAACTAATGTGTGGGAATACTTCTATGATAGCATACCTGTTTTAAACTTTTTCTGGTTATTTCCACACGGTTATTATAAAAAGTCAAACTGATTGTCTGGTCTGTGATGTGATATTGACATTCCTTAAAATACAAAAGAATTAAGAAAATAGAATCTTCAGCATTGGAAAATTTATAAGCACACAACAAATGCTGTCCTTCGCCACAATTACCGATTTGTCTATGACGTCCAGTCATGCCCTTTAAATCTTATTCCAGTTTACTTTCTTACATTTATCCGTTTTTTTTACTGAAATTTGGAATCAGTATTTCTTGAAAACTATTACTATCGAGGGACAAAATCCTATTATTAGTGAAGTAAAACGCAGTTCTCGTTTCATACCAACATTGTAACAAAATTTAGCCAAATCATCTGTCAAATAATTCAATTCACTTAGTCTCAGCGTACACACTAGTCACCCAATAAAATTTAATCCACACTCAATTTCAAATGTGAATCAACGATTTTCATTGGAAGGCCACATAACATCCTGCAATGCAAGCAATTAAAAATCTCTTCAAATCAGAAGATATAGCTTGCATGTTGAGAAGTGTTGTGTGGAAGTTGGTATTTTGCAGGTAGCGCTGTTTACTGCATCCTTTTTAGAATTTGCAGTTAATTTTGCTAAGTTTCGTTACTGTATTTTGGTGCTAGGATACGTGATAATTTTTTCAATATTATCACTTTTATCATCACTTATCTATAACTGATGAAGCCTGATTCCTCATATGCAGAAAATGAATTAAGGCTTCTTTGATGCAGATTTTCAGAATCAGGTTCGGAATGAAAATACTCAAATGAATACAACTTAGTAATGCCAGGCGGTATGTTTAACTCTCATTCCAACTTTGAAATAGAATTTCAAAATATTATCAAAATTATCAAAAAGTTGTTAACATTACTGTCTGTCTGCATACTTTAAATATAGCGAAGGATGTAATTAAAATCTTAATTTCATTCAGTGTAATTTCTTGATGGTGTTTAGTGAACTTTTTGTTTTTTTGTTATCAGCGTGATGGAAAAAAAGGAAGAGGACTGCACTCATGGCCTGCAACAGCAAGAATGGTATTGGGCGAATGCTTCCAAAGAGGAAATTGCTTCAGCTATATGTGTAAGTTTTGACTTGTTACGGAAAGCTGCTTAAACTATATTTGATTTTTTTTTTTTGTGAGGTGAAATTTAAAGGCAAAAGTATTGTTAACAACTAAAGGGCAAACCTGTACGAGCAATACAGTATTTGGCTGATAGAGCTAAATACTTTACATAGTAAGTTACTGTTTACAGTCAAGTTTACAACTGCAGTTGAAAATTTCTAAAATGTCGGAAATGATGTATTGTTTTCCAGGATTGTCCAAATGGTACATTTTGTGTGCGCGATGCTTCAACTAAAGGAAACTATACTCTTACGCTTAGATATGGTGAGGTACGTACTTACATGAATTAACTATGTTTTTCAATTATTTCATTCAGCAGTTTCCTTACAGTAACTTTACAAATATTGCTCATCAGCTGCTATCTCCTTTTGGTAAATGGCTTCTGGTAGATTGCCCTTATTGTTATAAAGTGGTAGCTTGTTTATAATAATTCCATTTCTTGTTTGTTAGGGTTTAGATATTATCGCCTAGCATGGACCATGAGTTATTGCTGGTGGGTGATTGTTTTCATAAGCGATATATATTGCTT